AATGGGCTAATATTAATAGAAAATCTGAATAATTTTGCAGGCTAGATCTGATCTGGCCCACAGGCCTTGTGTTTGACATATGGGACTTCAACAATAAACAAAACATAATTTGACCAGGGGTGTCCAAACAACTAAACTGAAGTATTCTGCAGTGCATTTGGTTACCCTTTAGTAAAGTACGAGTTCATTTGTGCCCAGACAGTCTTCATAAGGCTTCATCAGGGATACTCCTGACAAAGACTGTGTGGTCTAAACATTGAATTTATGAAACAGATAGTTCTGAAGCCATTGTGAAACAATGTATCAATGTGCCAAATTAATAAAAACATTGCTATTATTATTATTATTATGTTAATAAAATTCAGGGTAATCTTTGGCTGTTTTGTTGCTTGACAACTATTGTCTTATGTTAAAACACTCCATTGCTTGATAGAAGGTTAAATTTATTATTAAATTTATTATTAAAATTAAATTATTGCCAAATTAAAAATGTAATTATTTATTTTGGTGTATTTTACCATATTGTAGTTTGTTGCCATAAAGCAGTAAAGCACTTGAGGTCTTGCAGATTTTTTTTTTTTTTTGTGATGCACACAACACCTAACAACACCCCTTAACTGTAAATTCATGGCTTCTTGTGGTTTATTGCTTTATTAAACTACTTTGGAAGCATTAAGTATGTGTGAAAGTGTCTTGCTTTTATTATGTTGTATTATTTTATGCTGGCACCTTTAAGTACTTTTGACTATAATACACCTGCGTTTCTTCTCTCAGGTGAGATTCAGAGCTGCCGTGTTCAGAAGAACAACACCTACCTGGTGGTCAATAACTGCACATCTGTAGGTTCTGTGGAGATAACCTCCTGCTCCGGCGCCTGTGACACCAGCTCAATGTGAGTGTGTTCACTTGGAAATATATACATACACACACACACACACACACACACACACACTTGAAATGGAGGTATAGGAACAGGTAAAACTGTAAAGCAGGAAAGGGAGACTATTGGCTGAGACATGCCTGAATTCACAAGCCACCTCAGGAGTGCTGATCTACAAACAGTATTTGTGACAATAACTGTCAATCTGATCCAATATCATTCCTGCTTTGTGAATACCAGCCTTAGTGTCTGAAATGACACACGAAGTCATACTGTGCTCTCAAACACATTGACCACTCTGTGAGGATCTTAATCAATACATGCATGCAGTTTGAGCAGGTTGAGGGAAGTTTTGGGGATGTGTTTTTGCAGAAACATGTTGGGCTATTTGGGTGACTATTCAGTTCTAGTGTTTGTTAGTAACAATAGCCTCATAGCTCCAGTTCTAAAGAAATTTGGACTCCAAACATACCTTACCTGATTGACTATATATGGGGTAAGTGGGAAATTGTGTACATTTTATTTTTTGCTGAATTGCTGTTCTTTAAAGAACCCATTTTATTTATTCTTGTATTATTGTATATATTCTTGTGGTTTTGGTTTTTTTCCATTGAGGTCCACTTACAACCAAAACAGTATCAAAAACAGTCATCACTCATTTTTACATGACCATTTTCCAACCTCTCTCCATCCCTTAGAATTAAACAGGCTGTTTGTGTTACTGTGCCTTTAAGACTGATTATGTATATGGTCTGAGTTCTGATTGGCTGCCCTGTAATTTGTCTTATTCAAAAAGCAGTCCTGATTGAAATACTCTTTATAACTAAAGTGTGAATGGGTGGGGCTAAAATTCAGCTAAAAATGTGCTGACTGACATCAAAACACTGAATTCCAAACAGGTTTGGAAGTTGTCATACATAGACTGTACGGACTGGGTAGAGAATGGTATGATTTAAAACTATATGTTTACATACTAACATAAACGGTTTTATTTAAAATAGGTGAGGAAAATTCATTTGTCCATGATATGAGCCCTTTAATGCCTGCTAGGTAGTTCAAGATAGACCATGGTAGTCGTACGTCATTCTGTAGTCCATGTTATGCTATGTTAGAAAGTCTGGGTCCAAGCTCAATTTCTCTATGGCCAGAAAGAATGGGCTTTTAGAAAATTGCGTCTATCGCACCATGTTAAATAAAAACATTCAGAACCCGATATGTTTTGCCCTGTGTACACTTTTTTTCCCCGAATATCACTGGATCCTCTGAATTATGAGGTTGTGAAAGAGTCTTCATATTAATATTGCTACATGGAAGCTAAAGCTACTGCGCAATCAGTGTCACTAAGCTACATGAAAGGTGGGCTGTGGTGATGTTCTGACGAATTGTTACCTTTCTTTTTTACCTCTTTGTGTTCTTTAGTAAAGAAAATAGTATAGAACAATGAACACTCAAAGAACCCTTCCCATGATTAAAGGGTTCTTTGCATTGTAAAATGGTTCCTCAGATTGATGGAGAACATGCTGTACATGCTGAACATACTTTTTTGAAAAGGGTTCAATATAGCACCAAAAATGGTTCTTCTATTGTTACAAGCTTGACATCGAAGCGGTAGAGGAACCCCTGGTTTCTCCATCAATCTGAAGAATGTCAGGCTTGTTACAATAGAAGAACCCTTTTTGGTTCATAAGACAAAACATATTGGCTTTGGAACGTTTTTGATTATCACAGGATGTGACAGAGACAATTTTCAAAAACTCTGTTTTTCTCAGAGATATTCCTTTTAGACCCAGACTTCCTTATATGGGCATAAGAGCATGACAACACAACTTCAATGGTCTATTGTGCTTCTGTACAATACAGCATTTCTGTTCCTGTTCTGATGGCTGTGTCTGTCTTGTTTGTGCAGATACTCGATGGCAGCTAACAGCATGGTGCACCGGTGCTCCTGCTGTCAGGAGCTGCATACCAGCAGCAAGCAGGTGAAGATGAACTGTCCTGACCAGCGCCAGTTCAATCACACCTACACTTATGTTGAAGAGTGTGGCTGCCATGTGACAGAGTGCCAAAAAATGCAGTGATTAAAAATTTCAGTTCTCCAATTTTTCACCAACTAATTTCTATAGACTTCCCACTAACTTACAAAATTACAACTGAAACTTTGTTGAATTGAATCCAAGTAACGCATCAAATGATGTAATTAATTCATTTCTTCTATTCTTAGGCAACAGGGTCCTGTTTTTTTTTTGTTTACTCTATTGGTCGTGATGGTCATATATTCCATTTCTTTCAATATTGTCTTCTTATGAAATACGTAATTACTTTTTTCTGATCAATGAGCAAAATAAAATCAAACAGCATCAGTGATGGTGTGCAGTGCAGTTTGTTAGGTGTGAAGGATCTTCTACAATGTTTCTACACAACTACAGAATTATATAAATTCAAAATTCTATCATGCGCTGATTAAATTAGTAGTATATTTGTACATTTTAGCTTTATTCAACATGTTATCGCTACATAAAATGTCAAAGAAGGCCTACATGCAGACTTTCTTAATCCACTTACATATCCATGTGATTTCCTCAGTGGGCAGATTATCCTCACTTCGTTATCTATGAATTTCTGAATCCCAGGACAGCATCATGCTCTTAATGTTGGCAGCATTCATTGTAATGAAAAAATGAATCTGGGAAAGAAAAATCTGAAAAATGTACAGGAACAACACTTTGCTGCAGCTATCACACAGCACACCTGGAAAGGGGACATTATGTAGACATACAGTAGAGTGAAAAACCTGGTGAAGCCATAATGCATGTCTAACATAGTATAACATGTTGTATGACATTATAGCTTATTATATAAGTGAACTGAGGCAAGGTTTGTTAGGAAGCGAACAGAGACCCACGATTTTTGCTGGACTGCAGCCTGGCTATATTCTTTATTCTTCATGGTGTGTCTTGCTTTTATGTTTCATGTCTCAGTATGTTGCGCTTCTAAGCCAGTTAAGTTAGGGAGTGGAGCCTGTTTTCTCCCTCTTTTCAAAGTGAGAATTTATGGCTGTACTATTCTTTTCTAATTTTACCATCTGTAAGATTATCTATGTCACTGCTTCGGAGACTGCAAACTAAGGTTTTCCAAAGCCATTCCTTGGGAATGCATGCTCTGTACATTTTTTTATTGTTTCCATACTTTAAAGGCAAACTCACTGTTCATAGTGGTGGTGATAGGAACCAGACATCTGAAGAGTTTATGAAAAACAAAATACAATAAAACCCACATAATTAATTAAATATAAACTCACACCCCCAACTTTATCTCCCAGAGAAAACCCACATGCATACTAGGCCCTCATCAGCCATCATCTACACCAGGGGTCAGCTGCATGCGGCTCTTTTACTGCCCTGTTGCGGTTCCACAGCAGAATTAGATTTTTAATTTAAAATAATCATCCTTTGCAGTAAAATAAAGCTCTTGCTCATAATTCTAACACAGTTTTAACAATAAATGGTCTTAAACACTTGAGTTAATATATAATTGCTAATGCAACCTTTAACCCTGAACATCAGCGAACATCTCATCTAGATAGTAGCTAACAAAAAGGCAAAGAGAGAGATTTCAGATGAACTTTGATGATTTGGAGCCTAATGGATTTATTTGCCTTTATAATCACTCCAGCTGGTGTCCTGATACGTTTAATCTACAACGAAAAAACTGTGAAACCCTACAAAGTCGTGAAGCTGAAGTCAGTTTCTCATTCACCAGCTTCTTGTTCAAATTTTCCCGTTCCACCTTAAATGGTGCAGCAGTTACATTCTGGAGCCTCAGACACTATTTAAGGTGGAACGGGAAAATCAGAACAGGAAGCTGGCGAATGAGAAGACGTCTCCAGGCCTCGTAAAAAAATCAAACGATGAGAGACATTTTACAATGTCAATGTTCACATTCTACTTTTGCAGAAAAGTTTCCTGATGGAGATGTGAGAAAAACAGCTATAGCTGAGCTAAAGCTTAAAGCAGAGTAAAGTAAGTCTGTGTTTTCGTTTATATTTTGTAACCTGCACTAGGACATTCAAAAATACTGAGACATACTTACAGTCAAGATGGTAAAATGGACGGATGTTGTGGCTCCTAAGATGGTGTGATTTTGGTTGAAAGGACAAAATGGCACTTCTTAACATTTGGGTTGTGACCCCTGATCTATACAACATTCACCTTCCTAATAAAAAGCACACATAACAGAGTCTGATTACATTCATGCAAAACTTCTTGTAATTCATTTTTTTGTGTCACTAGAAAAAGTCTTAAGGTAAACACAAGTTTTCAAATCAGCAGGTAGTGTGTTCCATTATTCAATAGCTTTGAATGAAAAGTCAGATTGTGCAAAAGAAGTAGCTCATGTAAGAATACTACACTGCACCCTGAAGGAGAGCTAGTAGCCCTACACTGATTTTCAGGGCACAGCTTAACAAACGTCTTCAAACATTGGTTGGGCGGTATTATGGATAATCTTAAACGTCAGACAGACATGTGAATACAGAATTAGGTGATCACATCTTAACATATTGTATTTAGTGATGTAGTGAGCCATGACCTGTTAGTAAAGTCTAAGACTGCCTTGTGAGCCTTCATATACCAGAACTAGCTTCTGGGAAATGCTGCAAATGATCTGTTGATTTGAAATTTTTGTATGTAGCCTATTTGTAATTATCAAATCTGTTGACATTAAATTATGTTTGTTTATTTCAGCAAAATTTAGAAAATGAAACTATTCATCCAAACATCCTCAAAACACCAGCTTTCCTCTGTGCTTTAGGCTCGTTTTGGTTGGACGCCACTTTCTACAAAACTGTTTGCTCCAATATGAAAAAAACAAAAAAAATATTTTCCCAGATAAACTGATCTTTGAGAATAGTAAGAATATCCTGCAGCAGTTTCATTCTGGCGCTTCACACCAGGAAAATTCAAACAAGAATCTGGCGAACAGGAAGCCTAATTCAGCCTGGTCCTTTCCAATGACGTTAACGTACTGTAAACAGCAATATATGGCAAATACTGGTGTCATTTTTTCCAAATACTGAATAGAAATCTAAAAACAGAGTATAAAGTGCTCTCAGTAAGGTTATTTCTGTCCCTCTTGTTCGTTCACACTCTCACACTCACAATGAAGAGCGGTTCAGCCACAGACTCTGTGGGTCAAAGTGGCTACCTTGTCATCTAGTTAGCTAATGTTAGCGTTAGCATAGCCTCCTTTTTACCTCATTTCAAACCCAGAGTTGACTAAAGTTATCTACTTAGAGTTCACAGGCAAACCAGGTAAAACAGATATCCAGCTATTCTGACCAGGATTTGTCACAAATCCATACTGTGGGTGGATTTATTCACTCTGTTTTACTCTGTACGCTGTAGATGCTGAATAAGGTCTAATGTTTATTTTAGAGAGATCTTAGCCAAAATCCTCTCTTCGACTCGGTACCGATTACTGTGCAGTGCATAAACAGAGCCCCTCCCCCAAGTCGGATATGATTGGCTTGCAACTTGTACGGTCTGATATAATTGGCTCGTAACATATGAGGTCTAATATGATTGGTTTACAACATATGAGGTCTTAAATGATTGGCTGAACGTTATGTTAGTCAGTCTCTGGTACAGCAGAGAAAGAGCTGCACATTAGAGGAGCAGCAGCGCCTCCCCCAGGTCATGCCCTTCTATTACAGTATAGTGTGAATAAGAATAAACTATAGGTGGTTCGGATTAGTAATATACATTTGCCTAGAAAGTGTGTTGGGGGTGACGTGGGTAGAGAGGCTTGGCCTAGAAACGCCCATGGCCTTTATCAATCTTCAAAAAGGCAGTGAATACATAATAAAACAGTGAATTAGGAACAGTCATGTTTAAACATTCCAGTGTGTACAGTGTATTATAGGTGTGCAAAGGATTATGGGATCTAGTTTAGTAACCCAAACATAAGTGTGTAAAGTCTGGTAGTTTGAGTTTGTAAATGTATGTGCACCAGAATCAGAATGCCTAAAGAGATGAGCATGATGGGAAGGGACTTCTTGACGATCCAGTTTTCCTCAGTTGCTCAGAAAGCATTCCTGAAACAGAATTAGCATATTTTACTGTACTGTGGGAGCAGGTGGACGAACTTAAAGGACATCAGCAAGTGCTTATACTTTTTATTGACTGAATAGTAGCCTCACCATCCAATTCTCTCTTTTTTTTTAAAACAGTCTCTACCAATCTGCCCCCAAACAAAGCAGAGCAAACAATCCACAGCTGAATTGCAGTTTTTTTCTCAGTTGCTTGAACACTTTGTTTATTCAGAAGTCATATTTTAAAAATAGTTAACACACAATACTAAATAGAAACTTGCTGTTATAGTCAGGTCCCCACAAAACATGTAAAACATGCTACAAAAGGAAACTTTTCCATCAAACACTACAACTTACAAACAGATGAGTAAATTCTTCAAACATTAAACAACCACCAAAAACAGACTACAGGATTCAGTTTGAACTTATTCAGCCTTCATTCGTGCTGTATGTCCTTTACTATCTGCTAATACTTCATTGTAAACAGACTTTAGAAAGTAAAACAATGTTTAAGATTAATACAGAGTGGAATCTACTCTCATCTCCCAGCTAGCTTTACCAAAGATATATTTCAACGCAATGTACTTCACAACCTTAACCAACCAAAAAAGACCCCACCTAAAACACTCAGAAACAATATTTCTGCTTTTTACTTTTTTACATAGTCTTTAAAGGTCACATTCTACCAAAAGATGAGGCCAAACCTCAGGCCTGTGTATTTAGAGGGATAGGCTGTGGCAGAGAGTCAGCAAACATTAGCCTTGGCATACATACCATATCAAGTTGACACACTGCAGCATCCATTGTGCATAAAAAAGCTCTCAGTAGGTAAGTCTGCCATTGTATAAAACGTCTTTAGACAATAGCAGACTGACCTATTACACATCTCTCTGCTGACAAATACTCATCTCCAGTTTGTCTTCACTATTTATCCCAACTTTTTCATGTGGAAAGAGCAAAAAGCAGAAACAAATGTTTCTGAATATCTCATTATATCAGCTTGATATGTCGTATCTGTCTTCTTCACACCTGCTTACAGTCTGCAACTAATGATAACTGATTGCTGAGATAACAATTCTGCACTTTGTCACTTACACAGGTGCTGAAAGTAGATTTGACTATGAGAGTGTGTTCTATAAGTTGCCATTGTCTCTAGTTTCGTTAAAAGTGTTTGAGCAGTACAAAAAAACTGTGAGCCCCAAAAGCATTTCTAATTCTGCAAATCAACACATTCTGCCTTCATGTCCTAAAACACCTCAGATCCTTTATGTAAGTGTCAAAGAAATGTAATCAAGTCAGTCAATACAAACTGGTGTAGAAATGTCACTCTGAATGGTCAGATTAACAGTAAGTATGTACATTGGCAAGGAGACACAAGGAGACAAACACAGGAGAACAAAAAGAACAAACACCAGCACTGAGTCAACACTAACATAAGAGGGCTAAGCAAGGAATACAGAGGAGCCGAGGGCTATTACTGTAACGCTATCCGGTTCCTCCGAAATCTCCAACCAACCTGTAAACTCCATCTCCCATAATTCATCTGATTCTGACATCACAGCCACAGCCCAGCACCAACCAATCACAACAGGTTACATAGATCCTCCTCCCCTGATTTCTGACTGCTTTCACCTGTGCCCATTTTCTCTGTTTGTGTATGTAACAGTTCAGTATCAGATACTCTTTGTGAAGTATTGCCATTAGACCTGACTTTTGCATACCGATCGTTTTCCTAGTTTATGCCTCCCATGTTATTGACCCTTTATGTCCTGTTTGCTCTTCTGGATTCTCCTTGATACTTTGGTAGTGTATTGTTTGTTTCTCTGGCCTTCGACCCTCGCTGGTTTATGTATTCAGATCTCTGGTTTTCCTTGGTACCTGTTTATAGACCAATGTAGTCGTGCGTCATTCTGTTGAATTCATTCGTCGTTCACTGAATGTTCCCGTTCCACCTTAAATGGTGCAGCAGCCGTGACTAGCTATCACAAACATTAGCAAACGCGACAAAATACTGACCTGTCGGTTCTGTGAAACAGCAAAAATAAGGTAATGTTACTCAGCTGTTAAGCGGAAATAGAGAAACCTCGTCATATCGTGCCTTTCAACCCTCCATGAAGCTGAAGTCAGCTTCTTTGTTGCCGGCTGCTTGTTCGAATTTTCCCAGAACGTGCCTGCTGCACCATTTAAGGTGGAACGGGAAAAGTTGAACAAAAAGCTAGCTAATGTCCTCAGAAAAATGTTACCAGCATTCAAATAACAATTAGGATATTCTGAGAGCCTAAATCAGTTTATCAGGGAGGTAAGTTTGTAGATCTTTTCAGATCAAGCTAAAAGGAAATATCTATCGTGTTTCAGTGAGCATCAGATGAAGAACAGAGAACTGCAGGGAAACCTGCTGATTTTGTTCTGACTTCTTTTCATCTGCCCTCAGTCTGTACATGGAAATGTTTACTGACAAAACCTGCTTAAGGAGGCTGCCAGCTTACACGTAGCAATATTCATATTTCAACTCTTTAACGACCTCGTAATTCAGAGGATCCAGTGATATTCGAGAAAAGACTGTTAACAGGAAAAAACTTACAGGGTTCAGAGCATTTTTATCTACCAGAGGGTGCGATGAAGGTGATTTTTCGAAAACCCTGTTCATTCTGGCCTTAGAGAAATGAGCTTAGACCCGGAGTTCCTAATATGGGCATAAGAACATGGCGCCGACTACAAAATGACGACAGGACTACAGTCGTCTGTTGCTCTTATGGTTCTGGCCTGGCTTATTCACTACCCTTTTGGTTTGCCCTGTTGTTAATAAAACCCGTTTATTTTACCTCCGCGAGCGTCTGGTTGATCTGTCTATCGTGACAATAATACACACAGAAGACAGACAAGGACTACATGGGGTCACAGGCGGTAAAAAGTACTGAAAATCCCTACTTAAGTACTGTTACTGTAGTGATAATTTACAGAAACAGAGAGAAAGGGTGGGGAGGTGGAGAGAGAAAGAGAGAGGAGGAGGAGGAGTTAGGCAGAGTTCTCTGAAGAACTGACTGACAGAGTCTCTGATGATGCAATATTATCTGTAAGGTGAGATCGAGGAGTATTTTTGCGGACCCTCTGAATTTTTAAGTCAGTGAAACTCCAGAAGCGATAACTGTACAGTTTTTTACAGTCAGACCGAACAATGAGTTGAATATTATGGCTCAACACTGTTTAAACTCTGTCTGAATGATGCCCTGATGTCTCCGAGGGCTCGTTATCAGTGTGAGGTGAGCTCTGACTGCTCTGTGTACAGCACATGCACAAACTTCATACTCCACCCACAGTCTGATCAGATCAGGCTAGTAAGCTTAAAGGTTGCTTTAATAGAGCCAAACAGTCAAAGAACTTTTTGCATGATTAAAAGGGTTCTCTGTGTGCTGAAATTGTTCTTCAGACTGACTGGGGGTTTATTGTGTATGGTTCTGTATAGAACCTTTTTGAAAAGGGTCCTTCTGTTGTTACAATGTCAAGCCTTTAACAATAGATGAACCCTTTTTGGTTGAAGACCAAACATCAACATATAAACAATGAAAGAAAGCAGAAAACGTATTCATTAAGACATGCCATGGGTCTCACAAAACCGGTTAAAGTTCTGACTAATAACGGCTGTGATATGATCTTTACAGGGCAGCGCTGAGAGATGTGTGTTTAAAGGGTTGGGAGAGTTCCTCTGAAAATGTATTTTGGGTAACTTCCACAAGATGACAGTAATTTAACACAAGGCAAACAGGAAAACTGCACTGATTTGGAATCCAAAATGATGTGTTAAACAGTGCTGTGAAAAAGTATTGTCCTGTTACGTAACCCAACTGCACTTGAGCTTTAGGTTAAGAACAAATGGGTGGACATTCTCCTTCAGGATTTTCTGATAGAGAGCAAAATTCACGATTCCATCTATTATCAACAGGTCGTCCAGGTCTTGCAGAAGCAAAGCAGCCCCAGACCATCACACTACCACCACCATGCTTGACTGTTGGTATAATGTTTTTATGGTGGAATGTAGTGCTAGCTTTACGCCAGACATATTGGGACCCATATCATCCAAAAAGTTCCACCATTGACTCATCAGTCCAAAGAATATCACCCCCTGAATTCTTGGGGGTCACCTAGAAGTTTTTTGGCAAATGCGAGACGAGACTTTGTTTTCCTTTTGGTCAGCTGTGGTTTGTGCCTGAGGCAAGTGAGGCCTGCAGTTCTTTAGATGTTCATCTGAGTTCTTTTGTGACTTCCTGGACGTGTCGTCTATATACTTTTGGTGAAATTTTGGGAGGCCGGCTACTCCTGAGAAGGTTTGCTACTGTTCACTATTTGTGGATAATGGCTCTCACTCTGGTTCACTTAAGTCCCAGAGCCTTAGCAATGGCTTTCTTACCCTCTCTGGTAGAGAGGTAGATTTCTGGTAAACTGGTAGATTTCAGTGACTTTGTTTTTCATATGTATTTGAATCTCTTTAGAACGTGGCATCAATTGCTGCTTTTTGAGACCTTCTAGCCTGCTTCACATTGCCAGACAGGTTGTATTTAAGTGATGTTTAGATTCAGCAGGTCTGGCAGTAATTGTGCCTGTGGCCAGTGCAATTGAACTCAATAGTTATTTGAATTTGGTTTACTTATTGATTTAGTAGTTAACAGGGCATTTACTTTTTTACATAGGGTGAGGTAGGGCTGATCAGCATTTTTACTTCAACAAATGAAATCCTAATTTAAAAACAGCATTTTGTGTTTACCTGGGTTATCTAACATTTAAAGTAGTTTAATGATCTGAAACATTCAAGTGTGACAAATATGCAAAAATAGAAGAAATTGGAAGGGGCAATCACTTTTTCACAGCACTGTAGATGACCTAACTCTCTGGACTTTATGTGTGCTGTGTGTACATCCATTTGAAGATGTCATGAAATATTTTAGTGTTCTTAATTGGTTATTCAGTAAGACATGGTTTGTAGCGTAAGTGTAGATTGGGATATAAAAAAATAATGTAACCCATCATGTTTGTTTATTTGAGATTGAGTTGTGTCTGCATCAGTAGATACCAGCACCAGACACAATCTAGCTATCCTCTTCTGGATGAGTCACCAAGCACTACTTCACGGCAGCCAAATGTGCTAGAAAGTCAGCTGAATGTTGGTATGTTGTTATCTTGCTTGGCAGGTAGGGCTAAAGTTATTAGCATGTATGTTAGCAGCTACAGCGTTTTTGTTCATATTTTCACTCTCCAAAGATGCAGACATATGGATGCTACAAATTACACTTGCGATTTCTGAGTGTAATCTGTAGCATCTATATGCCTGCGTGACATGAAGGGGAGTCAGATTCGGCTGCCGATACGTAATTCGGCACAACACTGGCAAAGAACATCAGAAGAGAAATACCCATGTCAGCAAGGTAGAGTACTCTTACAGGATTTTATTACAGAATGTTGCAAACTTTCAAGGCTTATTTGGCATGAGATTGACAACAACTTTTTGGTTTTAGATTTATTTCTTTGCATCTGTGCCTGAAACGGGACTGAAGTTAGATGACTTGGTATCCAAAAAAGCTACAAAACTCTGTGAGACAGAGATGACAAAAATAACAAACGAGTAAAAGCCAGTCTTAGATTTACTCTTGCTTGGCCACTCTCTCTTTTTCTCTTCCTCGCTTTCTCTGACAACGTCTTCTTCCTTCTTTTGGCAGACTCTGCCATGATGTCCATGCGGTGAATACCAAGCTACTTCTTAAAGCAAGCTAAAGAGCCATAGTTGTTGATGTGTGACATGGTGCCGTAAAGCATTATGCAGGTCTCACGAAATGTCTCATTACTGCTCCTTTAAAGTTACATAGCGCTATAGCAGGCGTTCCGGGCCCAGAGTGGCAATGACAGAGGTGTCATTCTCACTATTATGAGTCAGTGCACCATCAAAATGATTTTGAAGCTGGTACTTTAAGGTAAGATTGTTACATAATGTTGCTTTAAGGTAGAACCTTAAGCCGGTTGGAAAGCCAGCTTAGTTGCAGCTAGTGGTCTAGGGTACAGAAAGTTAGGCTTTAGTCACAGCAAAAAAAAAGGGGTCAGACAATAAGTAAAGCAAGGGATTTAGCCTACACAGAGAGATCATTTTAGTAACATATTTATTGTGATCAATAAGTATTCCCATTTTTAAACTTTCATTATTCAGGACAAATCTAATCCCTGGTTCACTTCTGAAATTTCTACTATGCTTAAGGCAAGAAATAAAGTGTGGGCCCCCACCAGATGATCTGGGGACAGAGGCCATTGGCTTACATTTAGGCAATCCCAAACACTGAATGTAAGTGCTTTGGCAGAAGGGTAGACGACAAATGTACTTTTGGATATCATATCATTAACTTCACTGGCAAATTGAGACAAAAACTTGGGCTCCTGTTTTGACACAATGTATTTTTGATATACTCTAGGAAAAACACTGTATTCCACTCTTCATGCTGCTCATTTGATTTATAAATGTGCTTCTGTTAATACCTTTACATTCAGTCTATCACTCAGCTCTGAGATTCATCACTGGTGACCCTCATAACACTCATCAGTGCGTACTTCATGAATAAGTTGCTAAGTCCTCTCTAACTGTACGTGGGGAAACACACTGGCTTCTGTTCATTTACAAAGCACTCACTGGCCATAAGCCATCATACATCACATCAGTGCTTACAGTAAATAACTGAAATGATCAAACTTGCTCCACTGACTGGATCACCCTTTACTGATCTTTCAGCTACAGTGCACCAGTGAGCTGGACCTAATTACAGGACACTCTAAAGGTCCACTCTGTACGTATGTAGCCCAAGTTCTGTCCATGGTCTTTGTTGTGGTAATCGAATGCACTAGTCAATCAATTAAGATTAAAATTGCCATCAGCATTTCTGAGTCAGTTTATAGAGATACAAGCTCAGCTAAGTACATCAACTACACAAAAGGGAGCAGGAGGCCAGTAAATTCCTGCTATCAAGAGTTTCTGATATGCACATTTCACATAACATGAAATACACAGCAAGAAAAGATCGAACAATTTATTAACTCAATGCTACAAAAGGAATCCTTGTTTTCATCCTCTTCAGTTTATTACATCTAGTTTTGAAATGTTTTTAAATGATCATCAAACGAGATGTTCAGGTATGTAGTGTTTTTATTTATTCTTTGGTATAAAATTTATTTGTAAAATGGATTATATAGCCATACTCGCCTAGGATAGCTTTATTTTTTATATATTGAAACTGTAAATACTGTTTCTTAATAGTTCTGCTAGTTAGGTCAACAATGGAACACTTGATCTTAGATTGGTGCTTCTATTCTTGACTTGGTGTCTTAGACCAACACATTCCGTATCTGTCATGGTCTGAAACACCAGGAAGATCATGGATAAATGGAACTTTTGTCACACACTGAGAAGTAAAGTTTACCCAGACCATGTTTAATCCTATAAACACAAATTTCTGTAAATTCAATATTTATTTGAGGCAGATACGACAAAGATCAGATAACAATGTGTATCATAAGTCAATACGTGATAAGTCATGAGCTCTGCCATGAGATCATAATCACTGTTCACCTCAATCATATAAACTCCATGTGTCTGGAGGACGAAAGCACAGAGAGAGGGAACAGCAGCCTCTCACATACAGCCTGGCACCCATGGGTACCCTAACCATGCTGCAAGTGTGGGTGCTGAGTGTGGCTGCATTACTAAATGGACTTTCAGCACAACAAACAGGTTAGAAAGTCGTGGTAGGAATGTTGGTTATAATTTGCATTAGAACTGTGAAATGTTAAAGAACTTTTCAGAACTTTTAGCTGATCTATGTTTTTACATTCATTTACTCATATTGTACACAGACTTAAGTGGTGTGGATGGTGTGGACTCTTGAGGCAGCTATCACTTCTGTTATTACAAGTGAATTACTTTATTATTTAACATGTAATAATAGAAAAACAGTTGATTTTTAGATTTTTGGAAAGGAATTTGTTGGTTATAGTGGTTTTATATCAAATTAGGAACATCAGAATAGATTATTCATAATTCTGTGAGATGGTGTTTGTTGATATCCTCATTTTCTCTTATGATAGTTTTTTTTCTCTGGCAAAGCATGTTAAGCTACATTTAAAATTAAGTTTATTGTTGCTATTGTTATTATTTTGAACAGATTATGGCTTTTTTCTGGATGCGACTACAACAGAGATGATAACACCAACAAACAGGTATGTATTACAGTGTATGTTATTATTTAACTGAACTAATCAAATAATGCTTTCATACTACAACTCAGTTACAAAGATAAGATCGTGTTTATGTAGGTTACACTGTGAAGTATTATTTTATCAGTATATTGGTCTCTTTATTTTGTCTCCCACCAAGTGTCTATTCTACCAACAACACGAATCATAGCTGATAGCTATGAGAGTCTTTACGGTAAACATATTCTTACAATATTAATCCAAGTCTCCATTACATTACTGGTTATTGAAGGCAGCATTTAAGAGAATATGTTACTGTTTCATCAGGAATCAACGTGGATCACAACATGCAGGTGTGCAGCACATGGGGAAACTTCCACTTCAGTACATTCGATGGACAATTCTTCCAACTGCCCTACACCTGCAACTACGTACTGACCACCCTGTGTGACAGCACCAAGACTGACTTTAACATCCAAATGAGGAGGCGGTATATCAAAAATCTCCCCACCATCAGCTCCTTCACCATAAAGATAGACGGGGTTGTAGTCAAGCTTCTTGATGGGAACATTACTATGAATGACCAGGCGTGAGTGTCTTTCACTATATTTAACACTCATTTTTCCCTGAAAAAAACTTTTCATCATTTTATTTAGAAATGAACTCATCTTAAGTTATTTTTTGCAATAAAACAGCAAATTACATTTAAAATGCCAATTTATGAGATATTCTGTGCATATACAGTGCAAAACATGGTGAATGAGTGTGTTCATTGATACTGTTCTTTGTTTTAGTTTAGTTTAGCTTTTAGTTTTTTAATTTCTTAAGAAAGAAAGTAATAGTTATGTATTTGGTAAAATTCATTGGTCATTTTTTTCATTTGCAACTTTACAGTTAATTACTGGCTACTGAATTACAAGACATTTGATATGCAAACATACAGGAAGTAATCTTGTGCTCTGGATGACTCTGCTATTGTTGCTATATTATTGCTAAATTGCTATTTTGCTGTTATTTACTGTTAATATGTTACAGCAAACTACTATGAAAGTAATGCAACTCGTAACAGGCTATTTGTGACATGATGGTGATTTAAAGGTTGCATTTATTTGTATGAATTTCATCACAAAAAACTCAATCATATTTCATGCTGCCATAATATCGTTATTACTTAGTTTAAAGCCTTATTCTAAGATTTAGAAATACTTTCTCTAACTGAGCTTCTTGTCATTTGAGTGTGTGGTGCTTCTAATATTTTCCTGTTTTCTTATTAGAGTGGCCATCCCAAATTATCAGTTCAGAGTTCGGATTGAGAAAACAACAAGTTACATTAAGATAAGCTCCAGTAAACTGGTTATTACAGTCCTTTGGGATCAACACAACTGTGTGTTCATTTCATTCTGTAACATTTGATTGCTCAGCGTCAGAATGTCCTTGTTAAGCATGACAGAAAGCTGTACTGTGGTTTGCTAAGAGTCTCAGAGATAAAATACAAACAGCACATCATGTAAATAGTGTTTACTTAAAAAAGTGAGAAGGAAAGATAAATATTGAACAGGATATGGAACTCACGTGTTCTCCATAAGCGTGCATTTCTTTTTTTATCCTCTCTTTTTTTTTCTATTCCAGCACCCCCCAGTAGAACCAATTCAGTTCAGTCTCTTCAGTTAATTCCTGTAGAGAAAGTTAAGTCAGATGTTTGGCAAAGAACCATAGAGTAATGATTCTATGTAGTGTTCTCTAAATAATTTACTAGCACTGCCACTGCTTCTGTAGCAGCTACTAGGACTTTACTTTAACTGCTGTTTTAATAATTGCACCACACTTAAGTCATTGTATCCAGAGTCATAGAGTCCTAAAGAGACCACTACTTGTGCTTACAGTTGTAGACCCTGTAGTTTATTGCACTGGACCTTTAATATCCATAATCAATCAAATATTACACTTTGTCTTTTTAGCTGAGGAAACTTGGAGGGGCAAACAAGACATAGTATCATACATTTATTATTAGTGTTAAATACGAAATTAACTTTTAGTGCAATATAATTAATGATCTGATTGTTCTATTATCTCAAGTACTAGAGATGGTTTTTGTTGAATAGAAAAAGCGTGCACTGATCACATTCTGTGAAATTTTGTTATTATCACAATGTTGTAAGAACAGTTAACCTGCATTTATTGTGCTGTACTCAATACTATTGAAGTAAACAAACTTTTTATCATAGAGAAATCCAGTGAGTGCTATACAATGGTTAATATTCAGACATTTCTGTACTGTATGCAAGCTTTATGAATTATGTGTGTACCGTATTATGCCTGCTCAGGTTGAAATCCCAACAAAATACACGAATCAGACCTGTGGACTGTGTGGGGACTTCAGTGAAGGACAATGAAAGTGTTCAATGAAAATAGTGAGTCAAATCCAATAGTTAAAAATTATTTTTGTATATTACACTTTGTATGTGAAAATGAGTTGATGCAAGTTAAGTTTAACATACTGAAAAATAAAACATTACTGGTAAAACATTAAATTATTTTAAAATGAACATTTTTAATTTGTGCTGTTGCATGAATAAAGACTGGCTAAAAGTTTTTAAAGCTGTTGCCAAGTAATAAAAGTAGTTAATGCATAATAAGAGTAATAAGGGTCCAAAACAGTGCCAGTATTGATTTACCACACCACATTTAGATTTAAAAACATTAACAGCATCTGAATCTCTGATGGTTTTAGAAAGGGCCTTCCACAGCCGTAGGGGAAGCACTGCTGAAATCCTGGTCACTAATGGAACAAACACAACTTAGAGAGAGGAACAGTGAGGACAGCAGAGTCTGAAGGACAGAGCGCATGGGCAGGACAGAGGGCATGGGCAGGCCTGTGTAGGTGAGAGATTAGTATTGATTAACCATACCAGGTTTAAAATTAAATATAAGTTTAGATTAAAAAACATTAACAGTATCTAAACTCTGATGGTTTGAGGAAAGGCATTCCACAGCCTTGAGGCAGCACTGCTGAAATTCTGGTCACCAGTGGAATGCAACTGTGAGAAAAAGTAAGGAGAGCAGAGTCTGGAGAGCAGAGGGCATGGGCAGGCCTGTATAGGTGAAGCAGGTCAGAGAGAAAACCGGGTGCCGATCCGTTTAGGGCCTGTAAGTGAGATGAAGTATTTAGAAGGTTGTGCAGTGTTTAACGGAGAGCCAGTGAAGATTGGAAAGAATGGGATTGTGAGGTAAAACTCTGACTGCTGAGTTTTGTCTTTGCTGCACTCTATCAAATAATGTATATTAGAGACCAAACAGGAGACCTTTCCAGTAAGCCTTGAGACTCATTATCAATAATAAGTCTGGAGTTTAAGGTGTGAAATACCTGCACAAAAAGTCTTAAATTATGCTTCAGTTTGATTTTGTTAAACTTTGTAGAGAATATTCCAACAGTTCTGATCTTATTTTTTTTATCATCCTTCTCAGAGCAGTTTATGTGAACAGCTGCTTGTTCATCCAGCCTTCAGCAGCTGCCACAGAGATGGAGGACTAACAAGTTTTGTGGTATGTAATTATTTTAATTAACATAAATCTGGTGTCATCAGCAAAGCATTGAAACTTGAGATCATAGCAGAAAATGTTGTCCAAGGAAACCAAAAACTGTAACAATCAAGACTGGATAAGGAAATCCACACTAATGCAGTAGAGTTTAATGATCAACATACAAGTGGAAATCACAAGACGAAGTAAGAGACTGTGGTCTAGAAATGTAAGGCTGGCTAGGACAGTCTGAGCTAATACAAATGCTAACAAGGTAAACTCAGGAGGATAGGTAATAAAAGTGAGATTAACAGAAAGTTAATGTTAAGGATTAGTCTAGTAGTAAGACAAGACAAAATATAAACCATGAACACAAAGGCATCTAACAAGGAAAGCGGCCTAGAGCAGACACAAGACAAAGTGCTAAGACGAGGCAAGATGAGAAGCAAAAGCTAGATTAAGACAAAATAAACAAATCTACAAGGAAGCTGATAAGGCAACAGTCACATGGGAAAACATTAGGCAGTGTCCACAGTAACATTTTTCTCCCACTGCCCCCCCACCCAAAGAATTGACTCTTTTTCTTCTTAGAACATTATAAAGAATTTTTGAGAATAATTTTGAATTATTGAATATGTCGTTATTTTAATTTTTGTTTTCATTCATATTGTGGCATCGCCATGCTGATGTATGCAGCTCAATGCAAAAAAAAGGAGAAATGTTTATGCTGGGTGTGTTTTAACTTGGTTTGGACAAGGACTTTTATTTTGAAGGGCACTAACACGGGTGGAGTTGTTGGGGGAAGAACGCTTGCTGTGTTTTTAGCTTCTATCTAAGGAGGCTGTTTTAGCTAGCGAGCTAACTGTTTGGTCATTGTAAGTTAGCGTAAGTGCGCGCCTCTTGCTCTGTTTTTGCTGTGTTCTCTGGAGAATTCTTCAGTAAAGTTGAGTTATGGTTGCGGTAGACGGGGCAGAGACATCTTATAGTTCAACTCAGTTGTGGTTTCGTGGTTAGGAGCAGCAAACACAGAAAAATAAGGCTTTGTGTTGAGCAAGCTGCAAGTCTTGTTTCATTCGTGTAATATCAGTTTTTATGCCCCCTCTTTTTATTTACCTTGGGGTCAGGATGTGTAGCGCTTTTGTAGTTCCGAATCCTGACAGGCCTGATCATTCTGTAGTAAGTTAGCTGAAGAGAAGGCTTCTCCACAGACCGCTTCTGCTGAGGACGCTACAAAGGACGCATTATGCCAGGCAACGGTCTTTTAAATGAGCCAGACCGACTGTCACTGGCCCAGACAGACCAGCCACTGGCCAATCAACCCGACCGACATAGTTTTTTATTGGCTCCGGGCCATTGCCTGCATTAGGACACGCAGCTAGTGACTTTTAGATGAGTTTTCCTGTTTACAAACATTACTAGGTGCACGCACATCCAGGGGGACACCACTTTAGTAACTTATCCATTTCAGAGTCGGATCTCTTTGTTTGTCTTTCATTTGCATGTTAATTTAACATTATGTAAGACGTTAGCCGACAATAGTTGACCGTCAGTATCATCACGTCTCTATGAACACCCCACTAAGTTTGCTATTCACTAAATGTTTATCTAATAGCAGCTATCCAAATCACAAAAACCTTTATGGTTTACTGACATATCCTATAAATTTGGTTTTGTTTTTTGTTGAGCCTGTCTGTCCTGTACTTTTATGTTGAAATATCGGGGCTCGATTGGTGATGTTGTTGGCATTGGACTGCTCTCTATCCCCACTTCCCACCAAAAGGATAGCACTTAACGTTTAGCATTTACTTTGTTCTGTGAAGTTTAGAGTTCATAAAAACTACACGTTTGCCATATTGGGCTTTTTTCCTTTTCATAGAACAATAGATTGTATAAGATTTGATCTTAAATACATAAATGTGTGATTGATGTTATAGTATATTTGCTATTCATACTACTTTGGCACTCTCATTATGTGTACAGACAGAAAGAGGGAGAGAGAATAGACTCCCAGTGGAATGGCAGATCGTGTCCAGTCTCCCTGTTGTTCACCGGTAACACAGCGCAGAGGGTGTATAGGAGTGTAGAGGGTGCAGTTGAGCTGCCTTTGCTCATAGATACGCCCACCATACCAAGAAGCACAGCATGGAGGTCAGGAGGAAACAGTCCTTTAACTGCTGTGTTAAAAAGCACACAGATCTAACAGAAGCGCACCAGTTATAGATTTTTTCACTTTCACTGAAAGTTTAGCGTTTTTCACTGATGGAAAGAGTTAAAGGTGACGTTCTACATCACGTCTCGTAAACTCGTGTATCATCTAGGATCCCAAGTTTACCACTTGTAAATACGACTTTATCGGCTGTTCGAACGCAGTTTACAGGCTTGTTAGGTCTGGGGGGGTGAGGAAACAGCTGGCACAGATTACGTTGGAAGCCTATAGGTAGCTCGGACTGCACCAGTTACCTCAATAAATTAGTTTTCAGTGATGGTTAGAAAGTAGGCTCCAGCACCCCACCGCGACCCAGAAGGATAAGCGGTTTAGATGATGGATGGATGGATGATGGTTAGAAATTACTGAGAACTAAACATTCTGCAACCATTTTCTCTGCACAACAACAACTCGTCATTGTTCCTTTCTGACACGAAGGGTGCTGCTTTCTATTGCTTTCTGCCCCATAGTTGAGCACAAATCTCTGTGAGGACGTTGCACAAAAATGTGTCTGTAAGCAGTCGAGTAATGAGAAGGGAAGAAGCCACAGGTGAAGACGGTCAGGAGCACGGACTACTGATCACCAGGAGGGGGAAACTGACAAGAACTCAGTCTTATTCAACACCTGCATGATTTGTATTGTGAAATAGTTCTTTTTTTTAAGTAAGACCCTTTTCCTAATTCAAATAAGATCTTGCTGAAAACCATCAGTGTGGCACTATTTTAAAAGACAAATGATTTGTCTCTGTCACACAAAGTGGTCTCAGGGTTTGATGCTGCAGATAGTAGAGCAGTAAGTCATAGATTTACTGTGTGAAAGGCAGCATTAAGGTCTAAAGTAGAGAACAGTTTTGGGATGAATTTAAGTTTGAACAGGTGGTCTTTACCATGAAGGGTACAACCAGAATAAAATCATTACTGAGTTATTTGATTAAAAGAATTTCTCTTCAAAAAAATTAAACATCAACACCTAAGAATGTTTATGCAAATGACAAATTGAAGTTCCATAAAACGTCTCTTACTAACAAGACAGTGTTCTTCTTGAGTGGTAATGTTGTCTCCTGTGTTTCTCCTGTATAGGTAAAGGGTGTCCATTTAACCTGGAGCACAAGGAATGTGGGATTCCATGCAAAGACACCAAGAGGGGAGTGTAGTCTGCAGTACACACTGTAACGATGGCTGCTTGTGCCCACCAGGTAACCTCGACTCACAAACAGCAGTAACACACAAATAAAATAAAAATGTGTTTTATACAAGACATGGTTTTGCTCAGTTGACCCAGCTGCCAGAATTGACATTGTCTTACAAAATTTTGACAGTAATTTAACATAGTATGAGTTGCAAGCACATAGTAAGAGTTGTTTGACTGGCCAGAGCATGTGGTCTAAGTGGGCTTTTGGAATAACATGCTTTATAGTAAGGCTAGCTATATGGGACTATTTGCCCCTTTTTCTTGAGCTAATTGGTTTATCAGCACAGACTTCCATTGGTGCATTTTGCACCTGGACCTTCAGGCACAGTTGTGGTATAGAGCACAAGCTCTAGTTTCTGTCACGTGAATTGCTGACCCCACAACAGACAGAACAACAAGCTCAGTTGGTATATTCAGTTACTAGCATTAAAGATCTAACTGCCCAGCTACAAAATCTGGGTATGGCTGCCAGAATTGAAAGCCCCGCTGACCTTTCAACTTCCAGTGAGGCTGTAAGTTCGACCTTGTCCGTAAATAAACCTGAGACATGATTCCAGTAAAGCCAACGACCGTGAGGAACCTATGCAGTGTGATTCATTGTGTCTGTCACAGGAAAAGGAGGTCTTTGCAGATACTGTGGCGCTGATGGTCACGTTCTACGTGACTGTCTGGCCCGTCCACACAGACCTCAGTCACCACAAAGGGGTTGGTCTCAGATGGGGCTTCAGTAGGAACTGGATCCATTACTTTAAAAACCAAGCCAGTGCAAATGAACACGAGTGCCCTCCACATTGAACTCCTCTTTTCTGGTTCTAGACGTTTCAGAATTTTTATATTTTGGGCTTACCTTGATTAGAAAAACACAACGCTCACATCTTATAGTCTGAACAATTATTATTATTGTGGTTGGATTTTTGCCAACACAACTGTATCACACTTTCCCAGTTTGGCAGTTAGGTCTACTTCAGTAGAGAGTCCAAATTCTGAAGCCCTTGTTAGCATTCTTCCAGAGTATGTTAATCTCCAAGAGGGTTTAGTAAAAGAAAGGCCACCAAATTACCTCCTCCGTCCTTATGACTGTACCATTGATATCATTAATAATTCAGCTCTTCCTTCTAGAATTTATCCCTTAACTCAGGAGGAGAAATGTGCTATGGACACACTGGATACATTCGAGAGGCCTTAGAGCAAGGTTTTATTAGACCCTCTACCTCTCCCCCTCTCTACCTCTTAATAACTGGTAGCGACTTCTAATGAGGGCACAGTTGGTGATTCATATTTCAACTGGTGATGCTTTTTCCACTGCTGGTAAAGGAAGGGACAGGGTCGTCGCTACAGGTTCATGGATAGGGGGCTAAGCCTGTATTGGGGGGGTCTTTGGGCATAGTCCCTAATTTTTTTTAATAGCCCCAAAATGTTTATAATGCACTTTTAAAGTAGCAACAGCTAGAAAACGTCATGTACATCATCTGCGTTAAGTATATCAAAAAATGGTTATTTTGTAAAATTGGAACACAGTAGATCTGTCTCTTCGTACAGATTTTCGTAGATCTTCATAGTTTGTATTAAGCACAGAGCTAGTATAACAAACTATATCCATCCACTTACAACAGGCACATATCAAATACAATTTCTGAAGTCAAGCAGTGCTCTCTCTAAATTGAGCTGCAAAGGTCCTAAATATATTATTCAAACACACAGATTGTAGATCAGTTCGGTCTCAGTTGGTGCAATCAGAAAGAGCATGATTTACCTCTGTAGGCATGTTTAAAGCTAGGTGACAGAATTTCATGCGCATGGTGACAAATAGCATATTTTCATAGTTAAATTAAATTCAGAAAGCTTATACAACTCTCCCTCACTTTCTTCTTAATCACTCACGTCCATCAGAACTGCTCTTTCAGTCTTGTCAGTTCTCTTCAGCTTCTTTCTCTCCCTCTCTTCTTGTGTTTAGCAATACATTAAACTTGACTCAGATTTACAAGAATTCAAGGAAATATCAGTCATTTTTTTTTGTTTTTGCCGCGTCCTTTTTTGTCCCTCTTGTTTGTTCAAACTCTCACACTCAGTATGAGGTGAGGTTAATCCATAGACTCTATGGGTTCCATTTTGACCTCACAATAAATGCATAATGCATGTTAATGCATAATGCAATGCATATTTCTAGAAGTAATGCTAGTCAGGAAAGATTATTGAGTGTGCAAAAGCTGTTGTGTTTGAAATGCTGTTCCCTTATTTTTGTCTCAGATCAAATCACAATTTTCAGACCTACATTCTACACCATTGCTCGAACTCTAGGCCTTTTTTTGGTGATCCAAATGGTTCCAACTATGCAAGTGTACATAGTAGACAGCTCTAAAAAGAAAGGAACATTGAGCGGTGTAAGGAAATCTTTTATCTTGCTTTCATCTTTCATATGCTGAAACTTCTGGTGATAATGTGTGTCTTTGCCTTTAGGTTTGTGTGGGAACTTTAATGACATCCAGGCAGACGACTTCAAAACAAAATTAGGACTAACAGAGGGCACAGGTGCAACGTTTGCCAACACAAGCCTATGTCCAACTCTCCTGACGTTAGTATGAATGTGGAAAAAGGTACACGCTTTAACCTTCAGAACATTTTAATGTACATGTATCCAAAATTGGGGCAGCACGGTGGCGCAGTGGGTAGCGCTGTCGTCTCACAGCAAGAAGGGCCTGGGTTCGATTCCCAGCCGGGTGACCGGGGTCATTTCTGTGTGGAGTTTGCATGTTCTCCCCGTGTCTGCATGGGCTTCCTCGGGGTACTCCGGTTTCCTCCCACAGTCCAAAGACATGCAGTCAGGCCAATTGGACATGCTAAATTGCCCCTAGGTGTGAGTGAGTGTGTGAATGTGTATGTCTGTCTGTCTGTCCTGCGATGGACTGGCGACCTGTCCAGGGTGTATCCTGCCTTCCGCCCAATGACAGCTGGGATAGGCTCCAGCACCCCACCGCGACCCAGAAGGATAAGCGGTTTAGATGATGGATGGATGTATCCAAAATTAATGTAGAAGCAGCTTCTGTTTGAAATCTAAATTTGAAATTTGAAAATTCTCTGCCCTTTCAGAGAAATATGCCAGGGAATGGTGTAACATGCTTACTAAACCAAAGGGAGTCTTTTCACCCTGTCATGCTGAAGTCAACCCAAAGGACTACAAAGACGTAAGAGTATTTCTTTTTTCACATCAAATGTGCAGGGGCGAAATTGAGCTATAGCCTTGAAGATGTTTCCAGTAGTCTCAATTCTTTTTCTGAGATTAAATATATGGTACAGTACTATTTGATTTGACAGTTTAACAGTAAATCACTCAATAAATGTTTCAGTCTAACTCTGTGTATTACTGGAGGAGCCTGTTGCCAAGCTGGTCAGCTTAGACTTAGTTAGAATCAGTTTCCTCTCTTTCAGTGATGCACACAAAACTATTTTAGGCCACTAATGCTCCCTTGTGAAGAATCTTCAGTCTGGTAAATGTGTATGTGGGTTAGTTTGCATAACCAATGTGTACAAATACTTTTTCCTTTTCCAAAGAAGAGTGCAGCTTCACTCAGTGTAGTTACTGGAATAAATATATTACCAAATCATATATTCATTCAGATTTTTAAGGGGAAAAAGAAGCTATTTTTGGCTGTTATGTTTGCATAACCATGCAAAATGGGCCATGGGTTCAGGCCCTAATGCTGCCACGCCCCTGCCTATGAATACATTACATGCATAGATGCTATTAGAGGAATTTTATTAATGAACTAAACTGTGTTGCTTTATCTTTTGCAGAGGTGTATTTATGATACATGCAACTGTGCCAAAAGTGAAGAGTGCATGTGTGCAGCTGTGTCCTCCTATGTATATGCGTGTGCCGCCAAAGGTATGGATACAGCTGGAGAAACGCCATATGCGGTGAGATTTCAAACTGTTTAAAAAAAACAAAACAAAACAAACCCCCCATTAAACTGAGTACAGCACAGCTTACTATTAAGAGTTGCTTCAAATCTAATAGTAGAATTGAGAACAAACCGCTGCTAAACTGGGAGAGTAGGCTTTTCATATTCACTTGTATATTATTAAGGTCATAAGTTTGCTTTTTAAGTTTTGAATTGCAGATATACAGCTTTACATTGGTAATAAGGCATGGAGGTAAAATGCGTGTGTAAACTCTTTTTATTAAAGTGCAACTTAAGTGGGACTTCATGAGCAGGCAGAAATGGAGGGAACGGGGTATCAATGAAAACAAGAACAGAAAAGAAAGGGTACAAATTAACAATTTTTGGCAAAGAATAAGATTAAGACAAGGACCAAGGAAACAATAATTAGGAAACACAACAATATTTACAAGGTGGAATTAAACAAAATACACATATTGACAAGGTGGAGCTACAGGGAACAGGCTGGGGCAGAGAGAAAGCAGCAGAACCTTTGTTTGGAAACTGTGACAACAATCGTAGGTCATCCTCCTAATTACTGTCAATGACAAATCAGCTGAAACGATGAGACATGTTAGAACATTAGAGCCAGGTGTGTTGACCCTAAGAGTCTTTAGAGTCATAGACCAGAACCAGACTTGGACACAAACTTCAGTTACATTAATTTATTAATTAATTTAATTAAAAAATAAAACAAAAATTCTCCTTCTTTCTTTCTTTAGCACTCTTTCCCACCCCATAACAATTGGATGAAAAACAGTAGAGAACACAGTCACCTGTTTAACTGAACAGTACTGAAAGCGTTTGTTTTTAGGTGCCTCTTTAACCAGGTTTAACTACTTGCTGATGAAACAAATTTTGTTACATGTTCATCAGTATTTTATCATCACTTAGAGCAGTAACTGAAGTGTTGAAGAATTTCTCCTACTATGAACATGTTTTTCTCATGTTTATCTCTCTGCAGATTGTCCAGGCAATAGGAGTACTACTACAGCCTGAGCAGTTGTGAGACCACCTGCCGCAGTGGATATGACTACACCTGTCAGGTGATTCACACGCCTGTGGATGGTTGTGACCCCCTCTCGGGTCATCAGCAAGGATAGGACTACATGGTAATAATATGAACTTAAAGCTGCACTTTGTTAGAGATTTCATGACCACATCTTATGTCTTTATGTATTAATGTCACACATAGGCTCAAAACGAAGATCTGTCTTGATGTTTAGGTCGCAATCCACAGATTCATCGGCTTGGAGAAGGAGTCAGAAGTAGCGTTGGGCACTATTCCTAGCTCAGATTTTTCCCCTCTTTCTATAAGTCCTAGTTATCAGTGAGCTCCCACAGCACCATTTAGTGAGCCTCTCTAAAGTATAAATGGGCAGAATGTGTTTATTCTGCTGTTCAGAAATGGAATAGGAATTTTATACAGCATCATTCTGAAATACTGTATACCTTATTAGCGTTATACCACCCAACCATATTCTGAAGCACAACCGACATTACAAAATGCTCTCCCACACGTTGCATGCAATTACACATTTCCAAATCCCCAAATCTTACACATTAATAATTCTTTGTTGAGGCATCCCTGTTAAGCACTTGTGTTTAACATGCTGTAACACAGTGTTTCTCAACCCTGGCCCACTGTCCTGGCCTTTTTTGTAGTGTTTTCCCTGCTCCCAGCACACCTGATCCAACTAATCAGCTTATTAATAGCCCATTATTACATTTTTAAATTGGCTGTGTTAAGGCAGGGAAAGCACTAAAATGTGCAGGACAGTGGGCCTCCAGGACCAGAGTTGAGAAACACTGCTCTAACACAACTGGTTTGGCTCATAAGGCAGATATCAAACCATTCAGTCACATGCTGTATATCAGAGCATGTAAAACATAATATATATATTCTAGATGTAATATACATGTAATATACAGTTCCTGGTGTAATATATCTGTAAATAAACACAGATCAGCTTAATGTGTTGTTTCTTATAAGATGTTATTCTGTCTTTCCTTAGCATATGCACTCAAGGCAAGCTACCCTGCACTGGGCAGCAGCAAGTTCCAACTGCTCTGTGGACAGTGTATAAGTGAATCTGCAGACAGTGGTGGATAAATGCATGAATATACCAACAAGTGGATAATTAAGTGTGTGAACCAATGAATGAAGAGGTAGATCTTTTATCATGACTTTAATGTTTTTATTTTATAGTTTTGTGTCCATCCCACACAATTCTGAAACTCCCTGAAAAAGTTTTATATTACACACCTTCTTAACCAGTACTTTAAGGCATGAGCTCTGTGTGTTTCTGACCGTCTACCATCAAATGTATACAAATGTTTTGAACCAAAGAGAAGAGATACAACTTATTCTATATAACACAATAGTGTTATGATGCAGACACATGGATAGATGTCAAAACACAAACAGCAAATTCACAAACACTGCAGAGAAAAACACAACAGCAAAATCAAATAACTGACAGCAAATAGGTCATTCCCCTGCAACTTACCTGGGCCCTGTCCAGTCACATCATGGATTTACATGAAAAAATCAAGCAAGAATTTCAAATTAGTTTATACATCCATACAAAATTTCAGAGGTATTATCCAATGAGTTTTTAGGTTTTGTCAAACTCCCTAGATAAGATCTCACTCAGGAGTCATGGCAGAGATGAGTCTGTCACTCTGGGTGCTACTTCACAGCTGTTTAGTGAGGGTTTTTTGTGTACACTTCACATACTGGAACTTTGTATTGCTATGTATTTGTCTTGGTCTTTACCGTACTGTACATCGTAATAGTACAGTAAACAACATTTGAAGAAATTGCTCTTGCTTGTAAGTAAGCTAAATTTATGGGTAATCACATTTTGTGGTTTGAAAATGTAAAGTGTCATGATTTAAAATTTGAAAATAAAATATATAAAAAAAAGAAAATGTAAAGTGTTTATTCAGTGGTTGCTATTTATCTATATTACACATATACACATATATTACATGTGTGTGTGTGTGTGTTTTAGTAAAAAGTGAGTTGTTCTCTGTTACTATGAGGTTTTAGGTTACATCTTTTGTAAACATGCCTACTTGCTTCCTTCAGCAGTTTCCCATTATTCACCAGAATCAGTCTGATTTATAATGATGTATCTTCAATGTGAGAGTAACTTTTGAAAAACTGTAACTGTTTTGTGAGACTTTTTTCCCACTAGCTGGCAAAGGAAACCAGCTATTGTTGCTGCAAGGAAGTTGAATATCTTATTGTAACCATAAATGTATTTACTATCTTCAAATCATCATAACAATGGAGAGAATGGATTACTCAAGTGACGGATATGATTTGTCTGATGAGGAGGACAAGCTAAAAAGGTAAATTCAGCAAGGTAGTCGTACCTGCTAAGGTGTCTCTTACATCTATTTTCTGTTAAATAAAGACAGAATTGCTGTTTTCTTTACAATGTAGTTTCTTGAACATGCCAGTGATGCAATGATACAAACTAGTGCTCAGGTGTGCTAGATGAGACAAAATGTGCATACTGTGGGGATGCCAGGACTGAGATTGGGAACATCTGGTGTAATGTATGCTCAATATTTTACAGAGAAAACACTGATAAATGAAAACATGAAAATGACCAAAAGAATAATTCTGTCAAATTAATAAGGCTTAGGCACATAATGCTGTGCTATAAAATCGACAACAAAAACATTAAATGGGGTGCATGGCTTCCCCAATGTTGATGTCGTGCCGTACTAGGTGAGTCAACCCCAGCTCCTCCTCTTCAAAGGCAAAGCAGTCCTGAAATTCCACTAAAATCTGCCACATTTCTCGCTGCTGTTTGTCCAACTCACCCACACTCTTTTTCCAGACGTGGCTGTCATTTTATTTTCTCCTCTGTTAGGTGGGACCCGAGTCTCTGATTTGTGTCCTGCCGGGCTATTTATGTATTTATTGTCCAGCTTTCACATCCATAAAGAACCACAGAGAAGACCATAGTCTGGGCATTTCTGATCTTTGTTTGTAGAGACAAATCATTCCATTTGAAGAGCTTTTCAAGCTCTTTGAAGTGCCAATCTGCATGATGTTTCTTGAGTGCTGGATCCTCTGTTCTTATTCATTGAGCCAGGTAGGCAAAACCTGCCCACTATTTCCACATCTTTCTGCATAATTGGAAAAGTTAGCAGTCTTTCTTGTTGTCATAACCTTAGTCTTCTTCATAATGAGCTGAAGTCCCTTTGTTCTTTAACCTTCCTTATAAGGGGCCTTCAGGGCCTTCCGCTATTAGTGTGGTGTGATCCACATATCGAAGATTATTGATATCTCTTCAACCAATCTTAAATCCTCCATCATCATCTTCCAATCCTGCTTCTCTCTTTATTTGTTCTGCATACAAGTTGAACAGGTATGTTGATAGTATGCAGCCTTGTCTGACTCGTTTTCCAAAATGGAACCATTCCGTTTGTCCATTTTCTGTCATGACTGTGGCTTGTTGATCACTAGAGTGGTGAGGTGCTCTGGTATTTCCATTTTCCTGAGGACATCCCATAATTTGACATGGTCAACACAATCTAACGCTCTGCTGTAGTCAATGAAACATATGTTAACTTCCTTCTTGAACTCCTTGGTTTTTCCAGTAAACCACTGAACATCCTCAATAATATCTCTTGTTCCTCTACCTTTTCTGAATCCTGCTTAATGTGGCAGTTCTCTTTCGATGTCAGGCTCTAGTCTGTGTTGAATGATCTTAAGCATAATTTCACTGGTGTATGATGTTAAGGAGATTGTGTGATAGTTTGCACACTCTTTCTTGTCTCCAGATTTGTTGGCATAATTTGTTGAGTACTTTATATAATTAAAGCTTGAAATTAACTTTCCAGAGTTCTAAGACTACGACACACAAATGTACACACCAAAAAGCCAGACAGAGATGCTGTTTCACATTTTTTTCTTTGCATTTTCATTTTGAAACATGCTAGTCCCTAAGGCTAAGGTCAAGAATTGCTGAAATTAGCTCCCTTAACAGACACCATGCAAATAACTACAGCTACATACTTTTATTGTTTGTGACTATTTAAAAGACTCTATTTCTGTGATCCCTGCTTGGGAAGATTTCATAGAAATTCTTAAGAGTTATATTAAGTGAAAGAAGTTCCATTGGCATCATAGATGTAGTTAATTTCCAGGTTAATCAACCACTTTATATTTTAAAGTACTTTAAGCATAATATAAAACACACATCAAAAGAAGACCAAGAAAAAATTATACAATCAATGCCATAACATAATCTTTTTTTTTATATTGTGTAAAAAATACATTTTTTAACCCCAGTTCCAAAAAAGTTGGGACGTTGTGTAAAATGTAAATAAATGTAAATTAAAAACATGATGCAATGATTTGCAATTCTCATAGACCCATATTTCATATTTCATAGAACATAGAACACATATCAGATGCTGAAAGTGAGACATTTTACCATTTCATGAAAAACATTAACTCATTTAAAACTTGATGGCAGCAACGTGTCTCAAAAAAGTTGGGACAGGGCCATGTCTACCATTGTGTAGCATCCCCTCTTCTTTTAACAACAGTCTGTAAATGTCTGGGAAGTGAGGAGACCAATTGCTGGAGTTTTGGGAGAGGAATGTTGTCCCATTCTTGTCTGAGGTAGGATTCTAGCTGCTCAACAGTCCTGGGTCTTCTTTGCCGGAGTTTTTATTTCATGATGCACCGAATGTTTTCTATTGGTGAAAGGTCTGGACTGCAGGCAGGCCAGTTCAACACCCAGACTCTTCTTCTGTGAAGCCATGCTGTTGTGATGGATGCAGTGTGTGGTTTGGCATTGTCTTGCTGAAATATGCACGACCTTCCCTGAAAGAGACGTTGTCTGGATGGGGGCATGTGTTGTTCTAAAACCTCTATATACTGTTCAGCATTGATAGTGCCTTTCCAAATGTGTAAGCTGCCCACACCATAGGTGCTAATACAACACCATACCATCAGAGATGCAGGCTTTTGAACTGTGCGCTGATAACAAGCTAGATGGACCCTCTCCTCTTGAGTCTGCAGGACACGACCCCCATGGTTTCCAAAAAGAATGCGTACAGGGATTTCTCCAGATTCTCTGAATCTTTTGATGATATTATATACTCCAGATGGGGGATATTCAAAGTCTTCGCAATTTTATGTTAAACATTTTTCTGAAATTGTTCAACAATTTTTGATGCAGTTTTTTGCAGATTGGTGAACCTCTGCCAATCTTTGCTTTGGAGAGACTCTGCCTCTCTAAAATGCTCTTTTTATACCCAGTCATGTGAATTAGTTGCAAATTGCTCCTCCAGTTGTTTTTTTATTAGTACTACTTACTTTTCCAGCCTTTTGTTGCCCCTGTCTTTTTTGAGATGCGTTGCTGCCATCAAGTTCTAAATGAGTTAATATTTTTCATGAAACGGTAAAATGTCTCACTTTCAGCATCTGATATGTGTTCTGTGTTCTATTGTAAATAAAAAATGGGTCTATGAAATTTGATCTTTGGGCCCTCAAGTGGCACTGCATTAAAAACAGACATGATTCTGTAGAAGAAATCACTGCATGGGCTTAGAAACACTTCTGAAAACCATTGTCTGTGAAAACAGTTCATCACTGCATCCATAAATGCAAGTTAAAACTCTAAAACACAAAGAAGAAATCATATAAGTAGGATCCAGAAATGTGGCCACCTTCTCTGGGCCTGAGCTCATTTAAAATGGACTAAGGGAAAGTGGAAAAGTGTCCTGTGGTCCGACAAATCGAAATTTGAAATTCTATTTGGAAATCATGGATACTGTGTCCTCCGGGCTAAAGACCACTCAGCTTGTTATCAGTGCACAGTTCAAAAGCCACTATTCATGATGGTATAGCGGAGCATTAGTGCACATGGTATGTGTGATGTGCACATCTGTGAAGGCACCATTAATGCTGAACGATATATACAGGTTTTGGCAACATATGCTGCCATCCAGATGACGTCTTTTTCAGGGAAGACCTTTCTTATTTCAGCAAGACAATGACAAAACCACATTCTGCATGTATCACAGCAGCATTCCTCCATATTAAAAGAGTCTGGGTGCTGAACTGGCCTGTCTGCAGTCCAGACCTGTCATACACTGAAAACATTTGGAGGGTTATGAGATGAAAAATACAGCAAATGAGCCCCTGAACTGATGACCAGCTGAAATCCTATATCAAACCAGAATGGGAAAACATTTCACATTCAGAACTACACCAATTGGTCTCCTCAGTTCCCAAACACTTATAGAGTGTTGTTAAAAGAGGTGATGAAACACAGTGGTAAACAGGCCCCCATCCCAACTTTTTTAGAATGTGTTGTTGCATCAAATTCAAAATGGGCATATATTTTCCAAAAAATAATAAAATTTCTCAGATATGTTGTCTTTGTGGTATTTTCCTTTAAAAATATGATTAACACGATTTTCATATCATTGCATCCTATTTTTATTTACATTCTGCACAGCATCCTAAGTTCTTTGGAAATGGGGTTGTATTTTTAACAAAAAATATATGCATAGTACATTGTATTTCATAATGAACATATAAACATGGTTTCTGTTCTGCTCAGTTCTGCTTGTTATCTGGATTAGTAGTTAATAATGGAATGCCTAGGGCTCTTATTGTTTATTTTTAGGAAATTGTTGACTTGGTGTCTTAGACCAATACATCCTGTAGCTGCGACTGTCTCCAACCATGGATAAATGTAACATTTGTCACACACTGAGTAATACAGTTTCTTTAGCATATGTTTGATCTTAAGCACGTTTCTATGCATTCTAAATTTATTTAACTCTGATTTAAGAGATTGACATTGTTAAGATAAGACATTGTTATCTGATGATCTGTGACAATTCAGAAATAAACACATATTGAACACATAGAACCTGTTTGATCTCAAACACACAATTCTATACATTCAATATTTAAATGATTTTGAATTGTTACAGATCAGATACACTGTAAAAATATAACTTAAAAAAATAAGTAACCTGGTTGCCTTAAAATTTTGAGTTAATTCAACTTCAAATTATAAGTTAAATGAATGTAAAACACATTATTGTTCTGTTTACTTACTGCTAGAAGTTCAATGAACTCAAACGTTTAAGGCAACCAGGTTACTTTATAAAGTTAAAATACTGAATCATTTTTTACAGTGTAACAATGTGTGTCTTAAGTCAAAGCTCCGCCCTGAGATCACTGTTCACTATTCATAAGCTCCATGTCTCTTCAGGAAGAAAGCACAGAGAGAGGGAACAGCAGCCTCTCACATACAGCCTGGCACCCATGGGTACCCTCACCATGCTGCGAGTGTGGGTGCTGAGTGTGGTTACATTACTAAATGGAGCTTCAACACAGCAAACAGGTTAGAAAGTCATGATGGACTTATACACGTCAGTTCTTGGTTATGATTTATATTAGAACTGTAAAAATGTTATGTTTAGTAAGTTAAGTATCTTTTCATTTTTCTATTAGTGCATGTTAATTGAATTGCTTAACACAGCTGATTTTTCAAAATGATTTTGTTGCCTTGGTGATTTTTCTCAATTTAGACATATTAGAAATTAATAATTTCATGAGATGTGGTTTGTTGATATCCTTGTTTACTTGTATGCTTTTTTTTATATATGTTCTTCAGTAAAACACATCAAAATACATTTTAAATTGAGTTTATTACTGTTGTTATTGCTGTTATTTTGACCAGCATCTTTTATCAGTATATATGTCTTTTTTATTTTGTCTCCCACCAAGTGTCCCAAAGGTATATACTGCCAACAACACGGTTTATACAGCCGACAACACGAATCATAGGTGATAGCTATCAGAGTCTTTACGGTAAACATATTCCTACAATATTAACCCAAATCTCCATTACATTAATGGTTATTGAAGGCAGCATTTAAGAGAATATGTTACTGTTTCATCAGGAATCAACGTGGATCACAACCTGCAGGTGTGCAGCACATGGGGAAACTTCCACTTCAGTACATTTGATGGACAGTTCTTCCAACTGCCTTATACCTGCAACCACATACTGACCACCCTGTGTGACAGCACCAAGACTGACTTTAACGTCCAAATGAGGAGGCAGTATATCAACAATCTCCCCACCATCAGCTCCTTCACCATAAAGATACAGGGGGCTGTAGTCCAGCTTCTTGGTGGCAACATAACCATGAATCAGAAGATGTAAGTGTTTTTTGAACGTATGTGATAAAAAACAGACAGTAAGAGTGAGCAGTTTTGCGAGTGTTTGTACTGAGAATGTTACATTTTAGGCTGCACTGAAAATGTGATTTGGTGCTGTAACTTAAAAAAGTAACCTGGCTACTAAATATTGACTTTATTGAGCTTCATTTGATAAGCTAACAGAATGAAAGGCAGATTATGGCTCTGTTTGCTGACTATTAGATGTTTAATACATTCAAAATTTCAAGCCACCTCGTTACTTACACCCAGTTAAAATACTAATTTCTTATAGTATCAACCTAATTCACCAAAAAGTTGAGGCAGTAGGAGAAATGAAAAATAAAATCAGACAGTAATGATGTGCAAATCCCTTTTGACCCATTACAAAGACAAGATATTAAATGTTTCAACTAATTGACTTAATAGTTTTTGTTCACATACACTTATTCTAAATTGATGTCTGCACTGTGTCACATCACCTTTTGTCGTAGCTGTGAAAGTGGATTTTTTTTATTACAGATATATGTTGTTTTTAAATGTCTTGCCCTTTACGAGGTTTCTCCAGATAATCTAAATCTTTATATGACATTCTGCAGCATAAAGGGTAAAAGACCTTAAATTCTCGCAAATGCTTGTTGAGGAGCACTATTCTTAAACTGATGATGCATTTTTGGCAAAGTGATGGGCCTCAACTCATCCTCACTCATAAAGGCCTCTGCCTTTCCTGGATGCTCCTTTTATGCCCAAGCATGATTGCATCACCTGTTTAAGATGTTTTTGGACCATTTTACAACGTTTCTAGTCTTAAATTGCGACTGTCACAACTTTTTATATTGCAGGTTTCAGCATGTGCGTAAAATTTATAAAAATTAATGAAGTTTGAAAGTTAAATGTTACATATACTGTTTTCACTTAAATTAAGGTCAAAGCGAATTTACTTTCTTTTTTAATTAGCATTTTATCTGAGGTCCCAACTTTTTTTTGGACTTTGGTTTGTATATTTTTGACATGATTATCTTGTGAAGGTTGTTCCGATCTGTATGGAATTCATTATAATACAGTACACAAAGGCTTGTTTTAAGAGTTGAAAATGTTTCCACAAACCTCTTTTTATTTGATTCTAACATTCTCATAATGTGTGTATTTTTAAACAGTGTGGACATACCAAGCAATCAGAATGGAATTTCCATTGAGAGAATTACAAGTTTCATTAAGATCAGCTCCAAGCTGGGATTGACTGTCTTTTGGGATGAACGCAACTCTCTGTCGGTATGATCGAACTAAGCTTTTCATTTCATACTGCATTTGCTGCGTATGATTAAAACTGAAGGGAAGATGAGCAGGAAATTTGAGTGTAAATTCATCTTAACTCTTCAAATTAGCACCTAATTCTTATGCTTATCCTACACTTTAGAAAATCATAATTGTAATCTAACTGAAATCAATTATAGATACACTGTAAAAGAAATTAGTGCTATATCTTTCAGTAACTAACCTGGTTGTCTTAAATTTAGTGTCTCCTGAACTTCTGCAATCAATATATTAACAGAATGAAACACAGATTAATGTTCTTACTATTACTATTAGATCAATGAACTCAACATTTTAAAGGGATCTCTGACTGTTAAGAGTATAAGCCTTAAAACTGTGTAAATGTGCAATACTATTGAAATGTGATGTATAAACCAAATAAAATGGTTTTGTTAGTTGTAAAAAGACATGACAACCAAGCAGAATTCCTCTACTAAAAGGTCACTGTTGTTGCACCGTGATAATGTTAAATGGTTACACTGGAATAAAAAAAAGGTTTTATCAAGGACAAGATAATGTTATAGCTAAGGTTGGAAGGGTTGAATTATATATCTGTTTAACTAAATTAAAGCTTTAGCCTGCTGTTTCTTCGTTCAGCAGAAAGGAGAAAGAGCAATCATTGAATGCAGCAAGAAAAATGTCAACTAGTAGTCTTATTTTTAAGAAGATATAAAAGAGTTAACTTGGTTCATACAACATATTGTAATAGTATTGGACATGTATACCATATTGAGGCTTACATGTCTTAACAGTCAGTGTTCCCTTTTAGGCAGCTCAGTTACTTACGTAATTAAGTTAAAGTGGCAATTTTATGCGGCATAATTTCTATGTAAAGAAAATGTTGTCATTTTGAAAGAAATAAAACCTTTTGACTGAAAGTGTATTTGATATACTGAAGGTGACAGATGATTGACAGCTGTAATGAAGCATTATCAGCTGTCGGATCCTTCACTCAGTGTCAGAACTCGCTTGTTGACTGAAAGCTGTACTGTGGTTTGTTAAAAGTCTCTCAGACAAAACGCAAACAGCACATTTTCATGTAAAGAGTGTTTACATACAAACAGTAAGAAGGAAAGATAAATATTGAACAGGATATGAAACTTACATGTCATAATCTAATCAAACAGGGGAACATTCCAAATGGTTAAAGAACATTGGGAAAACTGAACTGTCTGGTTCTGTGAGTTAAATGCTGAGGAATTCCACAAAGATGTTTGGCAACTGCTCTGCAAACCTGAATATCTTTGTTTACTACAGCAGCCAGCCCCATATGACATCTCTCCAGTTAATCCCTGTAGAGAAAGCCAGATAAGAAACTTTGGCAAAGAACCACGAAGTAACGGTTCTACCTGTTATTTTCTTAATAATTTACTAGCGCTGCCACTGATTCAATGGCAGCTGCTAGGAGTTCACAGTAACTGCTCTTGTAATTGCAGCTGGAATCACATCACAATCTTTATATCAAATCCCTTGTTTTTTTAAAGGGGTAACTGCTTGTTCTTACAGTTGCATATGTTCACTAAGAAATCAAATGCTTTTTGGTGACATATTTCATTTATAGAATAAGAAGAAAAAAGGAAGAAATATTCGCATTATAATGTCTTTTCAAGACACAGAAGCTTCATTTGTTTTTGTTTTTTTTTGTTTTTTTTTGTTTTGTCTTGTTTTGTTTTTTTATAAAATGAGTAGTAAACTTTCTTACATTCAGAAGTCTCTGATCCTGCAGGTATCATTCCTGTGTAGTTCCTACTGAGGTGCACTGATAATACACCTACATTTTAGTCCATTAATATTTAGGAAGACTGGAGCTCACATTTATATTCAAGGCACTGCATTAATTCATTTTACTTAATATGATATTATTATTTTTTAACTTTTCATTGCTAAGTGATCCACTGTTGTTTCTACACAGTAGAACAACAAAAGCATCTTACACAGTAGAGTAAGATTGATCACATTAAAGATATAAACAGTCCTTTGGATTGAATAACAAACCCTGTGTCTGAAAATGATATACATTTTAGACTGTTGTAGTCAGTAAGTATAAATATGTTACATTTTTTGGTATGAATTTATTTTTTAACTGATATTATGTAATAATGACATCATGGCTGCAGCAGAATTGTTATCTATGGAGTTAAATTTTATTCTAAAAGTTTAAAATAAAATAATAAAATCTACAAGCAAAATGTTAAGCATCAAAATGTCCAAAATATGTTGCAAATACAAATAATGAGTTAAATCAGACCTAAGTTTTCAAAAAGATTACCTCATTTTCACTCATTCTGAAATAAATGTATTACTCATTTTGTTAGTTTTTGCTTTCATTTTTTCTGTTTGCATTTTTTTGATATATTTTTTTGCTTCTGGAATCACTCTTGTGCTTCTGAGATTTTTCTTTTGCTTTTGACTTTTGGCATTTTTCGAGAGGGGGCAGGTCTAGAGGAGGGGGCTCACCTGTAGATTTTATTGATTTATTTGAAACTTTTGCCACAAAATTAGGTCCATAGTTATCAATTGATCTTATATATGTGCTGCTGATGAAATGTATTTTTATACACACATACATTAAGTACTCAATCTTATACAGTATACATACTCAGATGTTTTTATTGTTGTTTAAGTGCTGAGAAATCCAGTGAGTATTCTCCATTCATTACTATTCAGATAATCACAATATGTACTGTATCTACTCATCAGATTGAGATATCCACAAAGTACAGGAATCAGACCTGTGGACTTTGTGGGGACTTCAATGGTGTCAAGAGCAATGAGTTCAATGAAAAGGGTGAGTCAAATCTGTTAAATAATTGTTTTAAAATGTATATTAAGTGTAAAATATACATTTGTGCCCTGGTTGTATTAACTATTACTGTTCATAATATTTTTAAAGTAACAACTGCCTCATAAACAGACTACCATACATATACTTCTCAGTAACTATTGATGAACTGTTTACTTCTATGAATAATCAAAATACTAATCTGACAATTAGAACATAAATTGTAATGATTCTCTGCACAGCTGTAGTGTTTTACTGAAGACTATAGTGATCTCCAGATCATTATCTTCTGTCTTAGTTACATTTTAAGCACATTTCATATCCATTGTAAAAGGTGAGCAAATGACATCACAACAGTATGGCCTTAAATGGAAGATGGATGCACCTAAGGAGATATGTGAGGAAACGGCGCTCAATACTAAGGAATGTCAGATTGAGGTAGGAGTTCTCCTGATATTTCAAGGATTGACAAGCTCTTTTTTTTAACTAAGGATGTCTTCTACAGCACCAGCCAAAAATGACATGGGCAGTGCCCACCGTAACTCCAGCTCACACCCAGCAATTCAAATTAAAGTACTAAGATTTTGGACTATTGTGATGTTCTCCCTAAGAAACTCAGTGGAGTCAGGGGTCGGGTCCATAACTGAATCATTGATTCCAACCTGCAGAAAAGCTCAAAACAGCCAGGGAAACACTACAGCCTTGCGTGCTAAGAAACAAAATCACCACTCACTATTTTTTTTCTTTTTCCCAGCCCACCACCACACCTGTGTTCAGGCTCTATTAGAATAAAGGTCTCTGTTTAGCTACATGTGTAGCAACACCATAATATGTATGGGATTTTTTGACAATATGTATGGGAGTTTTTTTGTAATGTTGGTTTTTGTTTACTTCATGTCATTCTATAAAATGTGGAATGTGTACATGTGTGTCTGTGGCCATGTATTTGCATATTCCCACAAATTCCCACAAAAAAAAGAAAATACCACATTTTTATTCAGGTTTACTAAAATTTGCACTTGGTTACAATCTTTATAACAGTAACAGCATCTTTTTATATTTTGCATTAAAGTAGACCTGTGCTTTAACATTTTGACACAGACTAGTAAGGGTATCAAATCTCACTTTTACAAGTGCCTAGCTTATGATCAATTCTAGAGTTTTGCATTCAAAATATCTTCATGGGAAACTAGTACAGTGCTAAAGAACAGAAAGCTCTGCAGAAGTAATGACTGATAGCAGTGGTTGTGAAGCAGTGACTGGATGGCCAAGAAAATAAGGAATGGCTTGGGTTGGACTGCCCTGCAAGTTCAAAAATGATGCAGAAGGGGTTAGGACATTTTTGGCCACAATACAACAAAAATCACAAAAAATTAAATCAAACGTTTGTCTTTTAAAAAAATTGAGTTTGTACTGAAATTTGAATATAGAGTACCATTAAATAATTGTTAGTCTTCGCACACACTTTCTGTCAGGCCTTGGTGTGTGTGGATTCATTCTGTTGTTGGAGCGCCTGCTTTTCCTTGTTTACAATTTAAATACATTTCTATTTTTATTCACACTTTTTCCATTATGTAAACATTCCAAATAAATAACAGCAGTCAGCAAACAGCAGAGGTAGTCTTTCTAGGGTATTTTCTCTTTTACATTGCTGTTGATTTTCTTTAAACTATGCTACTTATGCAGTGCACTTTCAACCACTACTTATGAACCTCTTGCAAAGAAAGTCAATAAATTCATTCATTTTTTTCCTAAAGATTTGATTTTGGGCAACTTTCTAGCCAACAGTTTCATCAGTTTCATATCATCATTTACAGAAAACCAAATGTGAAAAGCTGCTTTCTGATCCAGCCTTCAGTAGGTGTCGCAGACTCCTGTCCACTGATGCGTTTGTGGAAGCCTGTGTTAGAGACATGTGTCAGTGCAACAGCAGCCAGGCTGTGTGTGTGTGTGACACACTATCTGAGTTCTCACGCCAGTGTGCGCATGCTGGGGGCAAGCCGAAGAATTGGAGGACCAACAATTTGTGTGGTAAGTAATTAACATAATCAACATAAATTTAGGTGTCATCTGCACCTTGTGTGATGAGGGCGAGGGAGCAGTTTTGTAAAGTAGTGCATCTGAAATACACTACTACTAAAGTGCACTTAAAAAAAGACTCAGCATGTTATGGGCACTTGTTCCTTGTCTCCTTGGTGCAATGTATTCTTCATTACTGTAAAATGTATTCTCAAAGTGGTATTGCTGGAATCTGCAAACCTGGAGCTCTTGGCTCATTCCCAGAGTTCTAAAACTTAACTATTGCTCAGATGTTAAGACATTTTTGAGAGGCGTGGGGTAATTCTTTACTGAAATCTATCATGAGACTGAAAGTAGGAGTTTATATCATTTACTGACCAGTTTTTGTTTTTTTTTCTGAGTGGTAATGTTGTCTCCTGTGTTTCTCCTGTATAGGTAAGAAGTGTCCATTTAACCTGGAGCACAAGGAATGTGGGAGCCCATGCAAAGACTCCTGTTCTAACCAAGAGGAGAGCCAGGTCTGTGCTAAGCACTGTGTAGAGGGCTGTTTCTGTCCATCAGGTAACCCTCCACTCACAAACAAAAGTAAAATAAACCAAACAAATATACCAGGACATTGTACTATATGCTAGACATAGTTTCATCATCTACAAAGTTCTAAAGCCAAGGTGCTCCACCCCTGACTTTGGAAAGTAATTAAAAAACTGGTAACTGTAATCTTGGAACTTTCAGCTGATTCCCAGAATTATTCTTAGAAAAAATTTCATTGGGGAAACAATCAGTTCATTTAGGGAAGTATAGGACATTTTTCAGGCTAGAGTAAATTAGCTATGTCAGAAAAGTATGATCAACAGAAAAACAGCAATAAGAAGAAAGAACAGGCTAGTGTTCTGGTCAGCATATCTAATTAAGATTTGTTTTTAATCTGGTGAAAATGAATTTGTATGTTGTTCCCCTATTTCCACCATTTTGCATGCTGCAAGTTTTGAAGTCTAGCATCTGCAAAATAGTGCTCAATTACATGTCTCACTGTATAGGACTTGTGTTTAACGACATTGAGAAAAAAGGCTGCATCCCAGTTGATCAGTGTCCCTGCATCCACAATGGAAAGATTTACCAGCCTGGACAGTCATACAATAGGACCTGTCAAAAATGGTAAATGAACAGATAAATGTTCACAGATACACACACTGATTGAAAAGAAAAAGCATTGTTTTCATCTTTCACTCTGTTGTGGTCAGTGTGTGTTCTAAAGGCCAGTGGAGCTGTAAGAACCTGGACTGCCCTGGCACTTGCTCTTTGCAGGGAGGGTCACATATCACCACATATGATGGCAAAGCTTACACCTTCCATGGAAACTGCCACTACGTTCTTTCTAAGGTCACAAAACTCATACACATTTATTATATAAGGAAGTTTAAACCAGTGACTGTTCAAAATACGTTCTGTAATGTTATCACTAGTGCAACATAAATGCTCTTTTTATGACCTGTGGGCAAGTTGTAATACGAGTAGCAGTTGTTCGTGTATCAAAATGTTTGAAAATATACTCTTTTTTTCCTCAGGATAATAATGTGACTGTATTGGCGAATCTGGTGCAGTGTGGTCAGACGAAAACTGAAACATGTCTAACTGAGGTCAAGTTCATCATCCCAACAGCTACTGTAAGCATTTCCAAGAATATAAACGTTTTTAAATATTTTAAATAGCTGTTGACTGGTCCAGACATTCCTGCCTTAATCTCATAACCATGTACTTTTCATATTAGTTTCAGAGCGTCTGCTGGTGTAATAAGCCTTAAGAGTACTAACTGAATAATAAGTCTGCAGTTTAATTTAAGGAATTAGGCTGAAACCAGTGATATAAATTAACTATTGGAACTATGGGTATTACAGCACTGCGGCCTCAGTTTAGCATATTTCTATTAATCCACAAACCAGGGATTGATTACTGACCATTAGGGGCCCATTAGAGGTCCCATGACCAGCATAGTTAGTTTGGCTTTTTTAAGTCACAGATAACCCATACATTAGCAGGTTCGTATAGCACAAAGTTCATCAATTAACATTTTTCACATTGGTACAAAATATACAAAAAATACACTATATGGCCAAAGGTATGTGCACACCCCTTCTAATTACTGAGTTCAGGTGTTTCATCCACACCCATTGCTAACCGATATTTAAATCAAGTACATAGCCTTTTAGTCTCCGTAGATAAACATTGGCAGTAGAATGGGCCATAGTGAACAGCTCAGTGACTTTGAGCATGGCACTGTCATAGGATTGCCACAAGTGAGTTTATGAAATTTCTGCCCAGCTAGATCTGCCCCAGCAAACTGTAGGTGCTATTATTGTTAAATGGAATTTAACACAACTGTCAGTTGTGTGCTTCCAATTTTGTGAAAAATTCCCCAGTACTGATAACATAAGTCCACAACAGTAGCACTTAGATTTCAGGAGAACTTGGCAATCATAAATGAAGAATGAGGGATATTTTGGGTAAATTGGAACACAAACAACAAGACTATGCACAACACAGGCAGGACAGATAGGGAGTAATATCTTGCCAACAAACGGACTGCTGCCATCTTCCCCTAACTGTCTACAAGATCGGGTTGGTTGACACATGTTTCATGTTTATTGAGTGATCATTACAATTACTCAAGTATGATAATCTGAAAAAATACTTGTTAATGCACTAGATGCCCAAAGATTTATAGACACCCCTTCTTGTCTTATTGAAAATAAAATCCCCCCTCATTGGGCTGTTCTCTTGAGTGATCAAGCTCCATCCAGTGCCAGTTTGAGATGAGCTGGATTGACATTTGTGATCCAGAACTAATCATCTAACACAGTACCTGACCTCACCTATGCTCTAGTGGCTAAATGTAATCAAACCCTCACAGCAAGGTTCCAATGTCTAATGTAAAGCCTTCCCAGAAGAGTAGAGGCTGTTACTGCAGCAGAAAACCTAGATAAGCAGATGTCTACAAACTTTTGGATGTTTAGTGCATTGTCTCCCAAACTATTCACATCAAAACTTCTTAAATATTCATCTCTATGAACAGGTTACATTCTTGTCCATTGGCACTGTACGAGTGAATGATATTACAAACAATCTTCCAATTTTTGTTGGTGAGTTTTCAATCATAAATACTTTCCATTGTTACCTTATGGCAAAATAGAAAGACTGTTCTTGAGTTATGATGTCTGTCAGTGCAATGGGTGAATAATGGCAAAGTGGGAAATTTCAAATTATATCACTTTGTTTGGCACTTGATCCTCATGTCCTGAGTCATATGTACACATGACTCAAGTAAATGTGGTCATAAATAATTTAACAGGATATCTTAATTAAAGAAAGCTTAACAACATAAAAAAACACATGCCCAATCCCATTTCTTATTTTTATTCCTACCCCTTATTTTTGATTGTCTCCTTGCCCCTTGGAACTGAGCTACAAAGAGTAATGGTTGAAATGTTCTCCTACGAAATTAGATTACCCCCAAATAAAGAAGAAAATAACATCATTAACAGGCTTCTAGCGGTGCTGTGTAGGTGACCCTGCCAGTCTGCAGTGACAGCAGAGGAGCAGTAAAGTTCAGTAACCTCACTGCTCATCTTTAGTTAAATTCAGGGCATCATATGCTTTCAAAGAGGGGGGATTATTTATTATCACCCACCCCTAATTCTTTAGTGATATGAAACCAAAGTCAGCACTGTTTAAAGTGGAACAGGTCATTTAGCTAGCTAGCTACTGAGACATCAGCATACTACTAGCAATTTTTAATGCTTGAAGTAAAGGACAATAAAACAGTGAAATTACAATAAACTGGGATAATACAATGGTTATTGTAATTTGTAACAAAAAATTACTTACATTTATGGGTTTCTTTGGTTGCTTGGACCATGTAGCCCTAACACTTCACCCTACTCCTCTATCTCAACAAAAATTGGGACATCCTACCCCTAGGAGTGAACGCACAAAATGGAGGGATAGGGCTAAGTGGTAGGAGCAAGGGGTGAAATTGGATTGGGCCCTAGATTTGTTTAGATTCTTTATTCAGAAAGAAAAACAACAAATAAAAATGATTAAAATTATTATTAATAATAATCAACATATACATTCCACCGAAAAATATAGTTCCTTTAGAAAATGGCATCGTTGCCAAGCAACCATGGACCGCTGAATGAGGAGAAGAATGTTCGGTGACTCATCGCTGTATATTGTGTTCATTTCATGAACTTCTTAAGTTTTATTTCATAATAATGAGCATATGATAACACAGCACTGTTCAATGCAAAAACCTTAATTTAAGTACTTTTTGGTCACCAAATTCTCACCGTGAGTCTTAATTGGCATCAGTCTAATGGCATCCCTCCTCCCATCCTGAGGCTGAATCTCAAACAGCTTCCTGCTCCCTACATAGTGCATTATGTAGGAATGTAAATCCTGGCTCCTGCACCCCAACAGTGCCTAATGTACCAAAAAAAATGGTCATTTGGCATTCAGCCACATCCATATTTCACAAATAGTGCACTATTTGGCTGTAGAAGCTAGAATTTCAGAAGGTCCATAGCTAGCACACTATTTAGGGAGTACAGAGCCCTTTTGAGATTCAGCCTGGGTTTGATGCTACTTAAGGCAGATTTGAATGAAACATAGACATTTGAAGGCTATAAGCCATTAAGGTGACATTTTTTACACTCTTATATTGCCATTTTACTGTAAATCGTATTGTAAGTACTTCAAGCCTGTGATATAGTAGCATCCTGCTACTGGCTGGCGCCTGGATCCTATGCACCCTCCTGAAAAGGGTCTCTTTCTGTTGTTTATGTTGCCTGTTAGTTTAAGTTGTGTCCATGTGTCTATTGTGTTGTTCTGTGTCAGGAAGTGAGGTTGTTGTGAGGGTAAGTCACTGTAGGGATGAAGGTTGTAGCAAGAGGTGACCTCCCCCATTAGTTCAGTGTACTGGATGTGCTTTTCCTTTGGTGTGTTGAATAAAAAGCACTTAGCTGCAGCAGAAGCATGGTCTCCCCTGCATCCTGCTTTCTGCAGATGCCACAACATGAATGATGTGGTTGGTGAGCATGTTTCTTTTCTTTTAGCCTGTTAGCTAGCTAGCTGGTCAGCCTATTTCTATTAAGAAAATTAGTTGTGTGCCCCTCAGTTTAAACAAAACAGGTTTTTACTTCATCAGAAAACTCAGTCATCCATGCAAGCATCATTAATGTGGGGTGCTGGAGCCTATCCCAGCTGTCATTGGGCGGAAGGCAGGATACACCCTGGACAGGTCGCCAGTCCATCGCAGGGCAGACAGACAGACGTACACAGTCACACACACATTCACACCTAGGGGCAATTTAGCATGTCCAATCAACCTGACTGCATGTTTTTGGACTGTGGGAGGAAACTGGAGTACCCGGAGGAAACCCACGCAGACACGGGGAGAACATGCAAACTCCACACAGAAATGACTCTGGTCGCCCGGCCGGGAATCGAACCCAGGCCATTCTTGCTGCAAGGTGACAGCGCTACCCACTGTGCCACCGTGCCGCCCTACTTCCAAACAATGAACTCAATAATCATTTTTGATCACTATATGCACATTAAAGTATGGAGGATCAAGCTGAAGTGTCCCAATTTACCCTTAGTCTCACTTTACCAATATTCACCCTATTTCTAGACTTGTATTGCTAATTAGTGGAAATCAAAGCCATGGTGTTTGAAGTGCTGCTTTCTTATATTTGAATCAGATCAAGTGACAATCTTCAAGCCTTCTACGTTCTACATCATCGCCCACACTGCAAGCCTTCAGCTGGTGATCCAAATGGTTCCAGTCATGCAAGTGTACATTGTAGCCAGCTCTAAAAAGAAAGGAACATTGAGCGGTGTGTGTTTCCACCTGCTGCTATAGCACTATGAAAATCTTTTCTTATATAATGAACTCCACATGACTAATGTAAATCTTTCAATTAGGTCTGTGTGGGAATTTTAATGATGTCAAGGCAGATGATTTCAAAACCGAATCAGGACTGAAAGAGGGCACAGCCGCGACTTTTGCCAACACATGGAAAGTTATGACCACCTGTCCTGATGTTAGTAACTGCCATCAAGACCCCTGTAGTATGAGTGTTGAAAAAGGTAACTTTAACCTTCAGATAGATGTACACCCCATAATTATCAAAACTTAATATGCAGAACAATACATTTAAAGTAGCAACTTAAGCATGAAATGTACATGAAAAGTTTTAATTGTATAGTTTGAAATTCTATGTACTTTCAGAGAGGTATGCCAAAGAGTGGTGCTCCCTACTTACTGACCCAAAAGGAGTCTTTTCTCCCTGTCATGTTGAGGTCAATCCAGTGCCTTACAAAGATGTAAGTTTAAATCATTCATTACAGTAGCTGTTTTACATCATGTGAGTATGAATTAACAGCAGCTATCACGTTACAGTTCAAAAATTCTTTTAAAGCTTTTAACAGTGTAAATCATTTTTCTGTAGAGGTGCATTTATGATGCATGCAAGTGTGCCAGAAGCGAAGAATGCATGTGTGCAGCTGTGTCTTCCTACGCCCATACGTGTGCTGCTGAAGGTGTTCTGCTTCAGGGCTGGAGAAACACCACCTGTGGTGAGATTCTACTTTGAACAATTGAGAAGTTTTGTGGGAGTAGAACAGCAGTAGTTCCAAATTTAGCCGTAGAAGTTTATTACATCTAGGACAGACACTATTAGATACCAAATTTGAAAATGACTAAATTTATTGACTTTCATTGTTTTAATTAATTTCCATGCCCATGCCCTTGTACCATACTAAGTATAAAAAATTGTGTGTATACAACTTTACCATTATAGGTTATCCTTATCCATGCAAGAAAACTCACTGTATCTATTACTAAGAGTGATCATTTGGTTAAAAAATACGTCACTCAAAAAACTAGTCAGAGCTCAGATAGGTAGACCAATAGTTATACAGTGTAATTAGCATCATTCTGACTTTGCTGTATGGCTGTATGACCTGAAATAAAAATACAAAAAGAAAACAATGATAAGCAAATCATTTAAACCCCATATTTTATTGAAAATAGTGCAAAGACAACGTATCAGATGTATGTAGATAACTGAGAAATACTATTTGCCCATTTTGAATTTGATGCCAGCAACACGATTCAAAAAAGGGGACATGTTTACCACCATGTTGCATCTCCTCTACTTTTAACAACACCCTGTAAGCGTTTGGGAACTGAGGAGACCAATTGCTGTATTTTACCATTCTTGCTTTATATAGTATTTCAGCTGCTCAACAGTCCGGGGTCTCCTTTGCTGTATTTTTCATTTTATGATGCACCAAATGTTTTCAGTGGGTGACAGGTCTGGACTGCAGGCAGGCCAGTTTAGCACCCTGACTCTTTTACTTTGGAGCCACGCTTTTGTAATACATGCAGAACGTGGTTTGTCATTGTCTTGCTGAATTTAGCTTCACTAAAAAAGATGTCAAATTGATGGCAGCATATGTTGCTCCAAAACCTGAATATATCATTCGGCATTAGTGGTGCCCTCACAGATGTGCACGTCACCCATGCCATGTGCATTAACGCACCCCTGTACCATCACGGACGGCTAGCCTTTTAACTGTGCACTGATAACAAACTGAATGGTCCATCTCTTCTTCCTGAAGGACGTGGCTGATTTCCCAAAAGAACTTAAAATTTTTCCACTGAGCTCAGGCCCAAAGAAGGCGGTGGCATTTCTGAATCCTGTTTATTTATGGTTTCTTCTTTGCGTGATAGTTTTAACTGCATTTGTGGATGCAGCGACAAACTGTGTTCATAGGCAGTGGTGTCCAGAAGTTTTCGTGAGCCCAAGCAGTGATTTCCACTGCAGAATCATGTCTGTTTTTAATGCAGTACAGCCTGAGGGCCCAAAGATCATGGCCAGCCAATATCAGTTTTCTGCCTTGTCCCTTGCCTACAAATTTTTCTGGATTTTGGAATCTTTTAATAATATTATGTACCATAGACAATAAAATCCCCAAGTTCTTTGCTATTTTACGTTGAGAAACGTTATTCTTGAATTGTTGCACTGTTTTCCCCACACAGTCTTTCACAGAGTGGTGAACCCCTCCCCATCTTTACCTCTGAAAGACTCAGCCTCTCTCTGGGTTGCTCTTTTTATACCCAATCATGTTACTGACCTGTTGTCAATTAGCCTTATTAGTTCTGAGATGTTCCACTTGCCCTTATACATGGATATATTGGAGCATTTCACTGCATCCTCTTCATGTATTTTTGTTGCTGTTCTATTCTTGCTTTATCTGTGCACTTTTTATTTTATTTATTTATTTTATGCTGCGGTTGTCAATCTCTTTAAATTAAATTTTGTTACTTACAATACAACATCTCCAAAACCAAATATTTCAGTTGTGACAATTTTGACTAATTTTAAGCTTAACTTAAAAACTGCTAGCCAGTACATGACTACAAAGTAGTCAGTTATTGACAGTTACTTAATTGCTGAAAATATGTGTTTCTGTAGTGACCGTTCTTAAGAGTACACCATGATTTTCAGACTTTGGGACACATTTACTTCAAAAACAATAACATTTCTCAGTTTCAACATTTGATATGTTGTCTTCATTGTATTTTCAATTAAATATAGGGTTTAAATGATTTGCACATCAGTACATCACTTGAAAAAATCAAAACAATCTTTTTAAAGACAACAAAAGTGTGTTTTTTTCACAAGTGGAAATTTAGGGCTTAGGGTTTGCGACAGACACTTTCCAACAGAAAGTACCTTATAAATGATGATTTTGTATATGTTTATCTCATTACTCAAATCTCAAATTCTCAAATTAACAGAAAAAAATGTTACAGTGGGGAAACATCTGGCTATGTTGTTGTTACATCTATGTTGTGCAGGCAAGTTTCTCCAAAGATTGTTCAGGCAATATGAAGTACTACTACCACCTGAGCAGTTGTGAGACCACCTGCCGCTCCCTCAGTGGATATGACTACACCTGTAAGGTGTCTCACACACCTGTGGACGGCTGTGCCTGTGCCAAGGGGTACCTACCTCGATGACAAGGGCAAGTGTGTGCCTGCCTCCAGCTGCCCCTGTTACCACAACAATCAGGTTGTGGCCCCCTCTCAGGTCATCAACAAGGACGGAACTACATGGTAAAAGTATTAATATAATCAGTGACTCTGTTCCCTGTACCCCTGTTCAATGCTACTGTTTAACCTGCTCTAACACACACAGTTTAACTCTTCAGATAAATACCAAACCTTTATGAGTTCAATCAGGTGTGTTGGAGCAGACAAAGCAAAAAAATAGTCCTAGAGGATAAAACAGAATCAAGGGAGACTCTAGGACTGTGATTGTGTACAAACCTTTTACTGCAGTAAAATTATATGTAATACACACATATCAGATTAATGTTTTATTTTTAAACTTTTCACAGCACTTGCACTCACGGCAAGTTAGAGTGCCTTGGGGAACTGAAAATTGGTGAGCATTAATTAATTGTACAATTTGATTAATGGAATTGTGTCTCTTGGAATTGACATATTTGAATTGCATGTTTATGTTTCTGGTTTAGACTGCCCAGCTCCCATGTACTACTTCAACTGCTCCAAAGCTGGACCTGGAGCAAAAGGTGTAGAATGCCAGAAAAGCTGCCACACGCTGGACGCAGACCAGTGTGTAAGTACAGTAACAGATGGGTGGTTAAATGGACAGACAGATGGATCAATGAATAAGAATGTCTGTCAGAGAGGGTGAATGGAGAGGTACATCATTTAATGTTATACAACTAGGTGCCAGTTTTATTATATATCTCTGTGTCTATTTCATACATCTCTGCACCCAATGAAGAAGACAGTCCTCAAATGGCTTCTGTGTCAATATATTTACCATTTCTTCTCTATGTATTTGTGCCTGTCATCAAACGTATAGAAGTGTTTAGAAGCCTAAGAGACACAACTAATGTAATAAGATATAAAAGTGCTATGATGTCATATGGTGTGATATCTTACAGAGGATTCATTAATTGTGTATTTAGTTTTTACTTTGATTCAGTTTTGACTTTATTTATATACAGAGAACATCATCAGTGCCTATAGTTACGGTAAATGATACATTTTCTGAAATTTTCCCTGTATGTTGTGGGTCACAGGTGAGCACACAGTGTATTAATTGAATTAAAGCTTCAGAATGAATCAATTTCAATGTCAGAGTCTATAGTTAGTGTAAATAGTAAGTTCCCTGTGTGTTCCTTCTGTGTTCCCAGATGAGCACACAGTGTACATCAGGGTGTGTGTGTCCAAATGGTCAACTGGCTGATGGACGGGGAGGGTGTGTAAAAGAAGAGAACTGTCCATGTTTTCACAATGGAGTCTTCTACCAGCCTGGACAAACTGTTAAAGAAGACTGCAACACATGGTGAGCAAAGCTAACGTGGTGCCATTTATGTGCTGCTGTTGGTGCTGATGTTGTATGCATGTATGTTGTATGTATACTGTAACATGCATTATAAGCACACAGGCTTTCTACCAATGCATTTGTCAACTGATTATTAACTCTCAAACTATTTCTGCTTATATTATGAAGTCTTGCACTGCTTTAACCAGAAAAATGTTATGGATTTTTCAGCACTTGCAGAAACAGAAAGTTTCTCTGCACAAGCAAAAAGTGTCCCAGCACTTGTACCATCTATGGTGAAGGTCATTACATGACCTTTGATAGTATGAGATATTCTTTCAGTGGAGACTGTGAATACGTGTTGGCCCAGGTATGTTATACAATGATTGTTATGCTATATACGGTTATTCTCTTACATCTCCCAATTTTCATCTCTTAAAGCCCCACTTTGTAGCAAAATACTGTATAAACAGAACTACAAAGTGAAACAACAAAGTAATTATTTTTTAAAACAATTATTTTATATTAGTTTTCTTTGTAACTTATAGAGTAAAACATTTGTAAAAGTGCTACCCAGGGCTGTAACTTTTCCTTTCATTTATCTTTTTCCCATTCCTCCAGTCTTCTACAAACTGCCATTACTGTTCCATAAACCCGCTATCCTGTTTAATTTCATTCAATTATTCATTTAACTATTTATTACAATTATTTCCAACCTGTATATACTAAATCCATTAATAGTTACATTGATGGTATTTCATTAGTCTCTCTCTGTCTCTCAGTTTCTGTCTCTTCTGCTCTCTTCCTCCTCTGTCCTAACGGATTACTGAAAAAGCATACATGAAAAGTACTTTATAAAAGTCCATCTCTACCAAACCCCAGCTAATGGAAAAGAAGATACTCATACAGTTAACAAGATGTAATATAGACAAATGTATATGCTGATTTCTAAATTACAAGACCAACACAATCCAACTTTGAACAACAATCAATTTCTTATCTAATCATTAATATAGCCAACTACAGAGTCTGTAGCCTAAATTAAGCAGCTGCTGGAACACAACTAAAGCATGCTGATCCAAATAAACGAGTTATAGGATTGGCATTTTACAGTCATAATCTGTTAATTACCCTCATAAACTCTCAAATTTTTATCATAGCTATATAGTATGTTAGCCTGTGTGTGCTGCATACCTGTAAAGTTACATCTCAAGAGGTCAAACATCTGGGTAGCATTAGTGTAGTGTCTCGTACAGAAATAAACACAGCAAGCAGTTCAGGGCACTAGCATTACTGATTGGTTGGTGAGCGGAGCAGCTCATCATTTTGCTTAAATGCTCCATCTGAACTCATTCATTTTGGACTCCCTCGGAAGTGCCCTCTAGCGTTTGAGAAGTCCGGACATTACAGAGTGGTAATTCTCCTCTCTACAAGTTCTCTGGCCAAATGTCTTGTTGTTGAATTCCGGGTGACCCCAGTTTTATACATTAACAATGAAAGAGTACAGAGCGTCCTCCTGACAGTCCACACTGATAAAGCTCTCCTCCAATACTCATTGATTTTCACCTGCACTGCGGTCGCCATGGCAACATTTGCATGGCTTCATGCTGCCATTGGCTGTGTACAGTGCTGTGAAAAAGTATTTGCTATTTCTTCTATTTTTGCATATTTGTCACACTTGAATGTTTCAGATCATCAAACTACTTTTTATATTAGACAAAGATAATTCAAGTAAACACAAAATGCTGTTTTTAAATGATGATTTCATTCAAAGTGATTGTCCCCTTAGCTGCTAAATCAACCAGTTAACCAAATTCAATTCACTATTTGGTTCAGTTTCACTGCCCACACCCAGGCACGATTATGGCCAGACCTGTTGAATCTAAACATCGCTTAAATAGAACCTGTTTGCCATGTGAAGCAGGCTAGAAGGTCTTAAAAAGCAGCACATGATGCCACATTCTAAAGAGATCAGGACAGTGATCCAGAACGTGTCCAGATCAACACAAAGATGGATTACTGAACGCAAAATTAAGCTTCTGCCGTGGCCATCTCAGTCCCCTGAACTAAACCCCATAGAAAACTTGTGGGGTGAGCTAAAGAGGAGAGTGCATAAGAGAGGACCAAGGATCCTGGACGATCTGGAGAGATTCTGTATAGAGGAATGGTCTCAAATTCCCTGTGCTGTATTCTCCAACCTTATAAGATGTTATAGGAGAAGACTAAGTGCTGTTTTATTGGAAAGGCAGGTTGTTCAAAGTATTAAATGCAGGGGTGCAAATAATTATGGCATATGTGGTTGTGTTAAAAATATTTTTTTCTGGATAAGGGATTTTTTTTTTCTCAGAATAAATTTACTTCCATTACAGGTTGGATTTTTCCCATTTTTCAGTGTGAGATTAAGCTAATTCACCAAAAGGTGAATTGTTTCTAACTTTTTTTATTCATATCTACCTGGGGTACTAATAATTAGGAGGGGACTGTATTTGGATTTTTTCACAGAAAACAATTTCTCAAAAATAAGTTTGTGTAGACTATTTTGGAAGATCATCAGGTGCCTTAAACTAGACTGACAGACAGGAAATGGCTTTCAAGGTACATTACTGCTTAATGAAACTATGCAGAAAATCATGTCAAGTATGATAACAACATATTTTTTTAACAAAAATGTCAGCCAATAAAACATCTATTTCAGATAGCTGAGTGAAGTTGCCTAATGTTAAAGTCATGTGGCTGTTTCTTGATTCAACTCAATCTGTCATAGCAGGTTAAATGTGGCGAGTATGATATCATAGTAATTCTCCTGTGGGGAAAATTGAGCCACCGTTGTGACGCTAATCTGACTGAAATAACCTGAAAAATGATAGATGCAGTTTACTTCACTTTGCCTGATTCATTTCTTAACAGTTGTCATACCAAAATATGAAATCTAACAGCATCTGCTCTTTGCAGGATTACTGTGGCAACAGTCTTAGTGGTTCATTTCGTATCATCACAGAAAATATCCCCTGTGGCACAACTGGGACCACCTGCTCCAGATCTGTCAAACTCTTTCTAGGGGTGAGGTTATCACACAGCTTCCTCTTAGTATCATTGCACTTCAGTACTATCATTAACACTAGTCAATTTAAGACTTTTGAATTGTTGACCATGAAAAGTTGATAAATATTTTCGTTTCTTCCTTTTTCAATGTTTGTAGAACAAAGAGTTCATACTGTCAGAGGAGAAAATTAAAGTTTTCAGTACTAATAATGGCACAGAAATCGCTCACAAAATCTACACTGTGGGGATTTACTTTGTCATTGAGGCCAGTAATGGTCTGGTTCTGCACTGGGACAAGAAGACAAGTCTAAAGATTACACTCGATCCTTTGTTTAAGGTAAGTAAAAAGAAAATCAAAATCCATGACTTTTTTCCTGCATTACACTGCTGAAAATGATATCAATGGAATGATCTTAAACACAGCTTAAAGATTAAAATACCAAAGGCTTCAATAAGACTAGTTTGGATAAAATGAAGAATAAAATGACTTACAACAAATTAAAAAAAATCCAGAAATACACACTCAGTATGTGAAATGCCAATAAAAACAAAAAGCAGTGATTAGCCACTTTTGTTTGACCTGTATTAATTATACAAGAATTTTTTTGCATGTGTTACGGCAGAATGGCTGCGTAATCAGAGACTGTGGGTGCTAAACTGGCCTGTCTGTCTCCTATTGATAACATGTAGCGCATTATGATGTGCAAAATGCAACAGCAAAAGATCCATACAGCTGAAGATTTGTATAACTGCTGAATGACAAAAAAATCTACTTTCAAAACTGGATCAATTGGTGGTGTAACACAGTGGTAAACATGCCCCATTCATGCCTGCAACATGTTTTTCTGAAAACATGTTGCAGGCATGAATTTAAGTAGGAGCTTATATTCACAAAAAACAATTAAGTTGATAAAATAAAACATTAAATAACTTGTTTTTGTATGGCTTTCGTTTAAATATGGGTCAAAGAGGATTTACTAATCACTGTTTCCTATTTTTATTTGCATTTCACATACTGACCTTTTTCTTGCAGTTAGATTAGATAAGAGGTACAATATTATGAGAAAGATTAGATATATTGGCTAGATTCAGGATTGACATGTAATGAAATCTAAGCATCGGGAATACGTATTCAGAATACAGAAATTAAGTATCTGTATTCAGTCCAAGTTGAATTTTATGAAGGCAGTATTCAGAATACAGTTACCTTTAACATTTTTAGGAGAATACTTTTGTAAAACGTACCCAGCAAATAAAAAAATATCATCTTTTAAAATAGTTTACTTTTTTAAATCAGCACACTGCATATAAAGACATACTCTAAAGAAGAACCCAAAAAGCTAATTTTTTACAAACCTAAAGCTCTGTTGAGGGACGATCAAACTGAACAGTGTGAACAGTAGTGGACATGTTCACAAACATCAGTGTTGTTGTGTTGTTAACTGAAATTCAAATGGCCATTTAAAAGTTGAATTTGCAAGATTTGGTTATCAGGATATGGTGAATTGTTTGCTTACTTCATAAGACAGCAGTGGGTTTGTAAGAGCAGCAGCAGTTGAGAATTTTGTAACTTCATTTAAAGAAGTGAATTTTTCATGAAACATATTTACAAAAGAATCAACATGAAGAAAACTGCCAACCAGTAACAGTGAGGATGGTAATGGAATACATTACTGAATACATTTTGAACAGTGTATTCAGTACTCAGCCATCCCTACTTTTTTTCTCCCCAGCACTGTCTAAGTTAGAAATCATTTCACTTGACAATATATAATTTTTTGTGAGATAATGTCTGGATTTGTACATTTTTTGGTCATTTATTTGTATTATTATTCATTTTTGACCCATCCCACTCTTCCCCATAACAGAGAAAAGTATGCGGACTGTGTGGTAACTATGATGGCAACGGGAAAAATGACTTCGTGACTCGTGGTGGGGAGGAAGTGGTGGAGCCGCTTGAGTTTGGAAACAGCTGGAGAGTTTCTTCTGCATGTCCTAAAGCCAGCATTATCAGCAGCCCCTGTAATATGAGACCACACCGACAGGCCTGGGCCATCAAACAATGCAGCATTATCAAGAGTGATGTCTTTAAGTCATGTCACTCCTTAGTGAGTATCCTTTCAGGGAGATGCTAAGAAAATTTAGTAGTTGTTTATTTTATTTCCAGTTAAAGTGGTGATCAAGCACAAGTTATCCAATTTTCAGTGTCAAAACAAAGCAGAAAACATATATTTAACAGCAACTTACAAAAAACTAAAAATATCAATATTTAACTTGTACCACTCTTTACTTTTGTGCACTCTACTGCCACTTTAACTCTTCTATCCTTCCAATCATGTCAAAAACCTCCCAGATACACTGTTAGAAATAAAGGTTCTGTGCAGGTACATTATTAGTTCATCAAGGTAGAGGTCTGCACTGCCGTGGATTCCTGCGGGATCCGCGGGTCCCCCAACACAGTATCTAATTTTCAGTGTTGCTCACATGAGCGCGCATATAGAGAAATCCTGCAAATTAATGAATAGCCTAAATAAAGTAGAATGATCACTAAATCATATATGTAAACAATGTAACAGTAAACAGTTAAAATGAATAAAGTCATTCTCGAGCAACGGATCACATGAACAACACACAAATTCTCATAGGCTTGATCCACACATACTGCTCCTGTGTGCCGTGAGCAACATGGAAAGTCTTGCTTTTCATTTCGGTGCCTATGTTAAGTGGTCAGAGCTTTGAAACAGGCTGTCCCAGATGCCGCGCTGAAGCAGTTTTATGAAAATTAAAGAAGATCGTGTAAAAAATTAAAAAGGCAATTTTTTTCATGTAATTCATGACGAAATATTAGTTGAACATACCGTGCTGCAAACAGATTTCCTGGTTGGTCTACCAGGCTTGAAATCACACGTTGGCTTGGCTAATCACACGTTAGAATGCTGTCCAGGATGAAAAACATACCTTGTGCAGTTATTATATATATATAAATTATATTTTTGTTGAGCAGAGTGACTGAAGTGACCATTTATCTGTCTAGAGAAAGGAACGGCTGTATAACTGTCTCGCTGCTTCGCTCCGCAGCTCAAACACTGTATGTATGAAAGGCCAGCACGTTCCAGCTGTAGTGCTTGCACTACCGCATCACTCACGCCACACAGAGGCAGCATGTGTGAATCAGGCCTTAGAGCGATGCCGAAGCATTCAGTCCTTCGGCTACAGCTGCCAAGCCCAGCAAAACACCAAAAATAACTGCTCAGTGGTTTAATTCCTGCTCTGTGTTTACTGGGAATAAATGCCGTTTGGTGAAGTTACTTACAGTGAGCCTTATGACCACGACTGTCAGGTAATTTCAGCAGAGAATAATGTATTTGTGAATAGACGGGAGGGAGCGGTTGCGGGAGGGAGCGGGACAAATGATAAAGATTTTCTGCGGGAGTGGGATTAAATCTCGTGGAAGCGGGTGAGAGTGGGAGCGGGACTGAAAATAGTCCTGCGCAAAGCTCTACATCAAGGTACAAACAATGTAAATGTATCCTTAAAGATGTTTTGCATTTGCAGTGCTATATAGTGCAGGTCATGTTAATTGGTCATATCCTGTAAGCTGTTCTACTATGGTTCTGTTTTATTCTGTTTCTCCTCTCAGGTGGATCCAGATCAATATTACGATATATGTGTGCAAGACACGTGTGCATGTGACACTGGGGGAGACTGTGAGTGTTACTGCACGGCTGTAGCAGCGTATGCTGCAGCATGCAACGAGAAGGGAGCCTGCATATCGTGGAGGACCCCAACCATCTGCCGTGAGTCTCAATAAAGAAATCAATAGAAGCATCTCTCTTAAAGTGTCAAGGGAAATGCTTTTATTGATGTAATTCACAAGCACAGTTGTTATTAATCATTATTAACTACAAGTATAGCCTTGTAGTATAGTTTTATCACTAGTTGATCTTTAATTAATCATCTGGATCAGCTGAAAACAGTAATCCCCACAATTGTATTTAAGTGATTTAGCTTCATTTAGTTGTTTTAGAAAAAGTATATATTAATGTTTTTTTTAATTCACATTGACTCTAATGGAATAAAGAGAGTATTGGGGATATGAGATAGTCTAACTGTACTAACCCCTGTCATGCAAGCATAGCACAAAGTGTCATTGCCCTTGACTTGACAAGCCACTGACTGACTTAAACTGTTTCTGCAGCTTTGTTCTGCGACTACTACAATGTACCTGGAGGCTGTGAGTGGCACTATAAACCCTGTGGGCAATGTGTGAAAACCTGCAGCAATCCCTCAGGAGACTGCTTCAATCAAACTCTAGTAGAGGGTAAGACTTTCCTGGCTAATACTTGGCCATATTTAACTATGTTCTGTAGATTACCTTTTGACTCTCTGAATGCGCGAATGCTGATTGTGATCCTCTTACATTTAGTTAGAAGCACAAATGGGCCTGTCTGTTATTTAATCTTAGTGTCTAATTACATACAAGAAATAACAGGGCAGATAATTCTGAAAAAATTCACAGATGAGGCTGCAAATGTATATATTTTTGCTCATAATTACCAAATAATCACAAAATATGGAAAATGTTTAGTAACACTTCACTGAAGGTCAAGTAAATAAGGCTATATGACAATAACAGAAGAATTTCATGACAACTACCAAACCTGCATAAATATTTATAGAGGCTTATTCCAATAAGTGGCCATTGTCATAAAGGATATTTTTGTTCACTTTGATGTTGGCATAACACCCATGTCACAGGTTTTTGTGACAATGTCATAATACTTTCTGGAGTGAAATGCCATAGCATGTTATAACACCTTACTTTGTGGCATTGTGTCCATTTCACAGTGTGTCCATTTCTATTAGTGTCCATTTCACATGCAGTTTATAAAATGCAGAATCAGAAGTGAACTTATATATAGCAAGTATGTTGCTCTAGACTTGAGAATTAAAACTGTGTTTAAAGTGTTCTTGTAATACTTTGCTGTTAAGGAAAATGAGAGATTAACCATGCGCCTGTTGTGACAGTAAAGTGAGGTTGGGTGAGGTTAGGTTTTAAGTAATGGAAGTATTATATTAAGTCTACTTCATGTAACATATCAACAATATATCTACTTAATGTACGTAATATATCAACAGTGCATCTTCAGGATATTCACCTCATTGTATTCAGATACTTCACTACTGCTACTTCACTGATAAGTTGTTGATGTGTTAATCTAAAAAGCGAATCTAAAAGGCAAATGTTGACTTGTGGTATTTCACAAGGATCCATTCTTAGGCCCTTATTGTTCAATGTTTATATGTTACCACTGGGTCAAATCCTTAAAAATAACAAAATATCTTACCATAGCTACACAGATGACACCCAGATCTACTTACCTCTCTTGCCTGATGAATACAGTACCATTGACACTTTGTCATTGCCTATCAAAAGATGAGTGTATGAAAGAAAGCTTTCTTCAACTAAATAAAGACATGACAGAGGTAATTGTGTTTGGTAGTAATGACCAAAGACTAAAGATCAGTGCTCATCTTGACACCAGAGCTCTGAGGGCTAAAGATCAACTCAAAAATCTTGGCATAATTGATTCAGATCTGAATTTCAGCAGCCATGTAAAAGCAAAAAGAAAACAGCCCTTTACCATCTCAGGAACATATAAAAGTTTTAAAAATTCATGTGACAACAAGATCTAGGAAAAAATAATTCATGCACATGCATTTATCTCCAGCAGGCTGGACTACTGCAATGGTCTCTTTACTGGCCGTCCCAAAACCGCAATCAATGCTTATGAGAACTAAAAGATTAGAGCACATTACTCCAATTGTCAAGTCACTGCACTGGCTACTAATTAAGTACAGAATTGACTTTAAAGTCCTTCTAATTGTCTATAAATCTCTAAATGGCCTTGGACCAAAATACAATGCTGATGTGCTGGAAGTATATGAATCCAGTAGGTCTTTCTGATCACTCAAAACTGATCAGTTAGTAGTGCCCAGAATCAGAAACAAACAGGGCAAGGCAGCATTCACACACTTTGCTGCCAACTGCTGGGACAAACTCCCAGATGAGGTCAGATATGCTCCAAAAGTATCTTTAAGTCCAGACTGAAAATGTTCTTGTTTACTTGTGTCTTTTTTTTAGCACGGCACCTTATCTTAATCATATTTTTATTTCTTTTAATTTCTTGTCTTAGTTGCTATCTTATTGTCTTTTATTTTGAGCTATGTACTTTGCATGTTCTTTTGCATGACTGTCTTTCAGAAGCCGTTGTGAGGTGCTAGATCTCAGGATGTGATAACTTTGCTATTTTCACTGCACTTCCTTAGCCTTGTATTAGTTTCTTTTAATCACTTAATTTGTTTTATTTTCTGTTTCATTATCTTTTATCTTCAGCTCCTGAATTTTATTTTTTGATTCACATGACATCTAAATGTTGTTCTAAGCTTCATCAGCTCTTTTTATTGAGATTTTGAACATTTGCTAGCATGGGTATCCCAAGGATTGATTAACAGCTTAGAGGTTGGTATTACTCTGAAGTAAGATTTTGTTCAGTTATGGCTGCTATTCAGCTAGTGAAAGCGCAAGCGTTTGGTGCATTTCCTCCCTTGGGGTGCTGGAAATGACTTGAGTACATCACACGGTTCTGTTAAGCTTTATCAACTCTTTGGAGGTTTTTTAAAAGTTTGCTAGCATTTGTATCTTCTTCTTACTTTTTATGCACTTCTTATGTTTTTGTAGCAATCCTTGCAAAAGCACTTCCGAGGTGCTGGATCCTAGAATTGTTATAATCTGTATTATTATCTAATGCTTTTATTTTTCTGTTTGTATGAAGAACTTTAAATTGCCACTGTGTATAAAAGAAAAATATGAACTAAATAAACTTGAAATAAACTTGCCTTGCCTTCCCTAATAAAACTGCCGGTGCAGTGCACGTGAAGTGCTAGTTGCTAATAAACCTGCAGGTGCAGAAAATCGAATTACTCAAGCATTTTCCATCCCTGTATATGACAAAAAATAATAAAAAGGTCATGAAAACAGCTACCGTTATTCTACAAGATAATGATACACCAAGAAGTTCGATACTGTGTTTTTTATAAATTAAAGTCAGTAATAATAGATCGGGACACACAATCTTTTTAAGTTTATCAGTCGATAAAGGTATTGTTGTGTGAAAAACAGATTAAAAACAGGATTTAACTTAAACCATAGCAGCTAGTATACAATATACAAGTCAGTAGTATACAGGTTTGTTATTATCAGCCTTAGGAGCATCTAGTTTGTCAAACTGGGAAGATTTAGAGGTACACACTTTGTTCAACAAATACATCTTCAAAATGGGTTGACATATACAAAACCCAATTCCAAAAAAGTTGGAACAGTGTGTGAAATGCGAATAAAAACAGAAAGCAGCAGTCTGTTTTTTGTAAATATACACTCATTTTGAAATTGATGCTTACAACACGTTCCAAAAAAAGTTGAGGCCATTAATTACTGACAGTCTACACTTTGAGTGGAATACCTAATAAGAATTTCAGCTGGTTCACACTTGACCAGCACAATGTAACTACATGTTTGGCTAACATGCTTTTTGTATGAAAGCATATTTACACCCGGCAGGAGGAAAAAGTTGTAGTTTTTTTTATCCTTCTTTGTATCAGGATCAAACTTTGATTGTGACTTGGTTAATCAGAATAATATTTCAAAACTATGAATTATTACTAGCTGTGAAAGTATGTGATTATTTCAACATCATGAGTAATTATTTGGAAAAAATAATACATTAATTGGTTAGAAATTAGGTTTCAGAAGTATTACTAGATAAGAGTCTTTTTAATGTTGTATCTGTATCAATATAAGTTAATTTTACACTTAAAGCTACCACACACTGATCCAACTGTGTGCAAAAATTCAAACATTGCTTTTAATGAAGATTGCACACCGTTCAATCTTCATTAAAGTCACTCATTTTGCCACTACTGAATTAAGTTAAATCTAGAATGAGACTACAAAGTGCCAGTAGATCAGTAGATCATAGGTGCCTTGAATTTACGCAGAGAAAGACAGTTAAGTCTTTTAGCTAAACAGACAAATGCTAGCAGTCTATTACCTAGATAGCATTACTAGCCCTGTCTTTTTCACCTTATGTCTTTCAGATAAAAAACAGTCAGTTTGTGAAGACGTAGTTAGCTGATACCATCTATAAGGATTTCATAAATGATGTTAGAAATTTTGTTCTATGAAATTTATATGAAAAGAGTGCAAATGTGAACTTAAACTTAGCCTTTAGCAGCACTCTCACTGTTACACACTGTATGGGGTATAGCTGTGCTTTGTACTGTATCTGTTACGTGACACTGCATGGCAGGCTGGTGTGTGGTGGCTCTTAGAAGCTGACTGGAAGATACATTACACATTACATGTTCTCAAGTAGCCTAAAATGAAAACTCCTTGCTAACAAATACATATTTGTTAGCATATAGCATGCCTGTCAATAGCATTTATGTCTTCATGGTTGCTGTTGAAGTTGTACGGTAGCTAAAGTATCTAAGCAGTTTAAGATGTGCTTGAGCTTTAAGCTTCTTCAGTTTTAAACTGGACATAGTTTGGTGCACTAGATAGAATGGATAAACTGGTTGAATTGGTTGTATGGTTATGGTGGTAAAGCTTACAGTTTATCTAGAAGGAGTAATTTAATGTTGAACACAAATAAATCTTGAAAAAACATTTGGTCACCTCATGCATTCAGTTTATCAGAAAATTGGCATGTAATTCAAGAAAATAACATGGGACCAAGTTCAATTTTCTATCTCTTATGCGGGTCTCTTTACTCTTATGAAGAGTGAGAGAATGAACCAGTATACCACCCACGATCCTTTTTTTTTATTTTGTGCTAAAAATAAGTGTAAAGTTAAATACTATTTTTATAGTAGATGTAACATAATGAAAGAATAAAAATGTGAAGAGTCTTTTCTCCTGGTATGTGTACTCTGAGCTTTTATTATTATTCTTTATTAATGGTAACTTTTTTCTTCTAGGATGTTTTCCCAAGTGCCCCACAGACAGGCCATACCTGAACGAGGAAACCATGAAGTGTGAAAACTGCTGGCCATCACATACATCAACAACAACAATAGCAACACAAAGTAAAGCAGGTTCCACCACAAAAAGTTCAACAACACGTATCTCAATGTCCACAACAACAACCAAAATTACAACAGTTGGCTCAACAACATCAAGAACTCCCTCAACCACAGCAAGGACAACAACACAAACTACAACGAGGCCTACCACAAGAAGTTCAACAACACGTGTCTCAGTGTCCACAACAACCAAAACTACAATAGTTAGCTCAACATCAAGACCTCCATCAACCACAGCAAAGACAACAACACGAACTACAACAGGCCCTACCACAAGAAGTTCAACAACACGTGTCTCAGTGTCCACAGCAACAACCAAACCTACAACAGTTGGCTCAACAACATCAAGACCTCCATCAACCACTCCATCAACCACATCAAGGACAACAACACGAACTACAACAGGCCCTACCACAAGAAGTTCAACAACACGTGTCTCAGGGTCCACAACAACAAAAACTACAATACTTAGCTCAACATCATCAAGAACTCCATCAACCACAGCAAAGACAACAACACGAACTACAACGGGCCCTACCGCAAGAAGTTCAACACCTTTTTCAGTGTCCACAAGAACAACCAAAACTACAACAGTTGGCTCAACAACATCAAGAACTCCATCCACTACAGCAAAGACAACAACACGAACTACAACAGGCCCTACCACAAGAAGTTCAACACGTTCCTCAGTGTCCACAACAACAACCAAAACTACAACAGTTGGCTCAACAACATCAAGAACTCCATCAACCACAGCAAAGACAACAACACGAACTACAACAGGCCCTACCACAAGAAGTTCAACAACACGTGTCTCAGTGTCCACAGCAACAACCAAACCTACAACAGTTGGCTCAACAACATCAAGACCTCCATCAACCACTCCATCAACCACATCAAGGACAACAACACGAACTACAACAGGCCCTACCACAAGAAGTTCAACAACACGTGTCTCAGGGTCCACAACAACCAAAACTACAATACTTAGCTCAACATCAAGACCTCCATCAACCACAGCAAAGACAACAACACGAACTACAACGGGCCCTACCGCAAGAAGTTCAACACTTTTTCAGTGTCCACAAGAACAACCAAAACTACAACAGTTGGCTCAACAACATCAAGAACTCCATCCACTACAGCAAAGACAACAACACGAACTACAACAGGCCCTACCACAAGAAGTTCAACAACACGTGTCTCAGTGTCCACAAGAACAACCAAACCTACAACAGTTGGCTCAACAACATCAAGACCTCCATCAACCACTCCATCAACCACATCAAGGACAACAACACGAACTACAACGGGCCCTACCACAAGAAGTTCAACAACAACAACAATTACAACTCCAACAACACCTGCTTGTTTGCCCTTGACCTGTCAATGGTCTGAGTGGTTGGACACCAACTACCCTGATATTGTACCAAACAAAGGAGGAGGCGAATTTGAATCTATAGCTGCCATGTGGAAATCAGGAATCATTTCCTGTGAGAAACCAGCAAAGATTGAATGCAGAGCCAAAGAATACAAGAATGTGACGTTAGCAGATTTGGGTCAAAATGTGACATGTGACGTTTCTGTTGGTCTTAGATGTTATAACAAGGAAAAGAACTTTCCACCATGTTACAACTATGAAATACGGGTAGAATGCTGTACACTTAATAAAACCTGTTCCACCACTACAAACCCATCATCATCAACGACAACAACAGGAAAAACAACCAAAGCCACAACAGGCCCTACCACAAGAAGTTCAACAACACATGTCTCAGTGTCCACAAAAACAACCAAAACTACAACAGTTGGCTCAACAACATCAAGAACTCCATCCACTACTGCAAGGACAACAACACGAACTACAACAAGCCCTACCACAAGAAGTTCAACAACACGTGTCTCAGGGTCCACAACAACCAAAACTACAATACTTAGCTCAACATCAAGACCTCCATCAACCACAGCAAGGACAACAACACGAACTACAATGGGCCCTACCACAAGAAGTTCAACACCTTTTTCAGTGTCCACAAGAACAACCAAAACTACAACAGTTGGCTCAACAACATCAAGAACTCCATCCACTACAGCAAGGACAACAACACGAACTACAACAAGCCCTACCACAAGAAGTTCAACAACACGTGTCTCAGGGTCCACAACAACCAAAACTACAATAGTTAGCTCAACATCAAGACCTCCATCAACCACAGCAAAGACAACAACACGAACTACAACGGGCCCTACCACAAGAAGTTCAACACTTTTTTCAGTGTCCACAAGAACAACCAAAACTACAACAGTTGGCTCAACAACATCAAGAACTCCATCAACCACAGCAAAGACAACAACACGAACTACAACGGGCCCTACCACAAGAAGTTCAACACCTTTTTCAGTGTCCACAAGAACAACCAAAACTACAACAGTTGGCTCAACAACATCAAGAACTCCATCAACCACATCAAGGACAACAACACGAACTACAATGGGCCCTACCACAAGAAGTTCAACAACAACAACAATTACAACTCCAACAACACCTGCTTGTTTGCCCTTGACCTGTCAATGGTCTGAGTGGTTGGACACCAACTACCCTGATATTGTACCAAACAAAGGAGGAGGCGAATTTGAATCTATAGCTGCCATGTGGAAATCAGGAATCATTTCCTGTGAGAAACCAGCAAAGATTGAATGCAGAGCCAAAGAATACAAGAATGTGACGTTAGCAGATTTGGGTCAAAATGTGACATGTGACGTTTCTGTTGGTCTTAGATGTTATAACAAGGAAAAGAACTTTCCACCATGTTACAACTATGAAATACGGGTAGAATGCTGTACACTTAATAAAACCTGTTCCACCACTACAAACCCATCATCATCAACGACAACAACAGGAAAAACAACCAAAGCCACAACAGGCCCTACCACAAGAAGTTCAACAACACATGTCTCAGTGTCCTCAAAAACATCCAAAACTACAACAGTTGGCTCAACAACATCAAGAACTCCATCCACTACAGCAAGGACAACAACACGAACTACAACAGGCCCTACCACAAGAAGTTCAACACGTTCCTCAGTGTCCACAACAACAACCAAAACTACAATACTTAGCTCAACAACATCAAGAACTCCATCCACTACAGCAAGGACAACAACACGAACTACAACAGGCCCTACCACAAGAAGTTCAACACGTTCCTCAGTGTCCACAACAACAACCAAAACTACAACAGTTGGCTCAACAACATCAAGAACTCCATCAACCACAGCAAGAACAACAACACGAACTACAACGGGCTCTACCACAAAAAGTTCAACAACACGTGTCTCGGTGTCCACAACAACAACCAAAACTACAACAGTTAGCTCAACAACATCAAGAACTCCATCAACCACTCCATCAACCACATCAAGGACAACAACACGAACTACAACGGGCCCTACCACAAGAAGTTCAACACCTTTTTCAGTGTCCACAAGAACAACCAAAACTACAACAGTTGGCTCAACAACATCAAGAACTCCATCCACTACAGCAAGGACAACAACACGAACTACAACAAGCCCTACCACAAGAACTTCAACAACACGTGTCTCAGGGTCCACAACAACCAAAACTACAATAGTTAGCTCAACATCAAGACCTCCATCAACCACAGCAAAGACAACAACACGAACTACAACGGGCCCTACCACAAGAAGTTCAACACGTTCCTCAGTGTCCACAACAACAACCAAAACTACAACAGTTGGCTCAACAACATCAAGAACTCCATCCACTACAGCAAGGACAACAACACGAACTACAACGGGCCCTACCACAAGAAGTTCAACACCTTTTTCAGTGTCCACAAGAACAACCAAAACTACAACAGTTGGCTCAACAACATCAAGAACTCCATCAACCACATCAAGGACAACAACACGAACTACAATGGGCCCTACCACAAGAAGTTCAACAACAACAACAATTACAACTCCAACAACACCTGCTTGTTTGCCCTTGACCTGTCAATGGTCTGAGTGGTTGGACACCAACTACCCTGATATTGTACCAAACAAAGGAGGAGGCGAATTTGAATCTATAGCTGCCATGTGGAAATCAGGAATCATTTCCTGTGAGAAACCAGCAAAGATTGAATGCAGAGCCAAAGAATACAAGAATGTGACGTTAGCAGATTTGGGTCAAAATGTGACATGTGACGTTTCTGTTGGTCTTAGATGTTATAACAAGGAAAAGAACTTTCCACCATGTTACAACTATGAAATACGGGTAGAATGCTGTACACTTAATAAAACCTGTTCCACCACTACAAACCCATCATCATCAACGACAACAACAGGAAAAACAACCAAAGCCACAACAGGCCCTACCACAAGAAGTTCAACAACACATGTCTCAGTGTCCACAAAAACATCCAAAACTACAACAGTTGGCTCAACAACATCAAGAACTCCATCCACTACAGCAAGGACAACAACACGAACTACAACAGGCCCTACCACAAGAAGTTCAACACGTTCCTCAGTGTCCACAACAACAACCAAAACTACAACAGTTGGCTCAACAACATCAAGAACTCCATCCACTACAGCAAGGACAACAACACGAACTACAACAGGCCCTACCACAAGAAGTTCAACACGTTCCTCAGTGTCCACAACAACAACCAAAACTACAACAGTTGGCTCAACAACATCAAGAACTCCATCAACCACAGCAAGAACAACAACACGAACTACAACGGGCTCTACCACAAAAAGTTCAACAACACGTGTCTCGGTGTCCACAACAACAACCAAAACTACAACAGTTAGCTCAACAACATCAAGAACTCCATCAACCACTCCATCAACCACATCAAGGACAACAACACGAACTACAACGGGCCCTACCACAAGAAGTTCAACACTTTTTTCAGTGTCCACAACAACAACCAAAACTACAACAGTTGGCTCAACAACATCAAGAACTCCATCCACTACAGCAAGGACAACAACACGAACTACAACGGGCCCTACCACAAGAAGTTCAACACCTTTTTCAGTGTCCACAAGAACAACCAAAACTACAACAGTTGGCTCAACAACATCAAGAACTCCATCAACCACATCAAGGACAACAACACGAACTACAACGGGCCCTACCACAAGAAGTTCAACAACAACAACAATTACAACTCCAACAACACCTGCTTGTTTGCCCTTGACCTGTCAATGGTCTGAGTGGTTGGACACCAACTACCCTGATATTGTACCAAACAAAGGAGGAGGCGAATTTGAATCTATAGCTGCCATGTGGAAATCAGGAATCATTTCCTGTGAGAAACCAGCAAAGATTGAATGCAGAGCCAAAGAATACAAGAATGTGACGTTAGCAGATTTGGGTCAAAATGTGACATGTGACGTTTCTGTTGGTCTTAGATGTTATAACAAGGAAAAGAACTTTCCACCATGTTACAACTATGAAATACGGGTAGAATGCTGTACACTTAATAAAACCTGTTCCACCACTACAAACCCATCATCATCAACGACAACAACAGGAAAAACAACCAAAGCCACAACAGGCCCTACCACAAGAAGTTCAACAACACATGTCTCAGTGTCCACAAAAACATCCAAAACTACAACAGTTGGCTCAACAACATCAAGAACTCCATCCACTACAGCAAGGACAACAACACGAACTACAACAGGCCCTACCACAAGAAGTTCAACACGTTCCTCAGTGTCCACAACAACAACCAAAACTACAACAGTTGGCTCAACAACATCAAGAACTCCATCCACTACAGCAAGGACAACAACACGAACTACAACAGGCCCTACCACAAGAAGTTCAACACGTTCCTCAGTGTCCACAACAACAACCAAAACTACAACAGTTGGCTCAACAACATCAAGAACTCCATCAACCACAGCAAGAACAACAACACGAACTACAACGGGCTCTACCACAAAAAGTTCAACAACACGTGTCTCGGTGTCCACAACAACAACCAAAACTACAACAGTTAGCTCAACAACATCAAGAACTCCATCAACCACTCCATCAACCACATCAAGGACAACAACACGAACTACAACGGGCCCTACCACAAGAAGTTCAACACCTTTTTCAGTGTCCACAAGAACAACCAAAACTACAACAGTTGGCTCAACAACATCAAGAACTCCATTCACTACAGCAAGGACAACAACACGAACTACAACAAGCCCTACCACAAGAAGTTCAACAACACGTGTCTCAGGGTCCACAACAACCAAAACTACAATAGTTAGCTCAACATCAAGACCTCCATCAACCACAGCAAAGACAACAACACGAACTACAACGGGCCCTACCACAAGAAGTTCAACACCTTTTTCAGTGTCCACAAGAACAACCAAAACTACAACAGTTAGCTCAACAACATCAAGAACTCCATCAACCACTCCATCACCACAAGGACAACAACACGAACTACAACAAGCCCTACCACAAGAAGTTCAACACCTTTTTCAGTGTCCACAAGAACAACCAAAACTACAACAGTTGGCTCAACGACATCAAGAACTCCATCCACTCATCACCACATCAAGGACAACAACACGAACTACAACGAGCCCTACTACAAGAAGTTCAACACCTTTTTCAGTGTCCACAAGAACAACCAAAACTACAACAGTTGGCTCAACGACATCAAGAACTCCATCGACTACAGCAAAGACAACAACACGAACTACAACGGGCCCTACTACAAGAAGTTCAACAACACGTGTCTCAGTGTCCACAGCAACAACCAAACCTACAACAGTTGGCTCAACAACATCAAGACCTCCATCAACCACATCAAGGACAACAACACGAACTACAACAGGCCCTACCACAAGAAGTTCAACACCGTTCTCAGTGTCCACAAGCAACAACCAAAACCTACAACAGTTGGCTCAACAACATCAAGAACTCCATCAACCACATCAAGGACAACAACACGAACTACATCAGGCCCTACCACAAGAAGTTCAACACCTTTTTCAGTGTCCACAAGAACAACCAAAACTACTACAGTTGGCTCAACAACATCAAGAACTCCATCAACCACAGCAAGAACAACAACACGAACTACAACGGGCTCTACCACAAAGAAAGTTCAACACACGTGTCTCGTGTCCACAACAACAACCAAAACTACAACAGTTAGCTCAACAACATCAAGAACTCCATCACCACTCCACAACCATCAAGGACAACAACACGAACTACAACGGGCCCTACTACAAGAAGTTCAACACCTTTCTCAGTGTCCACAAGAACAACCAAAACTACAACAGTTGGCTCAACAACATCAAGAACTCCATCAACCACAGCAAGGACAACAACACGAACTACAACAGGCCCTACCACAAGAAGTTCAACACCTTTTTCAGTGTCCACAACAACAACCAAAACTACAACAGTTGGCTCAACAACATCAAGACCTCCATCAACCACAGCAAAGACAACAACACAAACTACAACGGGCCCTACCACAAGAAGTTCAACAACACGTGTCTCAGTGTCCACAGCAACAACCAAACTACAACAGTTGGCTCAACAACATCAAGACCTCCATCAACCACATCAAGGACAACAACACGAACTACAACAGGCCCTACCACAAGAAGTTCAACACCTTTTTCAGTGTCCACAAGAACAACCAAAACTACAACAGTTGGCTCAACAACATCAAGAACTCCATCAACCACATCAAGGACAACAACACAAACTACATCAGGCCCTACCACAAGAAGTTCAACACCTTTTTCAGTGTCCACAAGAACAACCAAAACTACAACAGTTGGCTCAACGACATCAAGAACTCCATCCACTACAGCAAAGACAACAACACGAACTACAACAGGCCCTACCACAAGAAGTTCAACACGTTCCTCAGTGTCCACAACAACAACCAAAACTACAACAGTTGGCTCAACAACATCAAGAACTCCATCCACTACAGCAAAGACAACAACACGAACTACAACAGGCCCTACCACAAGAAGTTCAACACGTTCCTCAGTGTCCACAACAACAACCAAAACTACAACAGTTGGCTCAACAACATCAAGAACTCCATCCACTACAGCAAAGACAACAACACGAACTACAACAGGCCCTACCACAAGAAGTTCAACACCTTCCTCAGTGTCCACAACAACAACCAAAACTACAACAGCATCAAGACCAACACAGCACAGCACAACAGAAACCCCATTTATTGTGATCACAAAGACAACACAAACAATCCCCGTATCACCAGTTATATGTGTGTGCACATATCAAACCAAGCAATTCACCCCAGGCAAGTGCTGCTTTTATTTTACCACTGCTAAAATTTTTATTTTGATGTTTATTCCTTGTGAATTCTTAAAAGAGTGTCTTTTTCATGGTCATGGTGCAAGCTCAAAATAAAGCACCAAATTCCACCACTGGTTCCTGTGAGTGTGGCAGGTATGTTTTCACTATGTTCGTGACCCACACTAACCCAGCGCAGAGTGGTGCACTTAGACTGAATACATGATCGACAGGCATGTTTAAGCATGCTACAGCAGTATCAATTCAAATCAGTTTCTCTCATTCCCTGTAAGAGCTACTGGAGGTGGAGCACTTTGATATTTTCCTAATGGCTTGTATAAAATTGACACATTCCAAATTTAGCGACTCTAATTTGTTAATTTATAACAATCTACTATAACACACAGACTCTACTGGCTTTTTGCTTTTATAACACTTGGTAAAAACAAATACAATGCAGTAACATATATCAATAATCAATACAAAATAATCAAATCAAAAAAATTAATTACAGTTTTCTCTCCTGTCAAAGCACATTTAATGATACTGTGATCAACCTAACCCTCACTGTCACTTTCCTAGCAAAGCAGAAGTGTCTTTTTACATGAGTAGCACATTCTCATTGCTTTCACTCATTTTTCACACACATTTTCAAAACAGTTAACCAGATCTCACACAAAAGTACACTGAATAACTCTGTAAAGCAAAAGGAAAACATGTAGTGACAGCTTACAGAAAATTTTTGGTTTTATCAACCTTCAGTACCCGTGTGAGATACATGCACTGCCATGGGCAACTTGGGTGAAACACTGGACAGGCAAAAAAAAAAATTATATGCTAATCTGATGGCAGACATTTTATTTGGGTATGTATATGTAAGATTTATTATTAACAATTTATTTCATTTTTGTTTTCATACACTTTTTTAATTGTAGTATATTTAGTAAAAGTCATCCAGTGACTGTGCCCCAACAGTTGTAGAATTTGTAAAAGTTTATGTTTGTTATGTAAATGTTTGGTCTAAATTTCACTGGATACTTCAGTTCAGTATGATCTGAATGGCAAGGCTTTCTGTTGTATACATTTTTTACACATCCTTCTACAATCTCCCTGTTTGTCCTCTTTTGTGACAATGTTGCTTTCTACTATCCTCACCTTTTTTAACAAGAGCCTAAAAGCAGAAACATTTGTTCTGAATATCTCAGGAAAAGTCTTTTTTTCTGTTTTTGGCTGAAGGAGGTGTGCAGTAAATTGCCTTGAAACACATGGCTATAGTATATCCAGTAGAGTCCATTGTCTGTATGTTTCACAATTTATATAATGACAGCCCTACCTATTACCTATTCCTCATTTGATAGACATTTATCCAAAACCTCTTTTATCCATGCTTACAGTCAGCAACTGATTGCTGAGTTAGTTGTTTACTGTACCAGTAAAGAAGAGAGTTGAGTAGGATTCAGTTGTGAGTAAATTTTATTGCTGACAGGGACAAATTCAAAGGTTGTAAAAAGACAGTCCAGATCAACAACAAAAATAAAACAAGCAAAGGGTAAATCAGACCATGTCCAACACATGAAAAACCAGAGACACAGGCAAGGGTCAAAAATCCAAAAATAACAAGGCTCAGAATTTGCAGAGAACACTCTAACTAAGACTTTGCAAGGATCATCTAAAAACACAGGCTATATGTAGGGAAATGAATCACAAACAGCATTCAGGTATGCACAGTCAGCTGCCTAAAACTGTGGTGAGGGTGACCTCTGCAGGCAGGGTGGAGGATCCTTAGGTGAGGTTGTGACATTAACACGAGTGCCGAAAGTAGAAAGTAGAATATTTTCTATAAGTATTGTCATAAAGTTCAAATTATGTTTTACACAGCTTTCCAATGAATTTTTGGGTTTTTCTGTAAGTACCCCATGCCCTGCGACTATATAATATCCACCCGCAATTCTGGCAGCCGTACAGGACCATGAAAGAACCCCTGAGTGAAGCATACGCATGCCGAAAACATCACCATTTTTCTGTTTGTCGTAGCGACCCTAAATGCCTAAAATCCCCACTGTTTTCACTATGGGAATCTCACTATGGGAAACACCTCAGGTCGACCACAGAATGGCACTAATGGCATTTGTCCAAGAACAGACCAATCACATTTGTGACACGGGAACTATAACTCTTGTATATAATTCCCTGCAGCTTCCAATTACAACATTCTCACACTGTTTCCTTTGAAGACTACAATCTTTTCTCCCACTTTATTGTTTATAGACGAACCATTCAGGATTCTTGTTGCCAACCGTTGGATTACAGTGATTTCCTGCTTTTATCACCAAGCAATACAGTTGCCTGGTTTTGTTTTTGCATAATTAGTTCATGCTAGCTAGATAACACACGTCTGCAAAATAATAAATCATTAACTGCACAGTGCCCCTTTGATTTAAAAAGGAAATATAATGTTTGCAGTGTCTTAAATTCAGTTAGCCTACATAACAGTTGCTAACTAAATTAATGTGGTCTAATACGCATACATGTAAGGCTACAAGTGGTGGTTACCATGGCTGTTACCATGGCTGATCCATAGCTGACTTGCTTTTAAACAAAGATATACAAACATTTATACATCTGTGCTATTAAATAGTTGTGTAAGTTCATGCTCACTTACTGCTAGTTCCATATTGCAAAAAGCTGCCATACAGCCTTCCTTCATGGAAACAGAAAATGCTGTCCAGTCTTATCTGCAAAGGGCCTGTGTGAGTTCAGGTTTTCATTCTAGTCAAGCAGAAGCGCATCTGATTCCACTTGTGCTCTTGTTTTGTTGGAATGAAAACCTGCTGCCGCAGAAGCTCTCTGTGGACAAGACTGGACACTCCTGGTTTAAAGGAAAGATAATGAGGCATTATGGGAATCTTATAGAAATTTGCTTTCCTTTCGTTCTTTCTGAGTTGTTAATCATTTCATTTTTACTCAATTCTACATCTAGGGTCTTTCATGTACAATGAAACTGAGGGGGCCGGGCAGTGTTCCAGTGTTCAGTGTGGTCCAGCATGTGAAATTCTTACAACGCCCCAACCTTGCCCTTCCACGACTCCTCCTTCTCCAACACCTCCTACTTCTGCTGCCCGTAGTACCACCACTAGTGTTATTCCTACGTCTCAGCCACCTGTGGACTGCCAGTATGTTGATCCACCAAGAAAGGTAATGTGGATGAACACAACCAGATTCATTAAACTTTGACTACAGTTTGGAAATGTTCAACCTGTATGTTTTTAGTTAAAGCGGACTGAACATGTCTTGACCACTAAACAATAGACAATTTGAATTTTAAAAAATAACAATAACTGTTTTCTCGTTTTAAACAATGTATATGAGTCTTGTGAATTTATGTACCGAATAATATGTAGGTGGCATGTACACAAGCCACAAAAAAGTTTGCTATTTCAACCACAATGGGTGCTTCTGAAGAGACACAAAAGATGCAACAAACAAATCTCTAAACAGTTCCATTAGCACAAACAAAAAATTCTCAAGATTTTAACATTTTTTTCACACTTCTCTCTCATAAAATGACTAAAGTGTGTTCTTGTGACTAACAACAAAGCCAATTACAAAAGTTGAGACGGTAGATGAAATGCAAATAAAAACGGAAAGCAGTGATTTATAAATCTACTTTGATGTGAAATCTACTTGTGTTTGAGCAAAAATAGTGCAAAGACAAGATATGTATTTTTATATTGGCATTCCTCATACTGTCCCAGCTTTTTTGGAATTGGGTTTGTATTTGAGTTTCCAAACTTTTCTGAATGTCCTTCACATGAACCATAGACTATGATTTGACCTCATCAAAGCTGTAAACTTAACCTCTACATCCACCAAATGTTAAGAGAGTTGTTTACAGGGTTACAACACTGACCAGGGTATACACATGTGCATCTTCATTGGCCATTTATTTGTGGGTTTACACAAGGGGTAGATAAATGAACATTTTGCATTTCACATACTCCATTTAGGCTTTAAAATCTAGGCACAACGGTTCTTTAGCACATGCTCTTTTGACTCATTAGACACCAACCAGCCACTTCATTAAAACCACCTCCATGTTTCTACACTCATTGTCCATGTTATCAGCTCCACTTACCATGTAAATGCACCTTGTAGTTCTACAATTACAGACTGTAGTCCATCTGTTTCTCTGCATACTTTGTTAGCCCTCTTTTACCCTGTTCTTCAATGGTCAGGACTCCCACAACACCACCACAGAGCAGGTATTATGTAGGTGGTAGATCACTCTCAGTACTGCAGTGACACTAACGTGGTGGTGGTGTGTTAGTGTGTGTTGCACTTGTACGAGTGGATCAGACACAGCAGAGCTGCTGGAGTTTTTAAACACCTCAGTGGACTGAGAATAGTCCACCAACCAACAATAACCAGCCAACGGCGTCCTGTGGGCAGCATCCTGAGACCAATGATGAAAGACTAGAGGATACTAGTACAGAAACTGTGCAGCAACAGATGAGCTACTGTCTCTGACTTTACATCTACAAGGTGAACTAAGGTAGTTGTGTCTAATAGAGTGGACAGTGAGGGGACACTGTGTTTAAAACTCCAGCAGCACTTCTGTGTCCAATCCACAATGCCAGATTAAGATTTTCAGAATATAAAAATAAAAACTATAAATTCAAAAACTTTAATTCACAGTTAACTTTACACTGTCATTAATTATACATGAAATAAATATTAGTAATATGTAACATTTTAGTCCAACTTTGCTTTGTAACTTTTGGAGGTTATTCTCTGTCTGTCTTCTCTAACACTTATTCAGAATCACCCCCTAACGTTAACTGAATATACACCAAACAACATACATACATTTGTATTATTAATGGAAACACAGTAATACTAACATTCTGATCTGCCCTCAGGGGTGGTTTGAATTTTGTACCAATGAACATCAACAAATTAATAATACCCAGTTGAGCCACAAAGGAAAGTAGACCAAAACAAGGCTGAGACAGTTAATTTACGCTCTCGAGACCAAGTACTAGGAGCAGTAGGACTACACTAGGAAACGAGTTTTCATACAAAAGCATTTGAGCCAAACATGTGGTTGGTCATGAATTAATTAAGGAGTTGCACCTGTGTTCATTGGCAAGAAAGTTTTTATTTGATAACTTGCCACCCCTCTGGTGCAAAGAGACAGTAGTTTGTCAGTTATTATGACCTCTCTTGGTAAATCTGCCCCCAAAAATATATAATTGCAATGTGGAAATACTGTATCTTTAGGTGAAAGCAATGGTTTGAAAGCACAGATAAGGTACATGATTTATTTTAATTTCAAATAGTACAATATTTATAAACTGCTTGACTGTATGTTTGCTTTCTTCTTTATGTTCCTCATAATGAAAGAATGGAGAAACCTGGACTGAGGACTGTTTTGTAAAAACATGCAGAAATGGTTCAGTATGCTCCATGTCTGAGTGCAAGGATTCACATCCTGCTATACCAGTGTGTGAAAATCCAAACTCTCAAGCAGAGAAGATTAAAGATGGGTGTTGTTTCCATTATGAATGTCCATGTAAGTTTTGTCCGACTTCAACTGTTATCTAAAACACTGAACATTAAGCAAATATTATAAGTATATAGTGCCGGAAATCACAAAAACTGTACTTAAGAACTTTAAAGTATGCATATGCATTTGCTGTAAACAAAGTAAGGCAAAATAAGTAGCTCATTGATTGCATGATAATTTTGTTCTTTTTTTTCCAAAAGGTAAATGCATGGGCTGGGGAGATTCGCATTACGTGACTTTTGATGGACAGTATTATGCTTTCCAAGGAAACTGCACATATGTGTTGGTCCAGGAGATCATCAAGAAACACAACTTCAGTGTCCACATCAAGAACTATTATTGTAATGATGATCAGAGCTTGGCTTGTCCTGAGAGTTTGACCATATACTATAAATCATATAAAATCAGCTTGATACAGACAAGAAACCCAACTGTGAACACAGTAAGTGTTTTAAGAGTGAAATTGAAACAAACTCAAACACTGTATTATAAGTCATTTATATTATTATATTAGACATTCTGAGTATACTTTATATTCTGCCAAACTAGTTCAAAGTCTGAGTTGAAAAAACCTTTTAGTGTTTTAACTTGGACTTTAAACTGAAATCATTTTGCTTTAAGGGACCCTGTACTTTAATTATGTTTATTATATGTAAAATAAAACATTCTATTTGTCACTAACAAAACAGTCATAACACTACTTAAACTTTACCAAAAGTTTCAGTTATGACTGTTTCATTAGTTATAGTTTTAGCTGATTTTGAGCAGAACTCAAAAACGATAGCCAGTACACGACTAGCAAACACAACTTTCAACAGTTGTACACACATTAACTCATATTTTTCATTGAACCACAAAAAGTTTACTTTTTTGAAAATATTGCAGTGTTGGCAGAAGATGAAAACAAGAGTAGTCATGTTTCTGCTGCAAGAAGTGCTCTTTGTTGAACACACTGGAAGAAAGGGGCACAAACAAGACAACAAGGGCACCAGTAGCCACACGCTTCAACCTGACAGTGACCCCACCCCACACACACACACACACACACACACAAACCCCCCAACTAAACCCACACCCCAACATATAATAAAACAGTCAACACATGCACAACTTAAACTGACAGACAACAACAGTAAACAAACACAGTAAGTCCCTTTGTTGGAGGGCGCATGCTACCATGAGCCTTTGTGTGTGGTCCCCTGCCTAGCCACACTCTGGGTACTAGTGCCGGCAAGTAGTGGGACACTACATAGCCCCCCTTTTAAAGGTCAGCTGGTCCCCAGCAACCTACCAGCTTGGGGATCGCTATGTCAGTAAAATATCTTTGAGACAGGACACTGTCTCTCAGCTCTAAGTGGGCAACATAACGCAAAAGCCCTGGTTCTCAACGACTGAGTATGGACGCAAATCCTTGACAAAAAAAAATTGCAAAAGAGTTTGTAATTCACTTCCGAGTTGCTTTGACATTGTTTGTTCGATGGTCTTCTGGTTGGCAGCAACTACAACCGGACTGAAAATGGGTGGAAATATGTAATATGGTTTCTGATGTTTATCATTTCCAAAATATTTTAGTTTAGTGTAACACAACTTGCATATAGTGTGGCTCCCGTCCAGGTCCTTTTCCCTACAACTTCATACAAGCCAAAGTGTTTCCATAGGCTAGCTCAGGGGTCGGCAACATATGGCTGCTTCACTGCCCTAGTGTGGCTCCAAAGCAGAATTAGATTTTTGGGTAAAAATAAAATAATCCTTCTTTGGAGTAAAATAAAGCTCTTCTGATCGTTCTTAATGATGCTAATTCACCAACCCTGAAGATTGGCGTGCAGACTGCAGTTCACATAGCATCGCAGACAATCTTGTTACGAAACAACGAATGATGAACCTAGTAACGAAAAAGGCAAAGAGAAAGATTTGAGACGAACACTGTAGTTGGTTTCCTGGTATGCTAAATCTGCAACAAGAAACTGTCAAACACTGAAAAGTTGTGAAGCTGAAGTCAGCTTCTCTTTTGAATTTTCCCGTTCCACCTTAAATAGTGCTGCATTAACATTCTGGCGCTTCAGGCAGAATTTAAGGTGGAATGGGAAAATTCGAACAAGAAGCTGGAGAATGAGAAGTGACTTCAGCCTCCAAAACAATATAACAGAGATGTTCCTGCCGGAGATGGGAGGAAAGTGGCTCTAACTAAAGCTTAAAGCAGAGCAGAGTAAGTCTACGTTTTTGTTTATATTTTTTAGCCTAAACTAGGACATTAACACATATTGGACATTAAATGTTGCGGCTCCCAAGGTGGTTTGATTTTTGTTGAAAGGACAAATTGTCTCTTCTTAACATTTGTGTTGTGACTCCTGACCTAACCTGGCTTTTAATACAGAGGGTGCCGGTCGGATTTCTCGCTCATCCAGTTGTGTTTTTGTTATGTGCCGCCACAGAGTGTGCGGGCGCTGCACTTCCGCGTTTCCAAGTTCTGCCTTTTGCGTTCCATCAATGTTATTTTTTTATTGTTGTACCAAAATAGGCTGCCGTATCAGGAACAATCTGAATCTGACCACAGGGCAAGCATTAGCTGGATGTTTTGTAAAAATATACAAGACATAAATGGATTTATAAATATAATTTGCCATTTGATATTTGATTATTGATAAATATATAGATACGCACCTGAACTGTGTCAGTATCTAACAAAATGTAAAGGTAGCTTTGAGGAAATTTTAAAATTGTTAACTCCAAAGTCCAAATATTCAACTCTATGGAGCTCTTCTACTGCATATGGATCTTCTCTGGCAGTCATGGCCAAAACATGTGCAATAGCCAAAAAACTGGCCAGACTGGATTATCATCAGGCATATCCTTATTATTCAAATGTGCCGAAAAGTAATAGATGGTGATACAAAAACTAGGAACATGAATGAATGAGGAATAAAGCTAAGTAATACTACTAGAAAATGGCAAGACCCCAAAACTACTGGGGACAACAGAGAAGTCAGTCCATGATTTGTGAACAGGTACAGGTGATGATGTTGTGTGCCAAAGTAGAGCTGGAGCAGGAGAGGAGCAGTGAGTGCAAAGAAATCATAAAAGAAGGTACCAGCTCACCTGCTGTAAATACTGCTTAGTGCTGAAACTAACCAGTCTGTTACGGGAGGGAAAGTGTCAATAGTTAGTCTCCAGTCAGTGCTGTACTTATACTCCATTCTACATGCAGTGCCTATATATGCACTCATGTGGAACAACAAAAGGCCTCCTGTTAAACCCTGCTTTGTGGAAAAAGCAGCTTTTTGTACTTTGTTTAAACCTTTTAAACAATATTGAAGAGATTGCATTATTAATCATGCAAACCCAAACTCTTTTATTTTTTACCAGGTATTGGTCAATGATGAAAAGAAGAACACAACTTTCTCTAATGCAGACTTTACCATCACCAGTACTGGGATTAGGATGATTGTGACCATTCCTGCTATCAGTGCTGAGATTAATTTCGCAGGCATGAACTTTTTAGTGACCCTACCATCTTCTTTATTCCACAACAACACTGAGGGACAGTGTGGTAAGTGCAACTACAGGTCCACAACAGGCCATGAATGTTGAATATGGGTGACAAATTAAAGGAAAAACCAACACAAAGTGTCTTAGTAGGGTACTGGGTTACCATGAGCCACAAGAAGAGCTTCAGTGTTCTTTGGCATAGATTGTACAAGTCTCTGGAACGGTACTGGGGGAATGGAATACCATTATTACAAAAGATATTCCCTCAGTTAGTGTTTTGGTGATGGTAGTGGAGAGTACCATCTAACACATCTGTCCAAGATCTCTTATCCAGTTGGGCTGCAGTCTGATAACTGCAAATGATTACCTTCATTTTCATATTCATACAACCATTCATTGACCCCTCTTGCCCTGTGGATGTGAGGGGGCATTGCTATCAGGATAGAAATGTTTCATCAGAAAATAAAGTTTATCAATTATAATAACTTTGTACTGATTTGCAGTTACCTTCCCTCTGAGGGGAGAGGTTGACCCAAAACATGCCAGCAAAATGCCCCCACAGCATAAAAGAGCCTTCTCACTGTAGGGATAATACTCTTTTTACTGATGTGTTTCCCACAGATTTGAATGTAGATGTCTCTTTAGTCACTGTTCTTGTTGAAACACTAGCTAGTTGAGCTGTCTATTCTGACTGAAGCTCCTGCTGTTTGTGCCCCAATAATGAACCAACTTTCAAAGGCACTTTTCCTCTTGTCATCTTGTTCCAAAATCAAGAACAACTGGTCCTGCTCAGCATTTTTATACATGACACAGAGCAAACTAGGATGTGAATTGCTTAACTGTATCATGCAGTGCACTTTTCTTAAAAGGCAACAGCATGAGTATCTCAGGTTTTCCTTTAATTTATCACATGTCTGTATGTCTTTGTCACACAATTATGGTAAACATTTACTGGATTAGGTGATATAGTGGTATTTTGTGTTTTAATGTATTTATATTGTAAAACTATTGTATTTTTGGTGTGCTATGTTGTACTTAATGTTATACTCTACATCCGTATCATTGCTGCTGGTCCAAAACATAATAGCATCACAGGAGAAAGAAAAAAACTTCTTATTAACTGTAAACTGAATATGATGAGATTTTGTTCCAGTTTTGGACTGTTTCTATTAGTCCATAAAATAATAGATAAAGTAGACAATAAAAAGGGCAGCTGAAATTTTCACACTTCATAAAATATAAACATTGACACAAATGGAGATACAAAGTTGTGTTCTAACAGTAACAATATGCAAACATGTCAGAAGGTATATGTGCAATTTTTCTTCTGAACTGTTAAGTTTTAACTGAATTGTCTTGGAAGGTGTTTGTGACAACAACAGGAAAAATGACTGCAGACTACCTAATGGACAAATTGGGTCATGTGAGACAATGGCAGGTGCTTGGAAAGTAAACGACACACACTGCCCCTTTATACCTCCCACCATATCCCCAACCTCAACAACAGCTACCAAAACCACAAATGCACCATGTGACCCAGACATCTGCAAAGTCATCCTCAGCAAGTAAGGCAGATGTAATAATGAAGAGATATGGTTATAAATGCAGTACATTCAGAGTGGTTGTGGATGGCCTAGATAGATTCATACTGTCACAGTTTAATACTAACATTACAATATGTCTATAAAATATGTGTTAAGTGAATGATGTCCTTCATAATTTCTACAGTCAAACTGGATTTGCTGTAGTTCTGTAACACGATTTATGTTCTTTTATAGGGTGTTTGAAAAGTGCCACAACTTATCGTCCCCCGATCCTTTCTATACGGCTTGTAAATATGATGTATGCCACAAGGGGAACTCCTCTGGCTGCTACAGTCTGGAGGCATATGCCAGCACATGTGCTGATGTGTCTGTATGTGTGGACTGGAGGAATTTAACCAATGGACTTTGTGGTGAGGAGCAGAAAATAAAATTATCTTTAAAAGCAGGATTGGAAAATGTAGATGATCATTTTCATTAGTGTTCATTTCTTTTTATAGCATACAAGTGTCCCAGCCATAAAGTCTACAAGGCATGTGGGCCCAAGGTGGAAGAAACCTGCAATTCAAAGTAACTGAGCAATTACAATAATCAGTTAATCACTACTGTATTATTTTAGCCCGTCATTCTTTGAACGTTATCTGTTAATAGTAAGGGCCCAATCTTTTTTTTTTTTACCATCAATCCAGGTACAATGAGAAGTTTGTAGATTGTAAGTCTCAGGTGTGTAAAGGATTCAGGGAAGGATGCTTCTGTTCTAACGGCACCACTCTGTTTAACACTGCTACAGACGTTTGTACACCCTTCTGTGGTAAGTTAATACTGTGACTCATATAATATAACAGATGCAGTTCTATAAGCCGTAATACAAAGGCAAATTTTACTATTTTGTGTTTCTAGACTGATCTCTGAACAAGAAGTGCTCAGACTGGGCTTTTTTTAAACTTCTTCAGTAAAGCAGTCTATAAATGTATCTGTAAATGTATTTTTTTGTGTCTTAGGTTGTGTAGGTCCTGATAGACTGCCTAGGCAGGTGAGTTAACTACACAGTTTGAAATTTTCTTTTGTGAAGCTGGATCCTTCTACTGAAATGTCCACTTTTTTATCTATCTATAGGAGTCACTGGTGTTACTGATCGTCATTGGTGTTACACGTAAGAAAGGTAACACCAGTGACATTTTTAATGAAAAATGCCATTTTACAAAATGGCTGCTACAGAGTATCAAACCACATGTTGTCAATCATGGAATATCCACTAAAATATGTAATTTAATCCATTTGTTTCTATTTTTTCACAATTACCCAAGAATAATGTAAGTCATACCAGTGACGTCAGCTGAAAGCTTCATATGTAATCATGAGCTGAATGAAAAAAATTCTGACAACTGAAAAGACACTGTGGACTTACCATGTGATTGTCTTTATAGATCCTCAGAAAATAGGTAAAAGGAAGTCAAGTGATGTCATCAGTATGATTTCAAAATAAGAGATATTTTGTTATGCAGTAACACCAGTGACACAACTTGTGGGGACAACTTTCATTATATTTTTTATAATATTTATTTGGCATTTGTTTTTTTTATGTTGTTTGAATCATATATTTCATAGTCATGTATAGATTATTGCAGTTACAATTACAGAAAAACATGTTTTTTACCTCAAAATATGGCAATCACCCTTTACACGTGACTGTGAGGACAAGCACTTCTGTGGTGCTTGGAATTCTTTGGCTCAAGAAGGTGTAATTTTTAAAATAACTTATTGTTTTATTTTAAAATATAAATAAACTGTAACCCTAACATGTTTTTCTGGTGTAATATATCTGTAAATGCTAGGAACACAAAAATGGACATTTCCACAGAATGACTCAGCTCTGACTTGTTGTAAAAATGTAATCAATCAATCAAAGGATGACAGCTTGGAAGAAAGCAAATATTTTATTAATACAGTCGAGAAACAAATGCATGAGCATACAGCTTTGAAAATGACAAAACACATATGTGGCTTTTTATAGTCTAACAGAGCTTCACTACCTTGGGAGAGGTGAAACATTACTCATAACTTAATATCACAAGGTGTTCTCCGTAGCAAAGACAGGTTCAGCAACAGAATGTGACCCTGAGGTCATCACCTCTCTCTAATGGTTCAGCGAGAAAAGCAATTACATAAAAGAGGAACTGAAAGGAGACGTACTTTATCAAATCACAAATGATCAACTCACTATATTAATTAAATCAATAAAAATATTGATCCTCTACATTGATTGTATTGTATTAAAAGAATATTAATTACATTGATTCCAGTGTATTAAAGTCCCACAGGACCCATTCTCATCTGAAACTACTGACCACATACCTTCCTCAGTTAGCACTGCAGTTTATCTCCCTGGCATATTGGTGGAATGTTTTATGATTTGCCATAAAAGGTTTTTGTAGCATATGAGCACCTAGTATAGTGTTATGGAAATGTCAATAGATGACTTTATATCTTTTATAACATTTCTGCCTGTCCTGAATATTCAAATAGTACTCAGGAAGGTGAAGATTAGACTCTACTTTAAATTCATCACAAAATAATCTAAAATTATTTTAAAATCCAGCACATAAACTTATAGTTCATGGAATACTGTAGATACACAGAATGGGATTACGGAGCTTTAGGAAGCAATCTTACTGTTTTGTTTGCTCTCACTGTGTGTTTTTCCTGCAGCCAGGAGACAAATGGAAAATAAACTGTGAAGATTGTGAATGCAGTGCTGAGAACATGGGTCCAATATGTAAACCTGTCCAGTGTCCAATCCTTGAACCCTGTAAGCAGGGCTATGAGATCAAAACAGATGATTGCTGTCCCAAGTGTGGTGAGTGATCAGTACATTGTTTTAGGATTTATTCCATTAAAAGGACTAGTTTTGAGACTAAAATCCAATAAAATATACCAAAGGTACAAAGTATACGCTAATATGCACAAGTGTTTGCCCTGTATTTTAAGTATAGATATTCATGTTAAGCCTCAGCATGTGTTTAGCTTTAAACTGCACAATTTTACCAGAAGCGGTGAGACACGGCCTCCGCAGCAGAACGTTTCTGTGATGCTGTGTTTTGTAAGAGAAAGAAGCTGCCAGAGTATTTTATACATGCTCGGAACAAAATAGGTCTCTTTGTCAGGGAATCTGACCTCCGCAATTTAGATCATTAAATTCAAATGTAATTTTGTTGTTTAAGTGAATAAATATCACATATAACCAGTAAAGACATCAGGACTGCCCCTTTGGTATCATTTAATCACTGCAGTAGAAATAAAAACTAACATTAGGGCAACTTTGGAGAGCACCCTGGGTCCTTGCAGGCCAAAGAGCATATATGAGAAAATTATACTTTATTAGGAAAAGTTATGTTTTGCTGACAAGCAGTCACAGCAATTTGCTAAAGAGAATATATGTATATAGGTACACCCAGACATGTAGCCACAGGTGGGCACTGATTAATTACATGCATACCCAGTAAAAAAACTGTATTTAAGATACATTTTTTAAGAGAATGAAATTTGATTTTTTTCTACTGCCATTGTATTTAGTCATCATTCCTGAATGTGCAAGGTAGACCCAGTTCCCCCCAGCCTTCCAAAGCATGTCACCACATATGAGCTGCTTAGGCAAGAGAGGACCATTTGAGAGGAGCTCTCCATTCTCTTCCATTCTTTCAGTCTGTTTTCGGTCAAAAAATAAACATCATTAGTATTCCTATTCAGAGATCAGCTGTTGCAGACTTCTCTTCTGCCGTTTGATCCACAGGTTGGACAATCACTTTATAGTTTCAAAATGAACATTTTTGTCTGACAATACAGAAAATGATGTGATGCTGTGACTTAAATGACTACGCTGTAATGTTTGAAGTAGAGGTTCCTCAATAGTACAAAACACAGAGAAGGTCTGCTGAATAATAATAATAATAATAATAATAATAATAATAATAATGGTGAACAGTACATTTTACAATTTTGTTTAGTTTATAATGATCAGTATTATAAAACATGTGCAGTTGAGGCTATGTTGTCTTTCTCTTGCCTTGTTGTTCTGTTCTCTAATTCTACAATGTATCTAACAGAACTAACTAATGACGGAGGAAGTAGTAACCAAAATTTATTATGTGGTGAAAGTGTACTGTGTTGTGCTGAATGGTTGTGGTTTGTGTTCTCTTCAACACGTTCACAAAAATGTGCTGAGCAGTTCCTACGTACAGTATGATTAATTGCACCTTATGCTGGAGATTTGCGTCATTAAGGCGCCTGTGCAGTCTGACATATTCCTGCTATCCACCAACATGATTGACCTCAGCTGGTCCCAATTTAAAACAGCAGGGAAGAAAGAGTCCAATTTATATACCCTGCCAATGGCTAGACCAAAGACTTCTTCTTTAGAGGCTTTAAAACTTACAGAGTGCACCCTTCCCCCACTCATATTTCAGACAGACAGTTACACACTTAACCATTTCAGAGACTTCACAGGTATCACATAGACCATTCGCATGTTAACCAAGCAAGTGTAACGTGGAGTTTCGTTATGTGTGGCCAAATCTATTCAAATCAAATAAACTATTTTAATGGGAACAACCCCCAACCTGCATTGTAAACATTTGCATTATAAACATTTGCTTTTGTAAATGATCAGGCAAAATAATTCATTCATAAATGAAGGGAGAGTTTTCTAAAGGATACATTTAGGCTTTTCTGTTGTTTCCAAGGAACTTTGAACATGTATTTAAAAAGCTTAGGATGCATTATTTGGAAGTGATCAGTTACACACTAGTAACACTGATTATGCAGGCATTCTCCCTCTCTCTCAGCAATAAGTCTCAGTCTCGCAAGCTTTACTTTATATGACACACACTATGCCTCTATATTACACCTAGAGTTTATCTTTTAAAGACATTTGATGAAGTATTTTTGCAGTTGTTCTCAGTCTGCCTTTTTGTTTTATCAGGGCCCAAGCCAGTCTGTGTCTCAAACAACACAGAATACTTGGTAAGATTTATGTTTCATTACTGGATTTCACTTTGCCCACCAACGTGGTATGATTTATGCATATTTTAAGCTTGATGTAAGTTTCTTGGCTTACCTCATTTGGAACAGACTACACAGTAAGGATCATCTTTGTGAATTCAGTAATACTTTCACATGCGACATTTCACTTATGATGAGCAGTTCAGCAAAATTGTGTGGGTGGTGGTTTGCAAAGATGTGATATAGCATGCTGAACAGTTTACAGTTGGAGAGAAAAAAACATCACTGACAGCTGACTGTGTCATGTCCTTTTATAGCCTGGAGTTAAAGTTCCAGATACAGACAACTGTAAGGACTGCAGCTGTGGTTCCACCGCGGACCCCAAGACTGGACTACGAGCTATAGAATGCTCTATAGTGACCTGCAACAAAACCTGCCCTCAGGTAACGGCCTTAATCTACATTAATAATGTCTAAACAATGAACTAAATGGTCACACATAGCTTTTCATCTATTCCCAGTGTCGCTAGAACATATGGTCTTCCCTGTCTGTATTTTAAGTGAAACTTAAGTGTAACCAAGGCAATAAAACAAATTTTCTTACAACCTCACTGCATGACTTAATCCTGGTTACTTCTCAATTATTTTGTTTTAGAAGCAGCTTGTGTGCAAAATAAACTTCATGTATTGTGCCATAGTAGTCTTGCAATAAATAGAGGACTAACTAACGCTGTTGTTTTATGTAGGGCTTCAGCTATGTACTCCACCCAGGGAAATGCTGTGGAAGATGTGTACAACAACAATGTATTTATACAGGACCAAACAAAAAAGTATACACTATTGAGGTATGGGCAACAGAGTGTGATTTTAAATTAGATTCAAAAAGTTACCTATGACCCCTGCTTTACTGCACCGTGGTCATTCCTGTCTTTGTGTCTCTCATACCATTTCAGGTTGGAGAGAGCTTTAACCCTCCAAATGAAAAGTGTGCATATAGCTATAATTGCACTAAAGTCAATGATGCATTTACGTTGGTGGCAAACAAATCTACATGTCCAGCATTTAACCCAGAAAACTGCGTAAATGTAAGTTGATCAATCTAATTTGCTATGCAAAGCCGTTTACTCTGGTTAACTTGCATTCGATTTTTCAGAATTGTAAGGAATGTAATAGTAATGCATAGTAATCAATAATTACAATTTTACACTGTTTTCTTAAGGGCACCGTGACAACCACACCAGATGGATGTTGCAAAACTTGTAAGATGATAAATTTTCTTTGTCTCCATTTCTCTCTCACTAATTACTAATCAGTTTCATTCAAAATGTTTAATCAAAATGGTCCAAATAATGCTTTTAACTGATTTAACCACAAAGAGCTGTCCATAGTACACACAGTCCTACCCTACACCTACCCATAATCTTAATTATGTCCTGAATCTTACTAACAGAACAGTACAATGTACAAACCGCCCTCTGAGGCTATTTTACATGGACTTTACCTATAGTTTCGAAATTGAATAATACATTATCATGCTGCTCCTTGGTTTGGGAATGCAAAAATTTTATAGCATTAGAAAAGAATGTATCAATGTTTCTGTCTTTAATGTGCATAATAATTGTGCGTTTGGTAACTTATTATATCAATATGAGCTTCTTTGTGCCCGGGCTGTCTTCATCAGGCATGGGACACTTCTGACATAGACTGAATGGTCTAAATGTTGCATTTAAAAAAGAAAAAACATAATTCTGGTCCTAAAGTGTGATTGGCTGAATTCTGAAGCCATTGTAAAATACTCACTGTACACACATCAATTGAATTCTGTATCAATGTGCCAAGTAATAGTGAAACATAAAACATTTACTCTTCATAGAAAAATCTTTGGCCGTGAAGTTGCTTGGCAACTAGAATCTAATAGATTATATATAATAAATTACATTTTAAGTATAATCTTAAAAAACACTCTATTGTTTGGTGTAAGGTTAAATGTGATTATTATTATTATTAAAAAATTAAAAAGTTCTAGTTTTAGTATATTGTATTTAGTTGCTGTAAAGCAGTAAGCCACTTAAGACCTTGAAGTGATTTTACTGTAATGCTGGTGCATAAAATCAATGTTTGAACTGCTCTTGCTTTTCTTTGTGATTTTTTTTCTTCTTCCACCTTAAAGTACTTTGACTATAATACACCTGCATTTCTTCTCTCAGGTGAGATTCAGAACTGCCGTATTCAGAAGAACAACACCTACCTGGTGGTCAATAACTGCACATCTGTACGTTCTGTGGAAATAACCTCCTGCTCCGGCGCCTGTGACACCAGCTCAATGTGAGTGTGTTCACTCACAAAAACACACATACACATTTGAAATAGAGGTATAGAAACAGGTAGAAATTGTAAAGCAGGAAAAGGAAACTTAAAGTAATGGTTCTGCAAAAAACAAAAAATCACAAGGTAAGGCTAACATTGATAACAGACACTAGAACTCAGTAGTCACCCAAATAGCCCAAATAATTTCTGTAAAAAAAAATACTTCACCAAAACTTTCTTCAGCTCCCCCAAACCGCTTCTAGGTCTTCTTTAAGCTTATCCAGACTTGTCATGTGGTTTAGGGTACAGTATGACTTACTGTGAACCAAAAAAATAAACAAAACTGCTGGACCTGCACCTCAGGTGTAGGAATGCTGATCTACAATCAGTTTTTGTGACAATACCAGCCCTGGTGTTGTCTGAAGTGGCTGACCGCAGGGGTGACATTTTGTTCATTTTTATAGTTCAGAGAAGTTTTGGGGATATACTTACAGAAAAAAGTAGCTATTTGGGTGATTATTGCATACTAATGTTTGTTAGCAATGTTAGCCTCGCAGCTCCAGTTCAAAATTTGGACACAATACACACCTTGGCTGATTGAAAACTGTGGATAAAAACAAAGTGGAAAATTGGGTAAATTCAATTTTTTGCCAGACTATTATTATAAAGGGCCTGTATTATTTATTCTTGTATAATTTTTCTTGAATTTTCTTGAAATTTTGTTTTTCCACCTACAATATTTGTGTGGGTTTATGTATCTTAAACAGTCATAGTTCATTTTTACATGACCATTTCCAACTTCTCTTCATCCCTGTTTATTATCTCAGATCTGATTAGCTGTCTTATATTGTGTAACACTCTTTATAACAGGTTTTTAACAATGTTGACATACTACATCAAGTTCTTTAATTTCAAAAAAGTGAAATAAGTTTTCCTTGATATGGGTCCTTTAATGCCTGCTAGGAAGTTCAAGATTTCAGCACTTCTGTTCCTTTCTTCATTCCTCTGGTAACCATGTCTCTTGTGTCTGTGCAGATATTCGATGGCAGCTAACATCATGATGCACCGGTGCTCCTGCTGTCAGGAGCTGCGTACCAGCAGCAAGCAGGTGGAGATGAACTGTCCTGACCGGCGCCAGTTCACTCACACCTACACTTATGTTGAAACGTGTGGCTGCCACGTGACAGAGTGCCAAAACAAAAAGCTGTGAATAAAAAAAGCACACTCAATTCTCACCAACTATTTTCTATAGTCTTTACATCTGATAATGGAACGTTGTTGATTTGAGTCCAAGTTACGCATCAAATGGTGAGATAAATGTATTTCTCTCTGCGCTGTAATGCCATAAGTTCTTTTATTAATGATTAGTATGTTATATGATCGATGCATAATTTATTTGATTTTTGGGCTACAGGGTTCTATGTTTTGCTATCTAAAAAAGGGCACAAAATGGATGAGCATTATAATCTCCTGCATGCTTTGTCTTAACTTCTTGTCCTAAATTCCATTTCTTGAAATATTATCTTCTTTTGAAATAGGTCATTTCTTTTAGAATCAATGTTTAAAAATAAAATTAAGCAGCATCAATCATGGTGTGTATTGTAATCTGTTTGTAAGGAGTTTTCTACAATGTTTCTATACATCTGCAGAACTGTTTAAATTCCATTATACAGTAATTAAACTAGTAATAGATTTGTAACGTATTTGAGCTTTAGTCAACATCCAAATGTTATTGTTACGCAAAAAGTCCAAGAAGGTCTACATAGAGGCTTTCTCAGTTTACTTACATATCCATTTGATTTCCTCAATTGGCAGATAATCCTCAGGTGGTTTATGCATTAAGAAATCTATCTCTGAATCTGAGGAGAGGATCATGCTCTTTAGTGTTGGCAACATTCACTGTTAGGCGTAATCTGCACTTATCTGAAAAAAAAAAATCTGAAAAATATGCAGGACGAACACTTTGCTGCAGCTAGCCCAGAGGACACCTGGAAAAGCATGATGATGCAAAGACCTACAGTAGGGTAAAGAACCAAGTGAAGCCATAATGTATGTCTAATTACTCTATTTACTGTCTCAATTGCAACAGTTTCTCTGGCAATATGAAGTACAGCATATGAAGATCATTGTAACATTGCTGAAATGTAAAATATTTAGAGGTGGAAGACTCCCCATACACTGTAAAAAGTGACTCGTCAGATCTACCTTAAAAATTTCTTACTTCTTATGGTAACAAGTAAATTAATTCAACCTAAATAAATACTTGGAATGAACGATTCTACTACATAGTTTTAAGTTGAATAAAACTAGTTTAATTGCTTGTTACCACATGAAGTAATTTTTAGGTCGATTTAACGAACCACTTTTTACAGCGTAAGATTCAACATACTGAATATTAAGTAACCTCCTAGTTTCAGCAATACAGCTTCTTCCAGTCATGAGGGGTTAATTTGACATTTCCTTAGAGATGTTTGAGCCGGTCCTTGTACAGCTTTACTACATCACAGTTCTATAGACAGACCTATGTCGGTGTACAGTACAGTTCTAGAGACAGACCAATGACAGTGTACATTACTTCTATAGACAGACCAATGACAGTGTACAATACAGTTCTATAGACAGACCTATGACGGTGTACAGTACAGTTCTAGAGACAGACCAGTAACAGTGTACATTAGTTCTATAGACAGACCAATGACAGTGTACATTACTTCTATAGACAGACCAGTGACAGTGTACATTAGTTCTATAGACAGACCAATGACAGTGTACAATACAGTTCTATAGACAGACCAGTGACAGTGTACATTAGTTCTATAGACAGACCAATGACAGTGTACATACAGTTCTATAGACAGACCAATGACAATGTACAATACAGTTCTATAAACAGACCAATGACAGTGTACAATACAGTTCTATAGATGGACCAGTGGCAGTGTACATTAGTTCTATAGACAGACCAATGACAGTGTACAATACAGTTCTATAGACAGACCAATGACAATGTACAATTCAGTTCTATAAACAGACCAATGACAGTGTACAATACAGTTCTATAGACAGACCAATGACAGTGTGCATTAGTTCTATAGACAGACCAGTGACAGTGTACATTAGTTCTATAGACAGACCAGTGACAGTCTACAATACAGTTCTATAGACAGACCAGTGACGGTGTACATTAGTTCTATAGACAGACCAGTGACAGTCTACAATACAGTTCTATAGACAGACCAGTGACGGTGTACATTAGTTCTATAGACAGACCAGTGACAGTGTACAATACAGTTTTGTAGACAGACCAATGACAGTGTACAATACAGTTTTATAGACAGACCAATGACAGTGTAAAATACAGTTCTGTAGACAGACCAATGACAGTGTACAATACATTTCTATAAATAGACCAGTGACAGTGTACAATACATTTGTGTAGTCAGACCAATGACAGCGTGCAATACATTTGTGTAGTCAGACCAATAACAGTGTACAATACAGTTCTATAGACAGACCAGTGACAGTCTACATTACAGTTCTATAGACAGAACAATGACAGTGTACAATACAGTTCTATAAACAGACCAGTGACAGTGTACAATGCAGTTCTATAAACAGACTAATAACAGTGTACGATCCAGTTCTATAGACAGACCAATGACAGTGTACAATGCAGTTCTATAAACAGACCAGTAACAGTGTACAATACAGTTCTATAGACAGACCAATGACAGTGTACAATACAGTTCTATGGTCAGACCAATAACAGTGTACAATACAGTTCTATAGACAGACATGTGACAGTGTAAAATACATTTCTTTAGACAGTCCAATGACAGTGTACAATACAGTTCTATAGACAGACAAGTTACAGTGTACAATTCAGTTCTATAAACAGACCAATGACAGTGTACAATACAGTTCTATTGTCAGACCAATAACAGTGTACAATACAGTTCTATAGAAAGACCAATGACAGTGTACAATATGGATCAAAAATTAAAGGTATACTATTTGACATTGTGTATGCGATCTGAAGTTCTGCACATGCATGAGTCATGACAGCTTATCAGACATGCTTGGGAGTTTACAGGTGCTAAGTTACTATTGGTAAATCTGTGTTTAGGGGTGAGTTTTAGAGAAGTATAGCTGGGATTAGGTGCAACCTGAGCAATGACTGACACATTCCTCAGCAGGTCAATGACCTTGTCTCAGCTCAAACAAACAAGTTTATTTGTTTATTTTTAAAAATCAAATAGGTCAGATGATGATAAGTTTCACTGGATGAATTTTGAGAGGCAGAGATCACAACTTTAGCTTTAATATGGATACACATGCATGCTTATATACTTCATGGGGTTGTGTATGTGTCACGCAGTGTCTAGTAGTTATTGAGCCTTGCTCTCCTTTATTGTATTTTATTTCCATCATATAAGTGGGGCTCGTGTGTTATATTGCATTATACATGGTACCATGAGTGTTGTTGCTAGAGGAGTCTACAGGAGGCTTTAGCAGCAGACAGCCCTCCACTCTCTTTCAGGGGCTCAAAACTTTCAAAGGAGCCTGTGCTATCAGATCTTTACGTGTGCTCAGAGCAATCCAGTGAGGAAACTACACATTTATTGTCATGGTGTGAAATGATCTTACTATCATTTACTAGCATTTACTTACTAGATTTTAAGGAACTGCAACAGGATGCAGGCTAGCAGATAGGCCTATCCTCCAGAATGTTTTTCAGCACTATGAAATCACATGCTAAATCACATACAAGTTCTTTGTGTACTTGCAGCTAGGAATAGTATTGGCAGTTTTCCTACTTTTATGTTGGGCCTCAGGGTTTGAAAGACATGCAGACAAGTAGGGGTGGGAATCTCTAGGCACCTCATGATTCGATCCGATTCAGAGGGCTGCGATGCGATTATAAAACGATTATCGATGCATCTCGATGCATCTTTTTTTTTCTATACATGATTTCTATTTTCTTACTGTCTGAGGACTTGGTAGTTTTAAAACAAAGTATTTGTAATGATCCATAATGCATTTACGTCCAATATCTTTTATTAATAAAACAAATGGAAGTGATGTGGCAAGTGAACTAGAAGGCTCTCATTCACTGCTCTTGTTTGGAGACGCTGCTGCCACTCATCTGCGATAAAATGCGCTGTTACGGTGAAATAAGATCCAGTGGTGATGGATGACCACGCAGCACATTATATATTCTTTAGTGATTTTATAAGTTCGGTTTTGGTCTCGTGATAGAGCGCGAAAGACTGCAGGTCACGTAGCAACGAGGTTTCGCCGAGCGAGTAGCGAACGAAAAAGGAAAAGTAGGAAAAGGAAAAGGAAAGATAGACGAACATTTGGAGATGAATGGACTTATTCGCATTTATAAGCAGTGCAGTTGGTTTCCTGGTACGTTAGCTAAATCTGCAACAAGAGCCTGTCACACACTAAACAGTTGCGAAGCTGAAGTCGCTTCTCTTTCTAATTTTCCAGTTCCACCTTAAATGGTGCCGCTTTTACATTCGGCGCCTCAGTCAGAATTTAAGGTGGAACGGGAAAGTTCAGCAAGAAGCTGGCGAATGAGAAGCGACCTCAGCCTCGTAAAACAGTCGAACGCTGAGAGACATTTTACAAGAAACTAATCAACTTTTGAGGAAAGGTTTTCTAGCGGAGTTGGAAGAAAAGCAGCTATAGCTAAAGCTTAAAGCAGAGCAGAGTAAGTCTGTGTTTTCGTTTATATTTTTTAGCCTAAACGAGAACGTTAACACACACTGGACATTAAATGTTGCGTCTCCCAAGGTGGTTTGACTTTGTTGAAAGGACAAAATGGCTCTTCTTATTATTTGTGTTGTGACTCCTGATCTAACCTGGCTTTTAATGCAGAGGGAGCCGGTCGGATTTCTCGCTCATCCAGTTGTGTTTTTGTTATGTGCCGCCACAAACTGTCCGGGCGCTGCACTTACCCACTTCCAGGTTCCGCCCTTTGCGTTCCGTCAACATTACGTTATAAATTAAATATTTAGAAAATCGATTTTTGACATTGATGAATCGATTCAGAATCGTCCACGTCTGCATCGCGATGCATCTAAGAATGAATTTTTTCCCGCACCCCTACAGACAAGCACAGATAATTAACTCTATTTGGGACTCTGTGGTTTTTCTTTTCATTTTGTATTTTTATACAGTTAAAGCAGCAAAAGCAGAGAGGTGGCAACCCCACACCTGTAAAGAAGGATGATGTCCTGACTGAACACCCCGTTTTCATGATTTTTTAAGCCAGAGCATAACTATAGTGTTGCACCTGTACTGCTCTGACTGGCTTTCATATTTGTAAAAACTGACCAATCATGCAGCAATTTAAAGTTTATTTATTATATAACAAACTTTTAAAAAAATTTAAAAGACTGTTAGTCAACAGATACCCTGTAAATAATCTAAATGTGAGTAGCTTTGAGCAATGTGCCAAAATATTTTGGGTTCACCCTTTTTTCCAGGCCATCCTTCAATTCAGTGCGCAATAGCATCAGCTTACATGTAGCAATTTTCATATTTTGACTTTTTCATGACCTCGTAATTCAGAGGATCCAGTGATATTCAAGAGAAAAATGTTCACAGGACAAACCGAATCAGTTTGCAACATTTTTATTTATCACAGGATTCTCTCATAGAGAAATTCCTATTAGACTCGGAGCTCCTTATATAGGCATAAGAGCATGACGCCAACTACAGAATGACGTCTTCAGTGATCTATATGTCTACAGGTAAAACCCTAGTTAGCAGGCTAGCCTGTTAGCATTCACATTGCTGTTGCTTTTCTTACATTTTCACAGCAAAAAAGAAAAAGACTGCAGCAACAAAAAAGTCAGGTTAAATAGATCTGTGTACAAGTGTAATTACCTAAGGCTGGGCATATATGACTTTTAACATCGAACTTTGAGCTGCATTTTTAATATATGAAAGGTGCTTTATGAATAAAGCAAGTGCTGTACATGGGCTTTTCTCTGTCTAACAGCTCGTCCTCTACCCTCGCTCACGTCTGTCTCTCTCTCTTTCTCTCTTGTGACAAGAATAGTGCTCAGACTTTAGTAATGAAATACAGGTTCAGAAAAAAACAGTAGCGAATCAGCAGGAAGGTGAGTAATTTTTCTGATGAGCACAGAGCCCAAAGCACATTACTGTGGAAATACTACATGAGATAAACTCCTCTGTAAGCTGTGTAAGACTAAACTGAAATACAGTCTTGCAAGCCTGTGTCACTTCCCAGCCTGCCACCAGAGGCCGTCCTGCGTTACCTCCTTCTCCTGTCATGTCCCAGTCTGGCCACCAGAGGCCGTCCTGCGTTTCCTCCTTCTCCTGTCATGTCCCAGTCTGGCCACCAGAGGTCCTCATCACCAAAATACTGGCCTGTTGCCATGATAACGTGCCACCCACCTGCTGTTTCCTCATTATCTGCTCCTTTAAAAAGTTCCTCGGGATCAGCAGAGAGGATTCATGAAGGTTTATTTCGGATATGATTTTTGGTTTTGGTCACAGTTTGAGAAGTATTGTGGAGCAGAAACAAACTTGTATGCATCTCATTCATTTCCAACAACTTGTTTTGGTTCAGCAGCTCTCGGAAAGGCTAATTATTCATTGCAGAGACTGCAACAGCCAGCATGTAGCTTGATAAACAGTTGTTTCCTATCAGACTAATACAATCTGTACAGGGAAGCTCAGATCGCTTGAGAGATTACTTGATTGCCTTTAATAATTGATTGTTTGATTAAGTTCATAAATGTTAAGTTACATAATGCATGGTCATAAACCAGCTTTAACTCCATGCTGGCTGAAAATGATTCACAAAAACACATTTCTTCTTTAACTTGCATTCCTTCACCGGCGCCAATTGCACTTCAGCTTTCAAAGGCGAAGAAAAGGTGTTAAGTATCAAAAGTCCTGGTTAGGTGTGGCACATCGACAGCCAATCAGATCAACTCCTCTCATTCCCTTTAGGAGCTGAGCATGCGCTGGTGGTGAAGCACAGTGATAACTATGTTCCTAATGGCAAAATAGGCTGATTCCATTACTTTTATGGATAGAGAAAATCTGATCGTCATACAGATTTCACTTTGATATTTTAGTAGTAAACTGGACCACCATAAAAACTATAAGATGACCAAAGCCGTGAGAGGTTTTCATGCAAATCAAATATTAGTGCATTTGAAAAGCTAGATTCTAATATACATTTTCTCTGATTTGAGGTGAAAATTTTCCCCTGCTATGGTTTAGTGTTTTAACTTTGAAGCATCATGTTGCTTTTTCAGTTATCTATAGCATTATACATTAAATTCTTATGTATTCTGATATGCTATGTATATCTTATGTAAGTTATTCAGCTATGTGCCTCTCTACAGTTGAGCCTTAAACCCCAAACATAATTACCATTATTTTGTCTCAGATTATGTAAAATAATAAAATAAAATGTAAAAAAAAAAATCTCCCAGTTGTCTCTAACCACGGGAAGACGCAGATAATGCAAAAATGACTGATTTTGACGTGCAGAGTTAGTACTCGGGAGGACTTTAATTTTGAAGTGTGGCTCTTTGACAGTGCACATGAAGAGCGCGGCCACAGTGTCTGCGTTCAGCGCTGTGGGTGTTTGAGGGAGATGGAGAGCCCGGAGGCTGCGGGGGCTGATACGTTAGGCGGCGGTGTTCACTCTGAATAACGCAGTAAATACTGAGATTAAGGTTCTGTTTACCTCAGTAACTACGGTATAAACACTGAGGTAACAGCTTCAGTAACGTCGGAGCCCCAGGAAAGTATGGTTTGAGTCTGTGTCCATGTCACCGGTTCTCCGCTCGCACTGCCTCATAGCCCTGTAGCCTGAGCTAGCGGACTAGCTCTGTTGAACTCGCTGGCGAGACGTTAGCTAAACAGAGGGTGGCTGAAGAGTTTGAAAATCACTAGATAACTATATAATACAGACTACTACGTCCCGAGTACTCACACTCCGCGTTTGGCTCGGCTTCGTCTGTCCCGTAATTAGCGTTAGCCATTAATTCTTATCTTTCTGATCAAGCTTAGCTATCCTATCCTCGCTAGCCACGACTGTCCACTGTAGCAGTGTCTTGTGTTAGAAACGGGTTTCGAGTTAAATAACGAAAGAGCCATCAGGAAACGGGATCCTGTGTCTGAGGTCTGCAGTTCGAGCTCGCTACGTGACACATATTTCGACACGAACTTCATAACTGGATTGCTCTTTCTGTGAAGTTGAATTACCAGGGTGTCCTTACTGTAGCCTCCAGGGTTCAGGGCAACTTTAGGGCAGAGCTGTCAGACAGTTTGGCTAACTTATTAGTTTATACTTAAATAGTCCGTCCTGCTGCCTTGTAACTCACAGCAAACAGCGCCCTATAGCTACATAAACCAGAGATTGGAAATCCATGTAGGCTTTGTAGCTGTAACTTCTAACTGAGGCTGTCTGTTTTAATATTTAGTTAGCTAACCTTACACGTTCGTTGCAGTCAGATGACAAGCTTTTTAGCTACATGTGCTGTTTGACTAGGCAGCATACGGTGCTGAGTTAAGTGAGGATAGGTATTTGGTAAATATTGAGTGTTTAAAAGTAATCTAGTTCGGACTTTGTTTAGCCTGCGGGCGAGAATAGTTCAGTCTAGTTCAGTTTATGCAGTTTTTGATGGTGTTTTTTTAAATGTGACCTGGATCTACTTTTATACAGGTGCATAGAGTTTCTTTGTCATTGTATAGAGTACAAGTACTAGGCATCTAAATAATTTCTGTACATTGCATGCTGTAAAAAATCTTTTTTTGCTTTGTGTATGACAGCATAGCCATAAACATGCATGTGATCCTGGTATCAATAGAGGGTCCTAAGAAATCTTTCCTTATGTGCTTCATGAGGTTTGAGCAAACACAAACAATGGAACCAAGCCTAACTTGCTGAGAGCAAACAGTGGGTGTGCATGAGCAGCAGGCCACATAATTTTAAAGGAAATGTTGATGGACTTTGTCATTGTGCATGTGAGTGCTTGATTTCCCTGTTTTGTTTATTTGTTTGTTTTTAAAAACAGTGATGGCGGCCCTGTCGGAAGAGGTGCTGTTGGTGGTGAAGAGGGTCCGACAAAGGAAACAGGATGGAACGCTTTATCTTATGACCGAGCGCATAGCCTGGGGCCCAGAGGGAAAGGATCGCTTCACTGTCAGCCACCTGTACGCTGACATCCGCTGTGAGTAACACCGGTCTGTCTCTAAAGGCCAAATCTGTAAACACGCCGTGTGTTACAGGTACTGCCTCAGGTAAAGGATCCTGAATGAATGTAATATTGACTGTGAAATAAATCACAATGTTGGTCATTTTAATTAAGAGATTCTTGCATTTTTTGTTTTCTCTGTTTGAATTGAGTCAGGCAGTGCGATGTTAGAAGAAGCTGACATCAAGTTTTCCCTCGTACCAATCAGAATTAGAACTATTCCGTTACCACACCTCCACCACTACACAAACCAAAGCCTCTTTAGATGTAGTTTCAGCTGTCAGTTGCCTCATTTGCACATCTTGACAACAGTGAGCTTTTCAGAGCAAGATATAGTCGCTGGATTGGAAAATGTTCATAAAGTTCTGCGTTTAAAAGGTATACAAGTTTTGTTTGGGGATGCATGATGTCAGAATCATATTAGCAAATGATGGGCAGATGATTATATTGGCCAACTTTTGATTACATGTGTATCATACTCTGAAAGAGTAGAATGTGTTGGTGATGCCAGGTCACTACACTAAAGTGTCTGCATATTATTAGTTTTACTGCATTGTTAAACTGCTAATCCAAATGGATCAGGTCCCAGTTTATACATTTTTATAACTGTTTATGTATCTGCATCAGCAACAACGCTGGTAGACATGTAGATGACATCAGTATTAATTCACAGTTCCCATATTAGTGGAGCCCTAGTTTGGTCTGAAGCATCTTATGTTTGCCTATGGACTTACTGCTTCTGCCTTACATGTGTCTGTTTTTGAGCCTGTTCACACCTTGCATTAACACGTTTTGTGTCTGGATTGTATCTGGATAAACTCTTGCTGGATTCCATCTCCATTTTTCAGATGGGCCAAAAGAGGTCCATTTTTACTTTACCCACATTTTCCTGCATATCACGTGTAATTTCCGTCTTACTTATGTTTACTTTTGTCTTCGTTAAGATATGAATAGAAAAGCTCAGCTTTGACGTTTTCATGGGCCCGGAGTGCAAGTAGGCTTTTGGTTTGGAGCTAACTCCAGCCTCGCGTGTCCTAGTCACCTAATTGTTTCACTGTTTTTCTCATCTGCCACTCACATAATTGTACAACCCCATTTCCAAAAAAGTTGGGACACTATGTAAAATGTAAGTAAACACAAAATGCAATCATGTGCAAGTCATTTAAATCCTATATTACATTGAGAATAGTACAAAGACAACATATAAAATGTTGAAACTGAGAAATTGTATGGTTTTTTGAAAAATATATGCCCATTTTGAAATTGATGCCAACAACACCTTCCAAAAAAGTTGGGGCAGGGGCAACAAAAGGCTGGTGAAGTTGTATAATGCTAAAAAAACACCTGGTGGTTGATTGGCAACAGGTCAATAACATGATTGGGTATAAAAAAAAGCATCTCAGAGAGGCGGAGTCTTTAAGAAGTAAATATATGGAGGGGTTCACCACTCTGTGAAAGACTGCATGATCAAATAGTACAACGGTTCTCAAATAACATTTCTCAACATAAAATAGCAAAGAACTTCTGCTTTTCATCATCTACGGTACATAATAACATTAAAAGATTCAAAGAATCTGGAGAAATCTCTGTATGCAAAGGGTGAAGCCAAAAACCAGTATTTGCTGGCCGTGATCTTTGGGCTCTCAGGTGGCACTGCATTAAAAATAGACATGATTCTGTAGTGGAAATCACTGCATGGGCTCAGGAACACTTCTGAAAACCACTGTCTGTGAAAACAGTTCATTGCAAATGCAAATTAATACTCTAAAAAGCAAAGATGAAACCATCTATAAACAGGATCCAGAAATGCTGCCACCTTCTCTGGGCCTGAGCTAATTTAAAATGGACTGAGGGGAAGTGGAAAAGTGTCCTGTGGTCCGACAAATCAACATTTGTTTTTGGAAATCATGGACACTGTGTCCTCTGGGCTAAAGACCACTCAGCATGTTATCAGTGCACAGTTCAAAAGCCAGTATTCAAGATGGTATAGGGGTGCCTTAGTGCACATGGTATGGGTGACATGCACATCTGTGAAGGCCCCATTAAAGCTGAACGATAGATATCTATATACGTGTTTTGGCAACATATGCTGCCCTCCAGATGAAGTCTTTTTCAGGGAAATCCTTGCTTATTTCAGCAAGACAGTGACAAGACCACATTCTGCATGTATTATAGCAGCATTGCTCCGTATTAAAAAAGTGTGGGTGCTAAACTGGCCTGCCTGCAGTCCAGACCTGTCACC